CCGGTTGCAGTTCCGCTAGACGGTCAGGGGCTGGCATACTCAGCGTCTGCTGCATGTTTGTAGAACCGGCTGGGCTGCCAGTAGTGTCCTTAGCTTGCGATGCCCCTGCCTCGATATTTCCGTTCGAGCCAGGGGGAGGGGTGGCATTCGGCACTGGGGTCAAGGAGACGGACGCATTCGGAGCCTTTGCAAACCCGATTCTAACGGGGCCGGCGCCGGGGAAGATTTCTTTTCCGTTGAGGAGTTGCCTGGCGCGGACGGCATGCTCGACCGATTCAAAATTGACGAAACCGCAGTTTTTGTGAGTGAGAACCCTGGTCGACTCAATCGGGCCGTACCGGTTGAAGATGGCATCCAGCGATGACATTGTTGTGGAATTCGGAATTGAGCCTATCCAAAGGGACCGAGAGACCTGGACTTCTGAGTCATCCATGCCTTCGTATGACAAGTTCACGTTTTCCACAATGGCCATATTCTGCAGAGTATCTGCAAGAGCGGCCTGGTCCATTGCATTCGATCCCGGCATATCAAAGACCATACCAAGCTTGTCTGCTGGTTGCTGTGACAAATTACGAAGTGATGTACGTTGAGGTGTTTCGACAAGGCCGGCAGTTCGAGCTCGCGGGCGTGCAGCACTGGCATTCACCGCAAATGCCTGAACCGCCTGATTATGCAGACGGACCTTCTCCTGGACCAACTCATACTCGGCTTCCAGGGCTGCTGCTGCTGAGGGTGTCAATGACCCGCTAGCGAACAGCGGAAAGTTACTGTTCCCTTCTTGAGCCTCGGTGGCATATTTGGATTGTGTGTTCACAGAGAAGGACCTGAATCGACTGGAATTACGCATTCCAAATCCAGCCAACACGTCGGACAAACTGGGTTCCTGGCCATGAGCCGAATCATCTGCAACTTGGCGAAGGCCGTCGGATTTCGAGTGATGAGGGGGTTCGGCCAGACCAAGATAGTCAAGTGTGCGGACCCCAGAGTCAGACATGCCGTCCTTGGAGTATCCAGACGGTTGAGGGGAGGTGGGATCTTCAGCGGAACTGATACTTGTCAGAGTAGCTGCTCGAGTCCTTGTTCCCCAGCTCGAACTAAATGCGTTCTGACCAAAGGGGCCAGAAGGACCAAGCAGACTTGACCGCTGAGGCATGCTTCCGGCACGAAGCCTGGATAGAAACGCTGAAGTTCCGGAGTTGGCTTGGTTAGAGGCTGTCGAATAGAAAGCGGTTTCGGCTGCGGAGGTGGAACCGGGTCGAAATGGACTCGTGGAAGGAGTTGGACGAGAAGTTTTTGAGGTTATGACATTCACTGCATTAATCGTACCAACTGGGGATATTCTGGAGGGCAAGGTGCCAGCTCGTCCGCGTCGCGCGGGACTATTTATCCCAGTCTCAGTGAGAGGCACCAAATCTGGGAAGCCATCCTGGCTGGGGGATTCCGGGATCTCAAACAGTGGAGTTGAAGTACCACTTGTTGGAGGACCCCAAATATTAGGGGTTAAAGAGGTCTGAGACTGTAATTCCCGTGTACGCTTTGGAAACAGCCGAGAAGCCTGTTCGTGAAGAGGAGAGCCAGCTCCTACTCTTGCATTGGAAAGCCCTGCCAGTCCCGAGGAAGATTTTGAACCGCCAAAAGGAGATTTGCTGGTGGGAACCGAGGAAGGTTCGCTGATAGGAGTCAACCCGGATAGGTTTATATTGAGTTGTCCCTCAGGCCTTGTGACAGTGGGAGGAGCCATCGTTGAGGTCTTATAAGGTATGTCGTAGATTCTAAAGACCACAGGGACTCAATGCTGCAGGCCCCAATATGTAGTCGGCCTTCTTTTGGTCTAGGACCACTTTTCAATGACAAAGATAATTTTGGAGGCGATATCGTATGCTCGTTTTTCCTGCTTCTTGGGAATGTCCAGAATGTGTAGGGATGCCTTCGGCAATCTGCGGGCGGGTGCGTATAGCTCCCAGGTGATTTTAAACGCAAGACTCGTTTCGAGAAAGGCAGTGACCGACTGACGAACAAATGACTCTGTATGCGGAATAGAAGTCAAGGCGAGGTAAGATCGTGAATTCGAGAACAGGTTCGGGATCGCAGGATATTACTTTAGAAGTTTTTTGGGATCGTAATCGGGGAAGGAGAGACAGTCGGTGGCCGTATTAACACAAGTGATGGAATAGAGGGAATCGAACGAAGCAGCTCTCCAGGGCTGAAGGGGGCATTAGAGGAAAGCCGAAGGTGACAAGAAGCAGAGAAGAAGTAAGGTGAAGCAGCAGCAGCAGGATGGCGGTGGTTGTGGATGAATTAGGGGGCAGAGGACATGCTAATAGGTAAGGTGAGGTTTGGGGCAGATCGGGAACAGGGTTGATGGGTTGCGCAGACGCAAATACAGTTACAGAGAGACACCACGTCAACGGCTGGGCGTCCTAGGTGGCTCGTTAAGTTGGTGATAGGCTCTGAGCCACGGGCCAGAGGCCACAAGCCATGGGTAGAGAAAAGTACGGGGAAGGGCAGCAACCATCAGGATCCGCTAACGAGCGGTCGAGCCCTAATTAATCACCCGATCTGTTCTCACCCAGTTCTGCCGGACTGGACGGCACCCTTCTAAGCCTAGTTTAGCTGTAGGTGAGCCACCAGAGTCCTCTGAAGAATTTTCGGAGCCCTGTGTCACCCCCATTTAAGAGGCCAGGGCCAACCTAGTGACGGTACTCCTTGCTGTGCCTGCCAAGCAATGGGTCCCAGAACAACCACTGCGAGTTGCTCGTATCGAACATCATTTTTCTCCCACTACAACTACTCTGAACTCAGTTATCAGACCGCAACACGAAAAAGAGGGAGCATGTGGGTATGATCCCTCCCAAGATGATTTCAACACTCAAAGAGCCTATTGTATGTATGCTTGCGTGTTGACCCGCATTTCAAAACCACCGAGCTGATCCCGGAGTCGGCCATGAAACACCGTCTGTCTGTCCACCATGCTCAGACAATTTTACATCCATCATCCTGGACCCCCAGACCCTTGGGACGAAAGGTGTGACTGACGAATGCCCCCTTGCCCTCGAGCTCGACGTAAGCTTCCAAGCTTCCCAGCACAAGCTCCGTGCTGGGTCGACGCTTATGCTCCAGCCACTTGGCCGTTCGATTCGTACCTGTTCGACCCTGTTGGCGTTGACAGACAACATGAAACACTGGTGCCCGGGACCCCCAACCAACCATCCAGCTTCAGCTCTGGTCATCCACCTTTTGAGTTCGGCACTGCAAAGCATGTCACTAGCTGAGCCTGAGCGCCTGTGTGCCCTGAAAAAGCATCCGTGCTTCCATCTTTTGCGGGGATTATACTGGTTCGAACCCGGAATACCCCTGAAGGCTGCATAATGCGGATTCTCGCATTCCCGGGCTTAGGCAACCATCAAATAATAGGTTAGCGACAGCTGCTGCTTCTTATGCCACTATTAATACTGTACCTCCCACCTTATATCACACTGAGCGCGCCTATGAACCATGCTTTCACAGTTTGGCCCCGGGCCGAATCCATGCTGATGATCACGTGTCACTCTCACGATGTTGGACTATCTAATTACAAAAGCACCTCTTGGAGGAGTTGGCTGGATCGGCCCGTATGAGTGTGCAGCTCCGGAGAGCATGTGGCCGGGCTTGGGCTGTGACGAGGCAATGCCAACATTATGCATGCAAAGCTCGTGGTACCTGGCCTTATCGGCTGAGCCGATATTATGCGCGTCGAAAAGGTCGATACTTAATAGATCTTCTGACGAGCATTGACTTATAACATTGTAGAATGAGAGGCAAGATCAGGCAATGTTGGACCATTCTTGCGATTGCCCCTTTTTCTCTCAAACAGCTTTGTTTCCCAATTCTTTGAAGCATTTCATGACTTCGGATCAGCAACCAGGTGTAGTAGAATTCCCACTCTTGAGTACCGTTCTTTGGAGTATGTTTCCATGGCCAGCGCAACAAGTGACACTAAAGAGAGTCTCTAGTGGACTTGACGGAAATGTCTTGAGAGCGGTGATCCTCAGCCCTCCCCCAGCCTTCGTTCTTTCAACTTTATCTTCCCGACACCATTTCAAAGAATGCATCGGGTGAAGCCCATTGAACGGATTGTCATCACCTTTGGGAGCGCGAGCCTGGGAGGGTAGAAGCATCAGGTGGAGGATGGTGTTGATCCGCTGCTCCTATGAATTGACGGTGATCTGCAGCGCCTTGCCCTCATGGGAGCGGACCTGAAGTCAATCTGATAGAAGCAAGTATCATTACCGCTTGGCACACTAGCGACTGTGTGGGAAGTAAAGGTGTCACACGCGGCAGTTATGTTTTCGTTTCAGATGCAATGAAGGGTTGACCTGATGACGACCGGAGAATGGCAGGTGCGAGGACTGGAACCAAGCGCAGAGACGATGGTTGGTATAGGAGTGGTGACATTCAAGTCCTGAATCACCGAGATCAGCTCCTGGTATCGCCAAATGTTCGACAGTTGTGGGGCTAAGAATAAGAGACGCAAGGACGGCGGGGCGGAAATAGGCTCTACTTTGATTATAGATCAGCAACTCTGTAGATAATGCTATAGCCTGGATACCTTGGTGTAAGTAGTCGTGAAGGCGACCTGTGTTTTGCGCAGGTGGGAGGAGGGGTGGGATCACAGATCAAGCATAACCTCGTGGATCGACCTTTCACCAACATCAAGTCTGGCCAAAGTTCACGCCAAGCTCGGCCTCAGAATGGGCCATCAACTGCGCTTTTCATGATTTCTGCTCAACCTCAACATCTAAAAGGTCACTTGTGATTTCTATTCACACCTCTACGACAACTTCACTTGACTAACTTCCTCAATATCCTGCTGCGTTTTGCTCCTTGTCGAGTCCCATGTGCAAAGACAGTTTCTCTACTCTCCAGTTCTCACACTCGTTGCCATCACCTTCACTTTCACCCTCATCCTCCTACCTTGACTTTCCCGCGACTCCAATCGGCGATGATCTCCTACAGCCAATATGAACGGCATCATCGAGCCTTTACCTGGCCTCCTTGATGATCCTCTATTTCAAATTCCTGATTTACCTGCCCTGACTGACTTTCAAATTGCCCCTCTACGAAATCCTGCTCCGAGCCGTCATGCAAATGTCCCTCTACCCCTCGAACCTGTGGCCGACAATAGCCTGGGTAATGCACGGACGAACAAAACTACTACACATCCTGTAGAAAGTCCGGAGAGGAGGAGGGCGCCATCAATAACTCCCAACGATGTCCTTCTTGCACGAGAGGCAAAAAGACCACATCTCGCCATCAGCGAGCTGCTGGAAGCCGACCATGGCCCGGACCCTACACCAACATATCTGCCCTCATTCATCAGTCTGGCTGTGGTGGAAAACTCTCCTGTCCAAGCCCCCTCGTTTCTAGAACATCCTCAATCTCTCAGGCATCTGAGATTGGACGCGGACAACGACCATGTTGCTCTTGACTGGGCCAGGCATCTTCCTCCCCCAGCTCAGAAAGAAAACCGTCACAACAGACCGACTCCGCTCCTCCCTGCTATGGTTACAGGACTGCATGAGCCTCCTCCCTCTGCAGCTCTCCTGCCATCCATTGACCTTGACTCTCTACATCCGACCGTCACAGCATTACACGAGCCTTCCGCTCTGTTACCATCGCTTGACTCTCGCCCAACACGTGCCACGATTACAGGACTGCATGAAACTCAGCCTACTGCGCTGTTGCCGGCAGTCTATCCGGAGTCGATACACACCACGAGCACGAGGCAGCATGAACCCCGTCCCACTTCTGCGGCTCATCCGCCACCGATTGATGTCGATTCGACACAAGCCACTACCCGGCCAACACCAACAACAACATCGAGGATTCATGTCAGAGATATGCTCAGAGACTCCGTTGGGCCAGACCGTGAACCCAGTCTACCAGATCCCGAGCCCATTCAACCTGACACTGACCCTTACCCCCAAGAAGTTGACCCCTACAATCCAGAAGCTGATCCTTATTACCAAGAATCTGACCACTACCGTCAAGAATCTGAATCTTATCACCCGAGTCCTGAAGCCGATCAACCAGATATAGACCCTTCACCTGAACCCATTCCTCCTGGCCGCGTTATTGATACACGTATTACTTTTACCAGGGCCTTTCTAAGGACTGAAGAACTCTCTCCCGACGAGATCCGCCAACGCATTCCGAAGGTGATCCATCCTGTTTGGAAGGAGACAAACAAGAAGATCTTTAAGCGTCGAGCCAGGCGGAGATGGACTGATGCTGAAACTGCAGACCTCATGGCCGGCGTGAATAAATACGGCATCGGCCGATGGAAACAGATTCTAGACGATCCGGATTTCCACTTCAGGGACAGAAATTCCGTGGATTTGAAAGATCGGTACCGCGTTTGCATCAACGACAGGCCCTCAAAGTCCGACACCCACCTGGGAGTCGACAGTCCTATTGCAGAACCATCTCCATCCATTGAGATACTGGGAATACGACACTGTCGTGAAGTGGCGGAGCGACTGGCAGATCGGGGTCAGAGTTCGAAACAACGTCGTAAACGCCGTGCTTGGACAGACCTCGAGGACGAGAATCTTTTGGCGGGTGTAGCACGACATGGCTTCCAGTGGACCGCCATTCATGACGACCCAGACCTGGATCTGTCGCACAGGCGAGCCACCGACCTCCGAGACCGCATTCGAAATAAATTTCCAGATGGGTACAAGCACGCCGAGTCTGCGCCGTTGAGGTCAGAGGTCAGGAAGGCGGAGAAAGAAGCCCAAGCTGCAGAATCAACTACATTAGAGACGGACGTCCCTGGGCAAGTGCCCAATGCAACAAAGGTCTCGGCGAAGGGGCGACGGAAATCTGGGAAAGTGACGGTAGCAGATGAAAGTGCGACTACTTCAGCTCGAAGAAAACGCCGCTCGTTTCTACCAACTGCGTCGGCCTCCTCGGTGAACAGGCTAACTCGCGATGAGCTCGACCAAGACCATGAAGATATGCAGGAGGAACACGAGAGAGAAAGAGAACGCGAAGCTGAAAATGAGCAACAACAATCCCTCATTACATTGCCCAGTTTGACACTCGACCTCGATGACATGGACTGGGAGGATAATAGGCTGCCACCGTTGCATGACGGCGATGAGGATGATATTAGCGACTAGCACCGGAACGGAAAGTGGCATGTGCATTTGAAGAATTGACAAGTGACAAGAAAGGAACCTCGAAGATTGACATCAGGCTTGAACAAATATTTTGGAGCAAACATTATGGTATTGGCGGCACTGGAGGGGACTGGGCATGGGAAGTCGCAGAAGGCGATACAACGCGGCTCATGTAGCGACAGGACATCTGTATTCTTGTTTTCCTGATTGTTTCCTTGGTTGATAGGCAATTTCGGGATGAAAAAAGGAAGGACAATGGGTTCATGGAATGGAAAGGGGACTGGTGAAGGTGCTATTATTTCGACTGTGATACCCCTTGGTTTTTGGTACTTGGACAGGGCGGGGATGGGAAATTTGGAACTGGCACGTAAAGCTCTACCTGAACATATCTATATACTAGGTACATGCGTCCGTGTGTTATGTACTTTGGTACCTTGGTAATGAATACTTACAAAGGCACCAGGGCCAGAGACGGCCGTGTCTAAGAGTTATTTTTCTGTATTCCTACTCGTGAGCCCGAGGTCGGAGAGCCTCTGCCTGCTCCAGCAGATCGGATACTTGTATAGAATCTACAATCTATATGTACTTGACATGTATTACAGATACTACTACTGCTGGAACACGACTGAGCCACCCTCTCTTCTCCCTTCTTCGTTGGGTTACCCCACGCATACGCTTGTAGCTACTGGTCGAGTTGAGTCGAATCGGGCCGTGTCGATGAAAAAACTTGTCTATCTATCGATTCAGCCGTCAACATGACATTTCGGTATCACGAACACAGGGTTCGAGGGAGGAGAGGCGGGAAAGAGGTGGAGCTAGTCGGCTCTGCTCGGTCTTCTTCGCCTTTGGGCTCTGGGCTCTGGGCTCTGGCTCTGGCAGTGCCTTCGTCCATATCTCGTCAGGATTGTCGCTTCATACACGGTGTAAGCAGGTAGGACGTAGCCAGTTATACATGGTTGGGACGGGATGGAGTCATGTTCAAGCGCCAAACGGGAGAAGCAAAGGAAAGAGAGAGATAGAGATTTCAATGGGCACGTAGGTGCATATTGCGGCAGGATGGCGTGAATGGTCGGTCTGATTTTTCTGCTCCCCACTCCTCTCTCAGTTATCTTGACCTGGCCTTTTGTGTCTTGCTTCTTCGGACAATGCGTATCACACGTATGAGGTACCTCGGACGTCCTTTGTATGTGCCGGACACTCCATGCAGGTGTAGACTTCTGGCGCGGTGCTTCGCTGTCGTGAGAGAGCCGAGAACTTTCAATACGCTGCATTCCTGCCTGACCAACTCGCTCAGTGTGCTGCGAGGGTGTCGAAACTATACGCCGTCAACAGTACTCCATGACAATCCCACTCCCCCATGCGTACGCTCAATTGAAAGAAACAAACACACAGAGTCGAATAATGCCTTCAGAGATTTGCTCGCAAAAAGCCCTCGCTTCCAATTGTCATTTTGCTCGTCATCTCGTTTGATCATTCTGGCCATGTCGTTTCCTGAGGCAATATTTTATTTCACCTAGAAGTAGGCCTTTTCACCAAGCATTACGATCCCAGTTCGGATCTATTTTGTCTTCAGTCAGCCCAAGCTTGTACCACCATGGCAGAGTCAATTCCCTTACCTTGTATAAATGCCCCGAGAACCTTGCTCCCAGTCTGCAACAGCGGGTGTCCGACCACTATTTGTAGGAACCTCTGAAGCCCTTCCCTCCTGTGTTCAATCACATCATCCGAGAATCTGTTCGTGAATACTTTTCCAGGTAGTGGGGGGATTGTGACTCTGGCGCTTTCTCGCTCCAGGATATCTCGAAAGTACTCGAAGTCGGAGTATCGGCGGCGGACGACCGAGTGACGAAGTTTGAAGGCCGGAATATTGGTACGGGTGTGGATTTCATAAGAGGTATACATGTTACGAGGAGAGGAACCGTGGGTTTGTGGGTTTTTCACCTGCGAACGAGGTCAGGCTATGTTCACCGAGAAAAAGTACTTCTGATTCAAACATGGCGACTAGGAGAGCCCTTGCGGCGCATGAGAGATCGCAGAACGTACCTCAATCTCGAGGAAGTTTTCTGGAGGGCCGTAGATCTCCTCGAAAGTTTGTTGGCGAGACTCTGGTAGGGCTTGCATGGCTGCGGGGTTGAAATAGAGGACGCAGGCAGCTGAACAGGGTGATCGGTCGCGTGCACTTTAGACACAAGGTAAAGGCGATTTGAATGCACTCTGAAATCTGTAGGGCGTTGATAAAAGCAATTCGGTTATTAGAGCTGAGGACGGGTATGTGAGGTTAGCCGTTGGACTGATTTAGGGCGTCACCCAGAGTATCTTGGTGTCCGTCGAGAAGATTCCTGCAAAGCCGCACCTGACTTTTGCCGCTTTCCCAATCGGGCCACCCCGCATCCTCCTGCGCCAAGGCCCGTTGAGTGGGTCTCAAATTTCGCGGCAGGGGGGCCAGTGATTTTTTACATATATTTCGGACATTTTTCTTCACTGTTGATCAGGAAGGACTGTAAACACACCCCAGATCCTAACAATGGGGACTGACACGGCGTCTAAAAAACGGAAAAGAGAAGTCGACGTCGAGCTTGTCAAAGTCTACGAGGACCTGGCCGACAACCAGGAGGACGTTCGTCTCGCTGCAGCCCATACGTTGCTGTCCAAAATCTACAAGCCTGGAATCACGAGCCATGAGCAGACCCTGACCATTTTGAAACGGCTTTTCCGTGGACTTTGCAGCAGTCGCAAATCTGCGCGTCTCGGATTTTCTGTCGCCTTGACCGAATTTCTTTCTCAGCTTACAACCGCCGCGGCCAATTCGTCCGAAAGTGTTGTGTCCCCATCAATTGTCATTGATATCCTTGAAGCCCAGACCTTGCCAGAGAAGGGTACTTCTGGCCAGGACGAGCGTGACCACTATTTCGGCAGAATTTTTGGTGCTGATGCCGTTTTGAAATCGAGAATTCTTTTCGGCAAGAAAGCGGATCAAAATCAGTTCAAGCGCCTGCTCGACATTATTTGTGCTTTAGCAATTAAGAAGCCGTGGCTCCGTCAGGAATGCGGCTGGGTCCTCTACAATTGCACGTTGTACGATCATTACGAGCTGCCACCACCCTTCTCTCTACTCATCTGTGAACAGCTGGTTGCGAACAAGCTGATACGTACACCAGAGGGCGTGGCAATCTGGTTGGCGACAACTAGGCGCTTCCCTCATGCGAAATTGCCCAAGTCGGCTTGGAAGAGCGGTCATCCACTGGCGAAGAAAGACGTGAATATCCTTGCCGATATCCTCAAAGATGCGAGGATCGAACGAGCGGAGGCAGATGGCGATCTGAAATCCCAAGGCACTGCGAGATGGTCTGCCAAGCTCCATTTTGCCTGGGATGTTGTGCTTGCTGAAATCTTCGGAAATACGTCGAAACAGCCTGAGAATGGGAGTGATGGGAAAAGTAGCATTCGGAACGAAGACAAACTCCCCTTCGACCTGTTCTGGAAAGTTGTTGTGGATGAAAGTCTTTTCGCACCTGCAAGCAGCGCGGAGCGGAAATCCTGGGGGTTCAGTCTATGGGAAAAGATCTTTGAAACAGCCCCCCGAGAACTATTGATCTACACCTTTACGTCGCGAGCGAGTCATTGTTTGGTCAATTCCCTCAAGAGCACCGAAAGATTTCTCCAAAGGTCGGCCCTAAGATTAACCCAGATCATTCAGGCTTGCTTGACCAGTGCTGAGCCCTGGGATCAACGCGCCAATCTCGCCGGAAGTTACGTCCGCGCACTGTTACAAAGTGTTTCTTTCGGCGACTTTGACCATATCACCAAGTCCAAAACTCTACAAAATCTGTTCGAAGGAGCAACCGCGGATGTGTTAGAGGGCATCAGTTCTGCTTTGACCGACCTTCTGACTAGCTCTCATGAGCAGGACACGAAGACGACACTTTTGCAACAGAAAGCGCTTGTAAATTTGCAGTGGAAGCTACTCTCAGCAAGGCTCCGCCGCTGGGAACAGCTTCAAATGTCGCAACTTAACACCATCGACGACAAGGAGAAGGCACTTGTCTCCGGAGTACTTCAGTCATGGCTCAGAGAAGTCTGCATATCGCCAACTTGGGCGAGCTCGCAGAACCTCAACCGTGATATGCGGCCGAAACTGCTGCCAGAGGTTCACGAATTTGTAAAGGAGCGTCTGAGCTTGTCCTTTGAGCAAGCCCTCAAACTTGGGCCTCTGGGATGTTGGTTGTTGAAGCATGTGATCCTCCACATTCGCGAGTTGGAGGTCCTCGACATCCAGATGACTGCTGCCTTTGAGGACGACGTTAAGGCTATCGTGGAGACAGCGTGGCAAAGCTTGGTAGGTATTCCCATCAATACTCAGACAGTCTCGACAGCCAGCCGAGCCGCAGCAAAGGCTTCGAAGGCCTCGAAAACGCCCATACGAACGGCACTGTCGTCATCTGAGGGATTGTGCCTGCTCTATGCCTTATTACTATTCCAAATCTACAGCGGAGAGATAGAGGCTGTGCAGATCTTACAGGAAGTGCTTGAAAACTGGGGTCGACGGAAAGATAATCAGAAAAGCAAGGTTCCGACTGAAAATGGACAAGAGTCTGCCGATGCGATTATGGAGATTCTCCTCAGCTTCTTATCAAAGCCGTCCAAATTCTTGAGGCGTATCACGGTCCAGATCTTTGATGCTTTTGCCCCCTCTATTACTGCCACTGGCCTGGAATCCATGTGCCGCATTCTTGAAACCAAAGAAAACCTTCGGGGACAACAAGAAATGTTCGAAGCTGGAGATATTGGGAATGAAGGCGAGGAGCACCTTGCCTCTGACTCTGAAATGGAAGACCTAGATTCGGATGTCGAAGTCGGTTTTGTTTCGGAGTCTGGCGAATCTTCCGAAAAGGAAGATTCTGATTCGACATCGACATCCGATGATTCTGCGGAAACTTCAGATGCCGAATCTGCAGACTCTCAGGAGTCAGAGGACAATGATGCCGAAGATGAGGAGCTTGCGGCGTTCGATGCACTACTTGCATCTGCGCTTGGCACAAGACGGCTCAATGAGGGTGATCTCAACGCTGCGTCAGACACTTCAGAATCCTCTTCCGACGCAGATATGGATGACGATGAAATGATGAAACTGGATTCCAAGCTTGCAGAAGTCTTTCGCGCGCGAAGTGAACAACAATCAAAGAACAAAAAGAACGAAGCGAAAGAGGCAAAGGAGAACATTGTCAATTTCAAGAACCGCGTGCTCGACCTGATCGACTCGTATCTGAAGCACCAGGCACACAAATCACTGAGCATGGATTTAATACTTCCCCTTCTCAGGCTTGTGAGAACCACGCCAACTAAGCAGCTGGCCAACCGTGCTTGCAGTATCCTCCAGCAGTTCTGCTCACGGTGCAAAGGACCCAATGCCCCCGAGCTACCGGACGACTCTTCCCGCGAGCATGCCATTGAAATCCTGAAGTCGATCCACGAGGAAGCGGGCATGGAGTCGTCACATGCGCACTCCAACGCAGCAAGTCTGTCGAGTATTCTTGTTGCGAAGGCTCTCGTAAGAGCCAATCCATCCGATATCAAAATGGTTGTGGAGATATACGCGTCGACAAGATTGAGGCAACTAACGGACAAGAAATGCAGAATTGTGTCGGGCTTCTTCACCGATTGGAACAATTGGTGCCAAAGTATCAGAGCGAAGCTAGTGGAGTGATATGGGGCTGGTCATCTATAAAGAAGATATTAGCAGCATCAAGCACAAAACGATCGAATGGCGAGAAACATCTTTCCAAACTTGTCATGCTGAACATCCATCCGTGCCTTTTCAGAAGCAATACAAGACCTCGTTGGGTGCATATGGAAAGCGTATTTGCAAGGCATAAGTATACAGTCGTTTGCAATTGCGGCTTCACCTTTTACATACACTCAAAGATTATTAAGCCCAAGTCGTCCGCCCTACTTAGAACTAGATAAGCTCAAGCGTATATTTCTCCACTACCAATCATTTATTGCGTGCTGGTTAGCTGGTGTGTCAGTTTACCGTACATAACAATTATATATTACCCACCAAAAGCAGTGGCTACGCGGTAAGCTATACGCGATAATAGCGGCAACACTGTCCCTCCACGTGATTCCCCAGCCTGCTCTGTGGAGTTAAGTCGCATCTCCCTCATCCTATGAAACGCTAGGAAGAATGAAAAGAGTGGTACTGTATGGTCGTTCCCGAAAGTAGCCAACATGCCGGACACATTTGCAATTCTTTTCTAGGCAGTCTTGGGGGATTTAGTCCTGCTCCAGCTTAACTTCGAACGAATCACAGCTATGGTGTGTGTTAGCTGCAAACCATACTATCATGCGGACGAGATCCAAGGGGCGTTTCGTCAATCGTGGACTTTGATAACTAAGTTAGTCGTGTGCATTGTAGAAAACCATCCACCCCGCGGCGGATTGAACCATTTCGCTGAATGTCCAACTTTAGTGACGTCCAGCATCACGAAGGACGGAGGACTCGCCATGAGAAGAGAGACGTGCCCTACTCCATGCCGGGACAAAGTTGCTCCTTGGATTCGGCGAACAGGGCTGTCCGAATCGCTCTTCAACCTCGGTCACCTTTTCCCAAGGATGTGCGCTTCTGAGCTGTTCAGCTCTCTCAAATGGCCCCGACAACAGCACCTGCCAGTGAGAAGGCAATCCAAACAACGGTGAGAACCATAAGTTTAGGGGGACAGAACCTAAATCCAGTCAGTGAATATGAGCCCAGTAAGTTGATGAAACGCACTCTTCCAAACTCAGACCAATAAATCCGCTCCAAAAGAGCCACTGCGCGATCCAAAGAAAGAGCATGGTTATAATCGCGACTGTGTGCAGCTTCGTAAATGCTTTCCGGGTAACCTGGTTGTGTTGGCGTTCAACATGGAGAGTGCCATATGCCATGTAACTTCGCCCCTCACTTCTCGTCAACGATTCTTCTTCCGAGCCCTTATCCTCGTGTGCGCAGTGTGGTGCCATCCTCTGCCCCAACCACTTCCAATGTCGATTTAAGAGCACCAGCGACGAAACAAACGCCGCGATAGCGACAACATGCCACAAGAATGCTCCAGCATACATAAATTTTGCCGGTGGTGCGCCGTCTAGTTTCTCCATGCCTTCAACGTAGAAGTTGTGCGCTCGGCCATAATTGACGGTCATAACTAGATAATACGACGACAAACCCTGGAGGATCGTTTCCGCAAACAGGGAAGACCTGGCCGCGGAGCAATGCATCGCTTCCAATGGTCGTGTATCAAGTAGCAAAGTCACGAGCCAAGTAAGTCGAGGCATAGAGCACCAGAGGAGCATCAACCGAACAATGGGCACGTCCTCATAACCAGTGGTTTGCTGAACAAGGAATGCATTGAGCCAGTTGGCAAAGAGTTGAAGAGCGGCGATGAACACCCCTCTGGAAAACCAACCTTGCAGATGCGGGTGCCAGCGAAAGCCACTGGCGATTTGATGGACGCGGGTTCTCCGGCCGAGAAAGGCGGCAAGCAAGGTCGCTGTATTGATCATCGCCAGGCTTCCGAGCTTCCACTCGGTCGTGGCACATGTTTCTGTGACCTTGGTAGATCCCGAATGGGTTATAGAGGCCGGGTTAGAATTGTTGGATGGCTTGAGATTCCATCGCCATGGAATCATGTCGTTGCGGGTGGTGGTGGCCAATTGACGCCAGTTATCCGGCAGACCATGCCAGTCCTGCACATTGCCACAAAGTTCGTGGAGCCAATTGACATAATCTATTCGCGTCTCGAAAGTCTGGCAGGAGCCTCCGCAGGAAGCATAACGAATGTCACGGCAGAAGCAAGCCCGGTCAACTGCGCGCACGACCTGGCAGTAGCCATCGGGGTCGACCCGACAAGCGTCGGTTGCGCATTGACTAGGGAGCTCGATCACTTGCTTCGGCATATCCGCGACACACTTAGGCCAGTGCAATTCGTCGATGGGGATATACGCGAATTCCGTGGTCTTGAGTCCGTCCGTCCAGTTTGCGGGTAGCGACGTCGGCCCACAAGTGGCATTCATCCACAATCGCTCCCTTGTCAAGTCTATTTCCCCCGGTGTTCTGCACGGTTCCGTTTGGGGGTCGATCCTAAACGCACCGCAGAAGCATGCTCTGTCAAAATAGTCACCAGATCTGATGTAACTCCAGGTGATGTCATAACCGACAGTCTCATAATCCAGCGGGATCATGGACTGATGGGCCCGACTGTACTCCCAAGGACGAGCGGCATTTCCGGTATGTTGGGTGACACTAGTGAAACTACAGGAGGCTATCACATGTTGAAATGCTTCCATCGATGAAGGAGAATGTGAGCCCGTCAGACACGTCGGTGCCAGGTCAATCACGTCAACGGCCGCATATCCTTTAGCCAGGGAGGCCGGGGAGAGGTTTTGCAACCCGTTCGTGTCGCCGACGTCGACAAGCCACGTCCGACCAGTGACTTTCCGAATCCACAGATACAACTGAGCTTTGGCGAGCACTGATCGGCTGCAGTTTGGGAGATAACCTTGGACCAAATCGGCAGAAAAGGCGACACTGAGGCAGCTAAGCTGCGTCAGCCATTGGTGGTGGGTGCAGATGACTCCAAAATGCCGAGTGCATCGTAGGCTGGTACATTTCGTCATGGCACTCAGCCAGATGGATTGATCCTGCTGGGCGATGCACTGTGGCATGGGAGTCAAGTCTTCAGGATTGACCCAGCCATTGCGATTGTTCTGGGGTATCAAGATACCGCTCTCCTTGTAGGAACTAACGCCGATGCCACCGAGCACTTCTGCGGTTCCCACGTTAGTAATTATCATGGGCAGTGAAAGGTCTCCAGAGGGAGATACCTGTCGCCGCCACCCAGCAAACCCCAACCATCAGCAGCACCAGACATATGATAGACGACTTCATCTTGCTGATATTGTCAGGTGTCCTGTGCTTCAAAGTGCAGTGAGAGGATAGTCGCTGCCGCCTGATTTGATTTTAGATAGATGCGTTGCCGCTTTCAAGTTTCCACGCTTTTCAGTTCACCAATCAGAAGTCATCCGTACTGTCACGTAAATTCATGTATTCAGTGGACACGAAGCTTACCCAACGCTTAGACTTATTTAGACTAGATTAAAGGAGCCACTGGGGCTTTTACAATTATGTTTGTCTGCAAAGGTGAAGCCGCAATTGCAAGCGCCTGTAGTGTAGCTGGGCAAGCAACATGTCGGATGTTGCGGTTAGAATTTTCCTGCAATCGAGAGCAAGTTGAGTGTGATTGGGGACCTGTAAGCCATGCAGGGATCTAAATCAGTCTTTTTATTAATTGATCGACCATTGGCGTGGCTCATCTTGCGTCGGAGTGTTTCGTGGTGTTGTCAATCAAACATTCGCTAGGGATATGAAGTATGGACGGGGTGATGAGTAAGGCTCCCACCTTCCCAGGCTGCCAAGGGTTCTTGGCAGACCTAACCCTAATTTAGCAAAAGGTCGAAACTAATACGAGCCTCGGGGTTGATTACGAAACACTCAGGCACTCCCTCTCTTCACCCATTCTCCCACTCTCCCACTCTCCCTACCAAAGTACTTGTCAACCCATACATTAAAGAAGAGATGTTCGAAATGTGAGAGTCTGAGTACGAGGCAAATTCCGCTGCTTGATGCGTTGACCATTTTGGACGCCATCAGTTTCAAGCTCTATGATGCAACTCCAATCGTATGGCTTTCAGCCTTGTTCGGGTTGTATCCCAATCTGGTATCTCATGCTCGCTGAGGCTATGGCTTACTGATGCATATCAATCTCCCCACTCTGTCAAGACCCTAGCCTGCTGTCTGTGCCAAATTCTATTCCATTTGTTCTTCTTCAGCGCATTGTGCCCCGATGTTCACCTGATACATGCTTGAGCCTTTTCCGCTGCGTGGTTCTGCTCGAACGCGTCTTTTGTGCCTCGATCTTTGTTTACTTGCTGCGTGTCTCTGAACTGGAGGCCAGGGCGCCGAACAGGAATCGTAGCATCTTGGATTTACTGGATTCTATCTTATTGCGATGCTGAAGTGATTCTCCTTCTGCTTCGGCCTTTCACCTAGGAAGAACCTGACCTTTCCATTACCTTGCTTACCCTGCTTTGGGATCCTTCACCATCTTCACATCGGCAACATGGCAAACTCAAAGCCACCCTCAATGCTGAAGAGGCTTAACGACAAGCTGGGGTTGAAGATCAATCTCCCAACCGTATTGTTGATGTTCAAGTAAGTTGTTGACTCGTGGCGAGGACAATACTACCTGGTTGATTACACGATGTGTTGCACTACGGCAACCTGCCTACCCTCTCGTTCCGAAGCGTTGGGTTCCGTGCTGATGGTTCTGTGCTAGAGGTGCTGTTGCACCTACAATCGGCCTCGCTATGTACGCTGCCCTTAGGGAAAATAAATCGATAAGAAACTCACTCCCGCCAGATATCAAGATACCAGTGTCGCAGACCATTATTCAACAATCGGCTACCTGATCCCTATCATGTCACTCTTCGTCGTTCCCATCCTGCCCAGAGCCAGATTTCTGCAGAATTTCTTCGTCACTTGTGTACGGTGTCAAACTTGCTCTTCTCGAGATCTGTAGAGCTCACCGTTACTAGTTTTTAACTTGCTTGGCTGCAGCAATATCTCTCCTCTACATGTGGACGGCGATCAAGGCTCGCAAAAACACAACACATATCTCAGCCGAGCAGCGGAGCAATGGACCAGTACCGGGAGCCCAAATTGTGCCCTACAACGCTGCGGCGAGCGCATGCCTTGCTGTGTGGTTCTTCTTCTGGCTCTGGGCTTACAACACGTATGTGCTCCCTTCATCGGCTGCTTCCTATCAATACGGCCGTGCTGATATCCTAGCTAGCTTTCGCGCTTTCCGACCGCAATATTTCCTACCTTTGATCGTATTTGGTATATATATCAACATTACGGCTGTATATGGAGCCATTTTTCCGGAAATGGAACAAGTGTACTCTTTGAGTATGTACCGGTATCCTCTCAAGAGGACTTCCACTGACTCTGTGGGGTCTTGCAGCTAGGCGACTCCTCGATACGTTCTTTGTCGGTTTCGGGCTTGCATTCGCCGTCCACTTTCTGGTGCTACCTATCACATCACGAGATCTGGCAACAATGATCCTTACAGAATATCTTCACGTCCTTAAAAACGTCATTGATGCTAAAGGAGCTCTGCTCATCTCTTTGCCGTCTCGCGACTGGAATAATGCGAGCAGAACGAGCAGCTCGGGAAGCGACAGTGATGGTGAATCAACCGAACGGTTGACCTCCTGGCCCGAAGCTGATAAGTGGAGAGCACTCACGGCGGCGGCGAGCGAATGCCAGGTCAAGATGCAGTCAGAGATGCGCTATGTCAAACGTGAGGTTACATTTGGGAAACTGTCTGGCAAGGATTACTCGTGCATCACAAAACTGCTGAGGAACATATTGATACCGATTGCCGGCCTTGAAACTGTGATTCAGGTCAACGACCGCGTTGAAAAGCAGGGAGGATGGACGTCGATCAAGTCTTCCAAAGACGGTTCGAACTCGGAAATTTCGACGAATCGAGCATTAAACGACGCCGAGAGGGAACGATGGAGTTGGCTATTTGGCCAGGTCGACGGGGCCTTCAAACTACTGTGGAAGGCAATGATCGAGGGTCTCGACTACGCATTCTTCACTCTGCAAATCACGAAGAAGCCAGCATTCACGACCAAAGAGGAGCTTGAAGCGAAAGGAGCCGAGTCTCCGGACGGAAAAGGCTTTGCAAAGTACCTTGAAGACACAATCAACAAGTTCTTGGCTGAGCGAGAAGAGCCTCTGAAAGAGTGGTGTCGCATGAACGAACCTGACGAGACCAGTGGTCACTCGGGTAGTCGATCTTCACACATGCGGCATTCGTCCCAATTATACCTTCTCCTTGATGTACGTATCACCCAGTCATACTGATTTAAGCTAACCTCTCAAGCTCGAGTACTGCATCGTACAAACCGCAATGGGAATCCTCGACCTGGTCCGGTTCGCGGATTCGAAAGTTGAAGACGGCACAATGAGAAAGAAACGGCTGATAACTCCTACGGGAAAACAATGGAAGAAGTGGGCGTGGGCAGTCATCAGCCGCGAAGACAGCAATCTGGACTACACCACCTACAGCTATCGAAGCGGCACCCCTACCGTTTATCTCGGCGATGCCCTGGGGGTGAACCGAGATCCTGAACACCTTCCCCCGGTGACCTGGTGGGAAAAGCTGACTGACTACTTCCGCCTGATCCCTAGGCTCTTCGGCTCCAAGGAATCATGGTTCGGTTTCAAGGTGGCCGTGGGAACTATGATCATCGCGGTCACGGCCTTTTTGCGAAACTCGCAGGAATTCTACATCAAGCAGCGCATCATCTGGGGCGCTATTATGGTTGCCATCAGCATGACCCAGACGGCGGGCTCAGGCATGTATGGGCAATTCGTCCGGATTTTCGGCACGTTCCTTGCCATGGTCCTCTCGTACATCGACTGGTACATCGTCGACGGGCACACAGCCGGGGTCATTGTCTTTCTGGGCCTGACCGTGTTCCTCTATCACTATCTCATGGTGACGAAACCGAACGACCCTGTCATTCCCATGATCGGAATGATCACCGTCATCCTGATCGTGGCGTACGAGCTTCAAGTCAAGCAAGTTGGCAAGGCCATTTCCGAATCAAACGGCCAAGTCTTTCATCCCGTCTACGAGCTGGCACCCTACCGACTTGCCTGTGTGCTTGGTGGAGTGGGCGTCGCCTGCTTGCTCACATATTTCCCGAGCGTGACTACGGCGAGGAGCGAGATGCGGAAAGACTTGGGGAACACACTGTATTTGCTGGGGCAATACTACAGCTCGTCGCACAAGTCGGTCTCGTTACGTCTGAAGGGCTTAGAAGGAGACGTCAAGGACAAGAGAAGTCCGCTGCGGAGGCTAGAGAAGGCCCGCACTCAGCTCTTTGCAAAGAATCTGATTCTCATCCAGGCCATGAAGAACCATCTCAAGTTCATCAAGTGGGAACCGACCTTTGGAGGCAGGTTTCCCCGGGAGCTGTACGAGAGGATGCTCGCGCACACAGAGAAGTAAGTCCATCGTTAGCCATTGAGAGCCCCCCTCGAATAGTGCCAACAGCGCTAACTTGTCGTCCTCCGCCCCAGCATCCTTCGCTTCACAGCAATGATCGCCTGGACGACCAAAACCTTCAAAGAGGTTCCCGAATCGGTCGGCCACCTGGGGGCCTCGAACCCCGCCGCCGACACGGACGAGAGAGGCACCTGGCTCAAGGATTTCACGCAGCTGATCTCGTCGCTCCAACTGACATCCCACAGCGTCACGACACTGCTGGCCATCATCTCCGGGTCCATCGGCTCCGGCAAGCCCCTCCCGCCCTACTTGCAGCCGCCCGAGCGGTTCCACATCGGCGAGATGCTCACCTCGCTCGACTCGAGCATCCTCGACACCAAGCACGTCTGCGAGCCGGGCTACTCGGCCTTTGCCGTCATGCAGGTCTGCACGACCATGCTCAACGAGGACCTGGCCGATCTGTTGGCCGAGACCAAGAAGCTCGTCGGCGAGGCTGAATGTAATCTAGACGTCGTCCAGGAGGACTATGAGAGGGACATTGGCATGGTTCCGCGCGAGATCCGGGAGAAGGCGGATTAAAAAAAAACTGTCTGGAGGTGAGGAGATCGGAAAGAGAGGTTAAGGAGTGGGGAGATGTGTGGTTGCACAAGAGAAACGCTCCAGGAACCGTTCTACGATACCGGCTGTCTCTCTGTCTCTGTCTCTCTCTGTGTGTGTTAGAACGCTGAGAGTCACTGAGCCTGGAATTGCATTGGTAAGGAAAGTCAAGGTTTACATCACATTATATATTTTATGTTACATGTTACATGTGGCCACCATCGAGCCCGTCTAATAAAAGAGCACATTGATTATGGATAGACAATCACAACGTTCGATTGAACATACTGTACTCTGATCGATTCCGGCGTGCCATAACTGGATGTCCTGATGTCCTTGTCGAAGCTCCCCATACATATAGAGCGTGTATATATATGTATATAGACTCTGGACTGTACTTTCTGCGCTGCTATTTTCGTTCACGGAGGGAGTGAGGCCGTTTTGATCCAGCACCCCGTGAGCAACAACGGTAGATATCGACCTACCTAAGGGGGGCTAAGGGAAGACGAATATATATATATATAACGGTGTCTTACTGAGCGCACCATCCTCTCAAAGTGCTCAAGACTCTTGAGTCTCTGTATATGTATAAGCATGAGATAGCCAAAGTATTGTCGACATGGTTCCAACTCTCGATCGATCAACCTAGGTCGATGGCTGCCGCTGGAGAATTTCTTCTTTGACCCTCTCATTAAATGTCTCCATGGCGGAATCAACGGAGTCCGACACATCATTAGTCTCATCCCACCGAGGGACGTGGATGAATGTGTGCCTGCGGTCGCACACCAGCCCCGGAGCTCCAGGTTTCACCCGAGGAGTTGCGTAACACGCCTGGTCGAGCAGGACGAGCCCGACGCAGTCCTCGCAGGTGTAGAAGCCCTTGCACAAGTCGAGCTTCTTTCCGCACCCGTCACAGACGGAGCCGCTGTCTGCATGGTCGGCGCCCAACGCATGCACCAGCTTCCAGGCATCAATCGCGATGCTTTCCTTGCCTAGCGAAGTCGTGACTTGTGCAAGGGTCGTGCATGCCAGTAGGTCGTTGGACGGGGTGTCGTCTTCCAGCATGTGGGAGGCCATGGTCGAAATTCTCTGCACGGCACCCATTTTCTTTTCGTGCTCGCCCCTGGAGAGGTGGTAACGGGCTGCACAGCACGACATGATCACGTTCTGCTCGGCCTCGTTCCGCATTCGCAAAAGCTCCTCGAGCTTCTGGCCTGACTTTTGCCTTTCGATCCCTTCGACATCTGGGGCCAGCGCCTGATACAGATAGAGGCGGGCAAGCTCTTCGGCAGCGTTGCTGATGTCGCTTTTCTCGATCACCGCGTCGTTTCCGTCTCGCTCCCTGTTCTCCAGGTCCTGGGCGTGATGAAGAGCTCCTTCGAGCTGCGCTATGGCCTCCTTCTTCTTGGGGGTGAAGCCAAGAGTGGTGCCGTAGGAGAGACACAGATAGAAAAGAGACATCACGTCCTTGTCTTTGTTGGCCAACTCCAAGGCTGTTTCGTATAGCTCGTAAACCACGCCCCCGTTCGGCACGGTTTCCGCCGCTAGAGCAAAGTTTCGACAGCGGGCTCGCCCCTTGAGTAAAAGGCAAACCATGTCATCCAAGTGCGGTTTCCACTCATGAGAATGACTGTTGAACTCCTCGACGAACTTGACAAACTCGTCCCAAGTCGAGCGTTTGCCATATCCGTCGAGAATCTGCCCGTAACTTTCAAACCAGGTACAGTTGTATTTCAGCCCTTCGAGATAGGTATTGGGTGCTTTGAGCCTGCGATCCTCCTTATCGCTCTTTAGGTAGAGATCGCCCAGTTCGATCTTTACGGATGCAATGATTCGTCCATAAAGCTTGACGTCGGGATCGCCTATATGGGCCAGCGCATCTTCGTACATCTCGATTGGGTCGTCTTCGTACCACCCGACCTCAAACTTAGCCAAGATATTGTTCGGATCAAGTCGTAGAGCCCGTTCGGCTCTGCTCTTGGCTTCACCATGGTCGTGGCAGTGTACACGGAAGATCCTGGACATGTGTATTTGAAACAGGGCATCACGAGCGTTTGCGTTGGGAGCACCTTGCGGAAACAGCACTGATCGTGCCCAGTCTTCTATTCGTTCCACCTGCTTGAGCGACAACTTGAACGTCGATCCGTCCTGGTTATTATTCTCATCACCAGTTGTCTCCTCCGGCTAGCACATACCGACCAAACGGTGGTTAGCGGAGACGGTCTAGTTATTGCGTGTCGTGGGTATCTGGAAAGTGGAAACTCACCTTTGATAAATATCTTTTCAGGAAATCAAGTGCGGTTTCTTGCCTTCTCGTGGATATCCTGCTCGACTCAAACAGGTGTCGGACCAATCGCTCGGCCGCAGGTCTAAAGATCCTCTCCGTCATATGGTCCTGGTCGGCCTGTGGGTGAGCGAACGCTGACGTTAGCTGTCTGTGTGATTCTTCTGCGATCCCGGCGACGACGACCTCGTCCTTGAACCACGACGAGAGGAGGATGAGTCCGTCGGGATTACGGATCAAGCGCCGACGGATGTCGCCCAGCCACCTGCCTTCGGTGTTGTCCCATCGATCAAGACTGGATTCGTCTTGGTGGGTCCAGAAGAAGGCGTCGATTGCATTCGGGTCGGTAAAAAGTCGGGCGAGGAGGGGTCCGGCCTCTGTCTTCAAGACCTCGTCGACCAACGACAGATCGACCTCTGTCAAATGGTCGAGGAGATTCTCAAGCGCGTAGCCGCGGAGAACATCCTCACTTCTCTTCTCCCCGTCTTTCGGAGCCTCTGTCAATACGCCAAAACAGACGAGCGCCATGTGGATGTTGGCGTTCACCGGGTCCATGCAAATACCTACCGCGGGCTTTGGGTGGCCGGTCCTCGCCCCCAAAAAATCCTTGAACTTGAAATGGTCAAACATGGCTTGTGAAGGGCAGACCAAGCGGAGGAATTGCTCGATGATTCTGTTCTCGCCTCGCACAATGTCCAGTTCACTCCTGTGGACGGCAACGGTCGGCTCGTTTCGGACGTCGGCCGTCCCTGGTCGTCGTTTCGCGATGTAAAACTCGGTGCTTGGATCACGCCACACGACAGATCCGGACGGGCTGATACTCAGAACCAGCTTGTACGTGCCAGCGACTCTCTCCATCAAGGTGGAGAACCATTGTCGAGCATGTTTCTGCTTCACGGCCGCATCCATTTCGGCCAGCGTCAGCGACCGACGCCCAGACGTGATCCACATGATGATCTCGTTTAGTTCGAATATTTCAGCCTCGTCGAGTGTCTTGTTCAACTCCGTGATATATGATTTGATCTGTTCCTCTGGTCCCTGGCGGACCTTTTCGAGCGCAGCACGGATGACCTCCTCCCTCTGGGTCGTGGAGATTTCTTGGAGAAAGGTGGTGATTTTGTAGTAGTCTCCTCTGCTCCACGATGGCAGGTTTTCCAGGATGTGCAAACGGCATTGATTGATGAGTAAATGTTTCGAATCCTTGAGATATCGCATCTCGGACATAGCCGAGGTGATGTAAGTTGCCAGGTCCTCGCTATTGTGTTGTCCTAAGATCAGAGCTTGGCTCTTGACACTACTGGACTGCGAGGGTTTCCAGCCTTCCAGTGATGAAGTCAGGAAGATGCGGATTCGGCCGTAGTCGTAACGATCAAGGGCCTCGAGCATGGGCAGGACAACCCTGCAACTCTCGAATCCGTCGATGAGAATGAATATATCTCCCCAGTTCCTCTCGTCGTTGTCGACCAGGAGGTATTCCCACTGTTTGATGCTATCGTGGAAGGCTTCGGACCCCTCCACGTCCTTGACCGCTCCAATGATACTGGCCATTGACTTGGCCAGGGATTTATCAGCCTCGGCGCACTGCCAGAGGATGCTCCGCACTACATGGGCAGTTCGTGCCTTGATCTCAGAAGGATCAGACGACTGCGCCCGAGGCCCCGACTGTTGGCCGAAGTAATAAGCCAGGATCGCCCCCCGCGACGTCAGCGCAGACAGCATCTGGACAACCCGTGCCATGATGAATGTCTTGCCCTGGCCGGATGCCCCTTGCAGCACGAGAACTGGGGCCCCGCTGGTGCCGTCTTTCCAGCCTTTAAAAATCTCGTTGTCTTGGATCCATTTCCCCGTCTCGGGGTTCGCGTCTTTGTAGAGCTTCCCCAGTTCCGACAGCCCTGGTTCTCTCTGATCGAATCCCAGTGCCCTTGCAATGGCCTTGCTCCACTCGGTCTCGTCCAAGTTCATGTCTGCACGCAGGTCAGCGATCGACAACTCGATCTGAAGGGTCTGCGACACTATCTCGTCCTGGAGATACTTGTCCATTTGAGTCAACAGTGCCTTGACCCTTGCATGCTTGGAGAAGAACAGCTTCGCCTTCCCCACAACTTTTCGGAACAGGCTGCATTTCTGGCTGTTTGCATAGGCACAGATCTCGAAGAAGACGTGTAGCTGCGCCACCAGGGTTTTACACATATGGGAGGTTATGGTCCTGCTCTTCATGTGGTCCTGGAGACGCACAAAACACGTTTGGCATGCGTGCAACAAATCGGTGATGTTCTCCCAGAAGTCACTGTAGCTCTGCACTCCATCGATAAGGAGCACGACAGCACCGAAGCACGCCGGTGCTGGTGCGAATACCTGCACAAAGACAGTGAGTGTTCGACGTGACCGACAGGGGCACCCGAAGACGCCATACCACTGAGACGCCGTCGCAGATGACCGATCCAGTAGATTTGACGACATTCAAAAAGCTTTTGATACCATCGCCACCCTTGTTGCTCTCGTCTTGGTTCTTCTTCAGGAATTCCTCAAGCTTCTTGACTGCCGTGGTCGTATCAAAGTCCTGAATCTCACCGGCACGGTTGGTCTTGATGTCCACGCCAATTTCGCCCAGCAGGGTGTGTCCTTTGAGGAGATGGGCGATCTTGCTCTGGGCCTTCTTCCACTCTTCTTGAAGGATTCTTTTCATCTCGTCGTCGTCGTTTCCAACACCTGCCAACAAGTTTCGTTGTTCGGGTCTCGACGCCATGATGGTGAATTGATGTCGATTTCGCGGATGGGAGAATGCCAATATTTCCCGACAACGCGGCTGAGATGGCTGGATTTTGTATAGACAGCCCCGACGATGGGATCAAGGTGAAAGACCTTGATGTCCGCTCAAAGAAATCAGAAGTCGTGTTGGCGCCTCGATTTGTATCCAAAAAGTGTCATTTCTCCAGTTGCATCTTTGCACATGGACAGAGTAATTTATCAAGGTTTTCACCTCGTATATTACTTTCGTTTTCGTGTATAGGTTCGTGATCAATCTTCAGACACATGGAGTCTGGAGACGCGGAGTCGACTGCGTTCTGATGATAAACTTAGTACGTCCAATCGAGGAGTGCCACGACAGCGAAACGATTTGGGCATCGACTGCCGGAATTCAATCTCTTCGTTTCCATTCGACGGCCCCCCAACCCCCAACGGGGTCTTATGTCCTCCGTGATAACCAGGTTATCCAACGCATCCTAGCTCTTGTGTATCTATCGAATTGTAGTCGGTGCAAAGAAAAAGTACACAGTCCCATGGGCGAGCACCTCCTCCTAGCGAAAGTATTATCACGACCACTATCAGGCTGAAACAATAATTGAGTAGTCATTGACGAGAGGAACAAAGTGGTGAGAGAAAAGGCAGTGGGAGAGTTGAGGGCGGCGACAGTCTTGGGGCATTACAGGCAGAAATTTCCTTTTGAGAATATTCCTAGTGAGGAATAGTGTTGAAGAATTAAGAGATCAAGCCTCACGAATCGGGTGGGGGCCGTGGTTCCGTCCGTCGTCTGGCAAACTTTGTACAAGACATCTCATGCATTCTTGCCGCTTCCGTCGACATCTCTGTGGACTTTGCGAATATAAATGCAAACACAGATAGCATCGTCTATCGTTCCTGACCGAATCCTGCTTCCCTCACCCGAATGTTTGGGGGGGGGGGGGGGGGCCTGAACAGCGCCCACTTGCCATGGATGGCAGGGTGCTCATCGACCTTCTCTACAGAGTGTTGGTGGATATCTGAGAGTGGACCCGGTTGGATATGAGCTATTGATCTTCTGTGATGAGAATTCTTTGCCTGATGTTCAGACACTGGAAAGCAACACTTAGTGTCTCCCCTAATTTCTCTGAAACGAAGACTCACAGTCAAATTTTGTGATCGAGAGTTGTTATCTAGATTGATTCTCTGATGGTCACACGGGACCAAGCGCCTCAGACAGTCCCGTTGGCATTGGTGATGCTGAGTTCGAAAGAGGTTGCTGGGTGGTAAGTTGGTCTACCCGGTTGGCGTGGAGTGGTCGACCTTTCGAGAACTATCAGGTCCCGTCTCATCGTTGGCCTGACATAGTGTCTTGACCGCTCTGCTGTAACTCATGTGCCAGGAGCGGACTGGTGAGATCGTTCTGCCTGGCTCTGCGGCTTCTGCCCTATGACGGTATATCTGCCGTGTATAAGTACAGGACGTCAAAAGCGCACCGTGGATACTCACACATCGTACAAGGCGTGGATCTCCCTGTTTTTCAAGTCCTTGCGGACATCGACCAGCAGTGATTCCAGCTCATCTTGGGTCCATCCAAGGACGCCCAGGAACAACCTCAAGCTAACAGCCTGTAGGCCCTCAAAGATCTGGGTCCAATTGACCAAGCCCATCCGCTTCAGTCTCTTATCACGCGGCCAAGGACCAATGGGCACTGGAACCTTGACCGCCTGAATATTGACGAAGCCGGAATCCTTGACCCACTGCTCGATATGCTTGCCGACGCGTAACGTTCTGCCGATTTTGCCAGCCGCCTGGTGGCACAGCGCGAGCCAGCGGCGGACCGCATGCTCTTCGGTCAACGACCCATCTTGAGAATAGTAGTTGATGTCAAAATCCTGAAACTCGACCCAGCCGCCCGGATTGAGATTGTCATAACACTGACGCATCAGCTTTGGCCAGTCCGCTATCGACCCGACCATGTACCGGCAGTGAATGAAGTCCGCCTGCTTGCTGTATGTCCACTGGTCCTGAACATCGTCAATCTCGAATTGGACATTGGGCGGAACGATCTCGGACATGGTGGGACTGATGTCGACGCCAACCACCTCGGCTGAAGGATATGCATCGGCGAATTCAATGGCCCAGGTTCCCGTACCGGCTCCGAGGTCGAGGACACGGCCGGGGTCAGACTTCAGCGGCGCCAGATGGAGTCGGTTCTGGTTGATGATCTTAAAGAGGGCGTGGGCTATATCGAGCCGCTCCAGTTCAGCCTGGTACATTCAACGAGTGAGTTGAGTGTGAGGAAGCTTCAGGCACTGCATCACCCACCTCATCATTTGGTCGATGGTATGTCCCATCCTTGTAAGCGTGGTATCGTCTGCCATATTGCTCTTTGTTTTGCAGCACGCTGGAACGCACAGACGCCGTCGTCTCGCCATCGTCCCTGATGGGATATATTAGGTGCTGACTCTCGATTGGCGGAGCAGCTTGGTACTCACAGCTCTGTAACTCCTTCGTCTTCATCCAAGGCGATCTGCGCAGTTTCATCACTAGCCATATTGATCCGCGTTTTCAGGATGTCTTTGGATAGAGAGGGGATTTTGATTTCTGGTATAGCCCCCGCTGAGGTACTAGTAGCCGACGGGAGATGCGAGATAAGTCCTCTGGTGAGCCATGTCAAAAATTCCTGCAAGTGTTATCAACATCTGCCACCCCCATCTAGACGTTCCACCCTCGCTTCCTTGGCGTGAGCTTCGAGATTTAGCCGGTACGGGTCGGATATTGCTCTTTCTGGTGCATCTGACCAAGTTTCAGCGTGTCATAGGCGTTGCGATATCGACAAAATACGACTGCGGAGTTGGGTGGGACGCATTAGCTGCGCGTGGGACTGCGGTGTGACTGCCACCCGGCGGCAAGAGGCGCCTTGGTGGCCGCTTGAGGTGGATAGACGAGGTCCTAGGGTGCCTGATGGCAGTGAATAGGAGCCATCCACGTTTGAAAGGGTCGTCTTCATGTCCCACTATCCGTCCCTCGATGTCATGCACGAGAACGAATGCAGCATCTGGATTCTGCACGCCCACGCAGCAAGCGAGATGACAAGCTTTGAGCCACATCAGCCACGTCAAATCCTTCACAAACCACTTCCCCCCCTCCTCAAAGGTACGAGTACGGACGACCAGACTACTCCTCTTGCACCTCTATGACATGTCACCGGCAAGGGCGAGCCGAGACGAGACGAGACGGCCTGTCAGATCTTTAATACCCTGGCTGCGAAGAAACCCAACCACAACCCTTTCTCCAACACTCAGATACACATCCCATCATGACTTCCACGACGCCCCTGAAGGTGATTGTGATAGGCGCAGGTACGTTTGAGAAGGTTTTCGACTCCGACCGCATGCTGGCTGGCTCATACTTTGTCCAGGATCTACTGGGTTACTGCTAGCACAAGCCCTGAAACAGGTATTGGACCACTGCGATTTACCCACCCCCCCCTGCTTTCATTTCCCATCCCGTGGGGATGTTCGCGGCCCAGAGAGACCAACAATTGGTCATAGAATGGCATTGCATGCACCGTATATGAGCGAGAGGACCATACCACCTACCAGAACCGCGCACGCGAGTGGGGTATGACCTTGCACTGGGGAGCAGAGTATCTATCCAAGTGCATTCCGCCGGATATGGTCGCCCAAATCGACGAGAACATCTGCTGTGACCCGTTCTTCAAGGGCAAAATCTCATCGCTCCCCATCTACAATGGCGCCACAGGCGAGAAGCTCTTTGAAATGCAGGGCATGGACCCCCGGCGAGTATCACGAAAGAAGCTGAGGAAGTTCTTGAGCCAGGGGATCGACGTACAGGTAAGGGCTCTTGGAGCCTCTACTATGTTGGAGGGTGCTGACCTTGGGCAATCCAGTACGGTAAGAGGTTGGCGTCTGTTTCTGTTTCGGGGGATACCGTGACAGCCGTCTTCGAAGACGGGTCAAGTACATCTGGGTCTCTCCTGGTGGGGTGCGATGGATCCCATTCGACGGTGCGCAAGTTCCTGGTGGGTGAAGAGCTGGCCAAGGAGGAGTACATGGACATCCAGATGTTCAACGTCAGCTGTACCTTCTCCAAAGAAACTGCAGAATACCTGCGATCGATCCACCCGATCTTCAAGCACAGTTACCACCCCGGAGGCTTCACGTGGTGGAACTCGATCCAGGATGTTACGGATCCCGACAAGCCCGACACGTGGCTGTTTCAGAACCTACTCTCCTGGCCTGGTGCCCCGAGGCCAGAGGACCTTCCGGACCAGGCATCCCGCCTCAAGTTCTGGCGCGACCAGATTCCCAAGTACGCTGAGCCGTTCGCCACAATTGGCAAGGAACTTCCGGACGACCTGGTCTTCCCCACGGACCGGACCGTAGTGTGGAAGCCCGACATGGACTGGTCGCAGTCGCCGCTGTGGCCGCGGGTCACCATCGCCGGCGACGCCGCGCACGCGATCCCGCCGTTCCGCGGCCAGGGGCTGAACAACGCGCTGCAGGATGCGGCCAAGCTGATCGACGAGATCAGGGAGTGGCGTGCCGGCAACAAGACCTTGGGCGAGGCCATGGCCGACTACGAGAAGGAGATGAAGGAGCGCGCCCTGCTGGAGATGAAGATCTCGATCCTCCAGGCTGAGACCGTACATAATTGGGATAGGCTGATGGAGGCGCCGTTCATCAAGCACGGCATGAACAAGTACAAGGAGGAGCAGGAGGCAAATTAGCACCGGCTTGGCCCGCCTGTAAGGTCGGGAGGGCATTGTCTTTCTCTCATCTCTCTTTCTTGCTTTCTTGGTCAAGCACAATGAGGTAATGCTTTAGGTACATAGTAGTAGACTCGGACGATGTCAGATGTCAGCTATTAGATGCCAGATGCCCCATGTCAGGTTTGCGCATATGACTATGTTTCCATTTCATGTCCACCGTGAGCTGGAAAAACGTAGATATCGCCCAAAATCCATCCAGATGACGGGAAGGTTTTCTCGCTTGCTTGCTCGCTCGCTCACTCGATACGACACTTCACCCCAGCAAGACTGAAAAGATCAAACGCTCGCTCCCTCGCCGTACAGAATCTCCTCGACGTGCTCGGCAATGGCCAAGGCGCTGGTCAGGCCGGGTGACTCGATGCCCAGCAGATTGACAAAGCCCGGGAACCCGTCCTCCTCGGCGATGTAGAAGTCGACGAAGCCCTTGCCGTCCTTGCCGTAGGTGCCGCTCGTGCCGGGGCCCAGCTTGGGCCGGATGCCGCAGTAGTCGAGGTCGATGGCGGAGGGGTCGATGGACGGGAGGTAGGTCTTGATGACGTCGACGGCGGCGGCCAGGCGCGCCGGGTTGGGGGAGAGGTCGTGCGGCGAGTCGACCCATTCGACGTCCGGGCCGAAGCGGATCCGTCCCGCCATGTCCAGCGTCAGGTGTGTGCCTAGGCCGCCCAGGCCGGGGATGGGAGCTGGGTAGAGCAGCGTGCTGGGTTTCGGGCGCGACGCCGAGTACGAGAAGTAGCTGCCCTTGGCGTAGTAGGCCTTGCGGTGTCGCTCGGGCGGCAGCAGCATGTTGGAGACGTCCACGGCGGCCAGCCCCGCGCAGTTGACCAGCGTCTCGACCGTGATGGTGTCCTCGCCGCCTGTGCCGTCGCGCGATCGCGTCGTGATGGCGTAACCGGCGCTAGAATCGCCGCCATCGCCACTGGTCGACGAGCTGCGCAACGGTTCGATCTTCTCCACGACCGTGTGCAGCACTTCCTCTCCGCCGCGCTCGTCAAAGGACCCTTCCAGATAGGCCATCAAGGCGTGCGAGTCGACGATGCCCGTCGTGGGGGATTCGAGCACTCCCGCCTCGGCGCGCACATCGGGCTCGCGGCTCTCGATGTCGGCGCGCGAGAGGAAATGGGTGGGCACGTCGATGGAGCGGCTGAAGTCGTGGAGGGCCTCGAGCTCGGCGAACTGCACCCCGTCCTGCGCGATGATCCACTTCTTGGTGCGCCGGTACGGTATCCTCTGTGCTTCGCACAGCTCGTACAGCATCTGTCGGCCTCGGATGCAGAGCCTGGTTTTGAGCGAGTTTGGCCCGTAGTACAGCCCCGCGTGGATGACTTCGGAGTTGCGACTGCTCGTCTCGGTACCCACGGCGCCGTGTCGCTCGATCAGGATCGTCGAGGTGCCTGTCCTCGAGGCCAGCTGGCGCGCAACCGCGAGCCCAACCGCTCCTGCACCGATGACCTAGCGTCGTGGACAAACAGATCAGCTTCTCCTGTAAAAGCCAAAGTGGTGGCTTGGGACGTACGGCATGAGTAAAGTCCACATTAAGCATTCTGGTGGTGGAGAATGCCCTTGTCCTGACAGCTTCACGGTGAAGCAGCTTGGCTGCAGCACGCGCTATAGAGATTGTCATGGTGGCTGCTCGTCCAGAGCGGAAATCGGTGCTTTTACCCTTGTTGGCTCGTGTTAGCATTAGTGTTTGGTTGGGTCAAGGTCGACTCACGACAATCTGCAGATAGCAGGCCACAACCCTATTCACTGTGGCATTCCCTCGTGTTCACCTCACCAGACCATGTAGACTGGGACTTCGCTCAGTGACAGTTCACGCCCCTGCGCCAATCGGGGAGGGTGAAGGTCATAAGAAGCTTATCAGAATTTGCGCGGAGGTAATGTACTCTCCAGGAGGGGTGATTAGATCTCAGATAATTGTTCAACGTCCCAGCAGGGCTTAACTTATGACAATAACAATGTACACGTAATAGATGACCTGATTGGAGAGTGTTGGTTGGTACGTGGCATACAAGTCGAGAGCAGAGTTGATATGAACGAAGTGAGAGAAAGGGGAATAGCGCCGGGCAATCGGCGGGAAGATGATCCGGAATCGACATCCGCAGGCAGCGCAGGCTGGCAGGTTGGCGGGTTGGCAGGGAACCCCAAAGTGAGTCAGGCCAGTTCACACTTTCAGTTCGCTACAAAGTTGTAGCTGGAATGATCCTACCGATGCCACATCTGCTGCTGTACTCAACCTAACTCATGCTCGCGTTCCAAATATACGACCCACTCGCTCTCCGCCGCAAGGGCCACTGCCCTAGTCCTTTCGGGGAATATATCTCGCAGTTGATCTCGCTATTCCTGTGCGACGATGACCCTCCAATGGATATGCACACCTAGGGCTTGGTTGAGCGATTCAGTTGCAGTATGGAGAGCTCATCGTCGCCGCGGACTAGTTCTATAATGAAAGCTTCGATGTTAATCAGTGCCCCGTCTGTACCTGGATCTTTCTGTAGCGACAGAAAAGTGGCTCAAAGAAGTAGCTGGTAAGCTATGAGAACTGATCATTCTCGCGGACAGTGACACTGTATGTACGGCTGCTTGCTTGACATGCCTGTACCACGACCTCGTCAAAGAACCTCGCTGTTTGCAGAGGCTGTGCGAAGCCATTGCCGCTATCCGGGAGAACATCCCGCTCTCGGCGCTGCGGAAGTTGGTGAACCTCAGACGCTCTGATCAACGAGATTTCAGGAACTCAGCAGCCCTCCTCCCGCAGGTATCTCTCTTGGCAAACACTCACATCTTCGTGCCTGTTGAAGTGCAGCCTGGCTTGTCATTCCTGTGCCGGCTAGGTGGAGCCGGAGTTTGCCCTAATCTTCACGCCGACCCGAGCTCGTCCTGATCTCGGCGCAGATTGATCTGCCCGAACTCATGATCTCGGTCCCATGTGAACCATAGAAATATGCGGATCAGAAGACTGGCGGCTCCCTTGGCTAATACCTCAAACAACACCCGTCGATCCTCCAGACAAGTAGGCCATCAGGACACAATGTCTCCCGCAGATCGTGTGAAACAGATAACTCGACAAATAACCTTTCCCAAAGGTCTCCTGATAGGGCAAGTGGCCATAATCACGGGGTCCGGACAAGGTATCGGTGCTGAGACTGCTCGGTTATTTGCCAACGAAGGCGCCAAAGTGGTGGTGCAGGATATCGATACAAGTACGTCATTCGTTCAATGCCTCTCCCCCTCCCCCCCAAGGAAAAGCTAAGCAGAAGTCGTTCGCAAGTCTAGAGAGGGCAGAAGATGTAGCTCAGGGCATCAGAGACAGTGGAGGTGAGGCAATTGCTGTGCCAGGGGACATGCTCGACTTTGCATATATACCGAAGCTCGTCCAAGAAGCTGCAAAGTTTGGCAATGGCAAGATTCACATCATTGTCAATAACGCCGGGTTCACCTGGGATTCAGTTATTCATAAGGTCACAACCCTTCCCGACCTGCAAATGCCAAATGCTGCTGACACGCTGAGACGGTAGATGACCGATGAGGCTTGGAAGACCATTATTGACCTGCATTGCACGGCACCCTTTATGCTTGTACGAGCGGCTGCACCTTATTTCAGAGTCGCCGACGGGGAGCGAAGATGCATCATCAATATCAGCAGCGTCAGCGGCATCCATGGGAATGCGTGAGTGGAAACAAAGCCTTTGTGTTTCGAGCAACCAGCACTGATGCCCTGCAGCGGCCAGGCCAACTACTCCCTGGCCAAGGCTGGAGTCACTGGCCTGACCAAAACCATTGCGAAAGAATGGGGACCCAAGTACGGCGTCCGTAGTATCACGTAAGGAATCACATTTCCTCCCCCTCTCTTCTCTCTTTCGGAGTTGCACAACTGTCACTAACACTCCTTGCACCATTACCAGAGTCGCATTCGGATACATCAAGGGAACTCGGCTCTCGGGTTCCAAAGAGGCCGGCAACTTTGCGGTAACGCCCGATGGGAAAAGGGTTGCCATCGGCGTGCCGCAGGCGATTAGGAGCGAGCGGGACGCAAAGAATGACGTTCCATTGGGTCGGCCGGGCAAGGTGCCCGAAGCAGCAGCTGCAATCATGGCTGCTGCCAGTCCCTTGTTTGACTATATCACCGGCGAGACGTTGATGGTAACTGGCGGAAAATAGGAAAAAAGGATAGTTATGGGGAGTTGAGATTGCCCAGCGATCGATGGGATTCATAACAGGTTTTTCGATCACACCAACCGCCAGAATCCAGCAATGGCCACATGTCTTTGATAGACTCGACTCTGTAGTCACGACGAGTTAAATGGCATGACGACGTCCTCGTTGATCGCGAGCACAACTTGGCAGGGAACATGTTCAGACTATACGAGGCGACTGTGGGAATTAGATCGATACAGTAATATAGCAAACAGTTGTTTCTGTTCTATGTCTGTCCATATATATATATATACCTGCCACACAAACCCACAAGTTCCGATTCAAAGTCGAGCATCGATGCGCTGCTGCGTGTCTCCCAGAGCCCAGTCAACACGACACCTCCTGCTCCGGACCTTGTCGGCGTCGGAAGCCTGGATCTTGCGCGCCTCGACGGCCGGATTGTAACCCAGGCCGGAACTCTGGGCGGCAGTGCGGTCCGAGGCGATCGAGCTCCTCTGGCCGTCTGCGCGCCTGTAGACGGTGACGACGACGGCGCCTCCGAGGCCCAGGTTGTGCTGGAGGGCGACGTCGAGGTCAGACACCAGTCGGTTCGTTGCCCACCCGCGGAGATGCCAGACGAGTTCGGCACACTGGGCGAGGCCCGTGGCGCCCAGGGGGTGGCCTTTGGAAATCAGCCCGCCTGAAGGGTTGACCACGACACGGCCCCCGTAGGTGATGTCGCCGTTGCGGACCATCTCGTGAGCCTTGCCGGGCTCGCACAGGCCGAGCGCATCCAGGGTCAACAGCTCGTTGGCGGAGAAGCAGTCGTGCAGTTCGCAGATCTTGACGTCGCGCGGAGACGCCCTCGCCTCCGCCAGGGCCACTCGTGCCGCCTGCTTGGACATGTCGAACCCGACCAGCTCGATGGCGCTCCGGGAGAACAGCTTCGGCGAGTCGGTGACGCAGTGTTGCCCGGCGATCAGGACGGCCTTGTCGCGCAGGTGCGGGCGCGCGTCGAGGAACCGCTGCGACACAATGACGGCGGCGGCGGCCCCGTCGCTGGTCGGGCAGCACTGCAGCTTCGTCAGGGGCTCGTAGATCATGTCCGACTTGCGAATGCCCTCGAGGGAATACTTTTCGCGGAACTGCGAATACGGGTTTCGGCCAGAGTGGTCGTGGTTGACGCGCGCGATCTCGGCAAAGTCGTCCGCCTCAGCGCCGTACCTGGTTTTCGAGAGCATTCACGCGTTAGTCCTTGGTTTTTCCCCTTTTGGAGTCTTTTTTTTTTTTTCTGTAAAAAGGAGAAAACACCGGCACATACTTGGCCATGTACTCTCTCGCTGCATTCCCAAAGATCTGCGCGTTGGGAGGACTGTTGGACTTCTCGGGCGCGATCTCGTCGCCCATCTTCCTGATCAGCCCCGTGGGCGATGGACGGTCTGGCCAGTTGGACCTGAGCATTCCGGGCCGCATCTGTTCGAAGCCAACCACGAGGACACAGTCGACGGTGCCGCCCTGGATGAGCTTGCGCGCCATGAACAGGCCGCTCGACCCGGTAGCGCAGTTGTTGTTGATGTTGAGGACCGGGATGGCCGTCATGCCGAACTGGTAAAAGACTCGTTGGCCGCTCGTCGAATCACCGTAGCAGTAGCATGCGAGGCCCATCTCGACGTCGTCGTAGTTGATGTGCGCGTCGAGCATGGCTTTGACGCCGGCTTCGAAGCCCATCTCGTAGTAGGTCACTTTGCCTCTGGGCTTGATGAACTGTGTCATGCCCACGCCCAAGACGTAGGCTGGGCTGGCTGCGGAAGTGGCCATGTCGGGTTGGCTGGCACGATAGAGCACTATCTGGGGGAGGTCTAGGGGTGGCGGGAGGCTGCTCACACAGCTATGTCTCTGTCTAGGTTTCAAGTGTCTTACAGAGACTGCTTTTGAACGGAACAAGGGCTTGTTGTAGTCTTTCTCTCCGACATCTGACCCCTGCCTTGTTGGTATGTCCTGTGGACCTGTGCAGGGCTCTGTATACCAACTGACCAATCGGCGGGGCGGCAGACCATGACTCGGGATCGGCAAAACCCAAGTATGAGGCTCGGCGCCGATGGGTGGACCCACATCAACATATCCAACCAACCCCGATCTCCGGTTTCCCAGTTGGTGGGGAGAGCCCCGATCACTTTCCAGCCGAGTTTTCAGCCTCGTCGTGGTCACCCTGCAAAGAAGGCCTGGCCCCCAGAGGGAGGCAGTCTACCGAGTACACTGAAGAGAGAGAAAAAAGCCGTCTCGGACTCTAGGGAAAACTAAGCCACCAGGGCATTAAATCGCTGGCGATTTCTTAGTTTGCGTGAAACTTGATGCGAAGTAACAGGAGAAGTTCAGACCCTCAACGTTCTCCATATTATACTGTAACTGTCAAGTGCCACAACCATGGCGAGAACATACGAATGCCCGTACTCACTGGAGATTCCGGTACAAGATGTCGCCAGCTTCATCTTCACGGCCGGGACGCCCGAGAGTCGCCGTCAGCCACAGTATTTCGACGCAGAGAAGCCTGAGCGGAATTATAGCTTGCAGCAAGCGGAAATTTGGGTGAGGAGGATAGCCAAGGGGTTGCAGGACCTGGGGCTGCAGGCGGACGACAAGGTGTTTCTGTGCAGTGCCAACTCGTTGTACTTCCCGGTGCTTCTCTGGGCCGTGATGGCTTCCGGCTGTGTCTTTAGTGGATGCTCACCCAATGCCTCAGTCTCTGGCAAGTCCCGCTTGACGCCCTTTCCTTTCCGCTTATTTCCAGTCTGATCTTGGTGGAAGAAATTTACATCTGAACGAAGAAGGCTGCCCGACGCTAGCAACTAATGTATTCGTTCAATAGAAATTGCATATCAGCTCAACGACTGCGACGCAGAGCTTGTGCTCGCGAACGCTGCATCCATGGCCAAAGTCCAAGAAGCCGTGCGTAAAGTCGGAAGACCGGGCCTCCGAGTCTATGAGTTCACCGAACCTGACATCCCCGAGTCCGCAGGGTCAGGAGTGACGCCGTGGACAGACTTTTGGGCTTCAGAGTCCCGAATATCCGGATGGGATTGGCCAAAATTGGACACCAAGGAAAAGGCGATGGCGAAAACGGCGGTGGTCAACTATTCCAGCGGGTATGTCAGTGCTCTTAGGTCTTGTATCCACGTATCTTGACCTTTCCTCGAGCCGCGACCTAGAACTGACCATGTGCGCTTTCAAGAACGACAGGTCTCCCCAAGGGGGTTGAGCTCTCCCACTACAATCTGATCAGCAACTCGGCCCAGAATCTCTTCAAGCGTCAGCTCGTCGCAGATACTCCTGCAGGGCTTGCTCGCAAGAGCCGCCTAGACTCGGCTGGCGAAAGGTGGCTGGCTCCATTCCCAATGTTTCACGCCTACGTGGGTGATCCCTTCCCCTTTTCGCGTACAGATGTTGGTCCAAAAATGTGTCTAACACTCTGTCCTAGGGCCAAAACTACTACTGCCTGAACGCAGCTCGCTGTGGAGCCAAGGTCTTTGTCATGGGCAAATACGACTTGGAGCGGTGGCTGACGTACCTGGACATCTACCGGATCAACTTCCTGACCGGCACCCCGACCGTGTTTGCTTCCCTCACAAAGTACCCGCACCCGGAAAAGTTCAACCTCAAGGCCGTCGAGTCTGTCATCAGTGGATCAGCCCCTTTGAATGCTGAAATTGGTCAGCTGGTGGCCAAGCGCTACCTTCGGCCTGGCATTGTCGTCAAGCAGGGATGGGGCATGACAGAAAGTACCTGCACCGCAACGGGATTTGCTCAGGATGACGAGGATGACGGTGCGTCGATTGGCTGGCTCAGTCCGAATATGAGTGCCAAAATCGTCCCGATCCCTGGTCGAGACTTTGGACCGTCAGAAGTGACAAAGCGTTATCCCGTCGGGGAGATTTGGTTGACAGGTCCCAATATCATGAAAGGTTACTATAAGAAGCCACGAGAGACGGCGGCCACTATAGTCAACGAGGATGGAAAACGGTGGCTACGGACAGGCGACATCGGATACGTCAATGACCAGGGCCGATTCTATATCATTGATCGCCTAAAGGTCAGATGGCCCCGGCAACATGCAAGATCTTTGCTGGGCTAACCTCGTTGCTATAGGAGTTGATCAAGGTCAAAGGATTCCAGGTCGCCCCTGCTGAGATTGAACAGACGTTACTACTACACCCGAGCGTCGCTGATGCTGCTGTTGTCGGCTTCAAGATGTAAGCATTCTGCCTTCCCCGGCAAGCCACGCTGCTCAACTCTACCACAGGAACAATGGAGAATATCCCAAAGGCTATGTGGTCAAGAAAGAACAGGCACCCGACGTCACAGCCGAAGAGCTCCAAGCTTTCATCAAAGCGCGCCTCTCAAAGGTCAAGTGGTTGACAGCAGGAGTCGAGTTCATCAACGCCATTCCCCGCAACAACACGGGGAAAATAGAAAGGCGCAAGCTGAACAGCGGTGGTGGATCAAGCATGGCTCCGAAACTATAGAGATTATCCCCCTAGGAGAAAGGGAAGAGCTTCACACTGGTTACAGACGTACAATAAAAGGTATATAGACATGGGAAACAGCGCATATTGCTCCTGTATAGAAGAATATTATGCTGGAATGGTACCCTACTCTCCATCTTCTCTCATCTCTGCGGCGTTATTTGGGTTTCCTCAAGCTTCCCGTCTGCTGTTGACGTTGGAACGGTTGCTGGAGAGTTTCGGCTCGTGTTTTGAAATGGACCAGCCGAGCCGCACGTATTGTTTCGGTTGCCCGTTTCTCCCGGCATCGATTTTCCGGCTCGCAGAACCCTTAAACATGCTGTGACTGGGGATGAGGGCTTGTGGCTACGACTACCACCACCTCCTTACCGTGACAGAGGCATCTTATCCCAAGGACCACTTCATATATCTAGGTACGAGGTACCACCCATCATGGGTGCAGAACATACCACCCAGCCCCTCAAACTCTCCAGGGGGATCAAGTTGCCCAAATCTCCGTCGACGGTGTCGGTCACGGCCATCGATAGCACCAGTCGCCTTGCTGTGCCTGTGTCCGTCTTGATTGGGCCCCCGATCCCCGGACACGACAGGATCTCTTGTCCCGCCATTTCCTTTCTCGTCAAACACGCCGCGACGGGGAAGCAGGTCCTGTTCGACCTGGGCACCCGCAAGGACTTGTCTAATTTCTCCCCCGCCACCGCGCGACTGATCACGCAGCCATCGTGGACGGTCGAGGTGGACAAGGACTTGGCGGACATCTTGGGCGAGAATGGGATCCCGCCGTCGCGCATTGACGCCGTCGTCTGGAGTCACTGGCACTACGACCACGTGGGCAACATGAAGACGTTCCCCTCGAGCACGGACCTGGTCGTCGGTCCCGGCTTCAGGGAAGCGTTGACCCCGGGGTGGCCGGTCAATGAGAACAGCATGCTCCTCGAGGCTGACTGGGAAGGGAGGAACCTGGTCGAGATGGACTTCTCGTCGTCCGACCTCCGAATCGGCCGTTTCCGGGCCCTCGATTTCTTCGCAGATGGCAGCTTCTACCTCCTCGACACCCCCGGCCACGCCATCGGCCACATGTGCGCTCTGGCTCGCGTGACCTCTGGACCTGGCACCGCCGCCGCCGCCGCCGCCGACGACGACAACGACACATTCATCCTCCTCGGCGGCGACGCGTGCCACCACAACGGCGAGTTCCGACCGACCGACCTCCTTCCACTCCCAGAGACCATCTACCCGTCCCCCATTTCGTCCATGTCCATCTGCCCCGCCTCCCTCTTCCAAGCCATCCACCGCGACAAGAGCGCCACGACGGAATTCTACAAACTCGCGCCCAAGTTCTCGCACGACCACCACGCCGCCGTCGACACCATCCACGGGCTCGAGGAGCTCGATGCCGACGCCCGCGTGCTCGTGCTGGTCGCGCACGATCCCGCCTTGACAGACGGGTCACTGGACGTGCCGCTGTTCCCCGCCGGGACCCTGGATGACTGGAAGGCCAGGGGTCTCAAGGAGCGGATCCGATGGCATTTCCTGCGCGATTTCGCAGAGGCCGCGGTCCATGGTCGTCAGCAGCTCCAGACCATGGGTGAGGGGATGGTGGTGAAAGGGTGAAAAGAGAGAGAGAGATCGGTTTTCAGAAAGCGCCAGCACAGAGACGAAGACTGAAGGTCATGTATGTAAATCAGGCAGTAAGTTAAAGCCCATGACTGACAAATATATGCCCTTTCATGATGAATTTGGCCACACCGGAGGCCTGCCGGGCTCGTGCTCGATATTTGTATCGCATTCGATCTTGGATGGATGGGGCTTTCATGGTCTGAGATGATCGGAAGCATACACACGTTCCTACAATACTCGGAGATTTGGGTCGGTTCAAGTTCAGAATCTGGCATGGCCTTCGGCAAGAAATCTATGTATTCTGTCCTGCTGCTGCTGCTGCTGCTTCTACTTCTGGGCCTGGTACTTGCCTTGGTGCCCATCGCATCGTGTGTCCCGATCCTTTCTACCCATGATTCCCAGGCTTTCCCTTTCAGCTCGAATAGCGACCCGGCGTTACGACAGTCTGTCCCAGGGTGACGACGTAGGCCCTGTCCACGGCGAGAACGACCAGTTTATCCCCCGCGAGGGCAAAGTTGGCAATCGGCGGCCTCGTCCCGTCTTGTAAGGCGTTGGCGCCAAAGACGCCAATCACTTTGCCCCGGGCGTTCCTGACCACGATGCCGTCCCACTCGCCCGTCCAGACGCGGCCGTGGTCGTCGACGTGGATCCCGTCGGCGAACGTCCGCGGCACGGCCCACTGCAGCTTGTTCACCGGGTTACAGTCGGCGTCCAGGTCGAAGCGCACGATGGCGCTGGAGCCGGAGCTGTTGGAGCCGCCGCCGACGAAGAAGGGCGACGCCGTGTCCGTGATGAAGAGGTGCTGGCCCGTCGCGTCCGAGGCGATCCCGTTGGGCATGAGCACGTCGGCGCGCGAGATCACCGGTCGCAGCGTCTGCGTCTCCGGCGTGAAGCGGAACACCGCGTTGGCCATGTACGCGCTCGGAGCGTAGCCCGTGGCGCCCTGCGCGGCGAGGTCGTACGCCGTGAAGAACAGGTTCGATTCACCCGCCGTGGTGCACGACTTGGACCCTTGCGACCCGTTCGCCTTCACCCACGTCAGGTCGTCCACCGAGTTCAGCCGCAGGCCGTAGTAGCTGTCCACCACCACCTCGGCGTGCAGCGTCTTCGGGTCGACGGACCAGAGGGCGGCGGGCGCGTTGGGGAGGGACTCGTTCCCCGTGGCGGCAAAGTAAACGAGGCCGTTGTAATAGTAGCCGCCGTTCACGCCGACATGCGCCACCGGGGGAATGTCGAGCCTCGTGATCTTGTTCGTGGCCAGATCAAGCTTGGAGACGTACGAGGGAGGACTGAATGGAGATGCACGTTACACTTAGTTTCGCGTCGTACAGGGATGGGACTGTCTGGAAAGATGGGGTGGAGTTTGTGCGCCCTTGACACTACTCTACAAGACTCACCTGGTCACTGCAGAGGTAAACCAGACCTCGTTGCGGTCATAGAGCCAGATGGCGGCTTCATATGCGTAATCCGCCTCTCGCACAGGCAGCCGGACGAGCGGAGCGGTTCTTTGGCCTCCGAACAGGTCGAAAAACTCCTCGTCAAAAGCGTAGTAGGTCGAGTTTTGCGCTTCAGCGAGCAGGTCGTTGACGGTCCCGTTGTCGGTGGACGTCGTGATGCCGACAAAGTTGGTGGACAGGTTGCCCCATATGGGTAATGGTCCGTCAAAGGGGATGGGGAGCTTGTACGCCCATGATCCGGGGAGGAGGACGCCGGTGATGTTCTCTTGCGCTTGTGCTCGTCCAGGAGGAAGTGCGAGGAGGAGGAAGCTGGCGGCGGTTGCAATGCTAGGTACGGACCACATCTTTTTTTGTTGTCTTGCTTTCGATCGCTGTTCGAGCATACAACGCACAAGGGAGGGGTGAGTCGGGCAATTACCGCTATTGATAATGTAGATGGTAGTATAGTCAAACAAGAGTGTCCACGGCCGATAATGCTGGGTTCCTGGTAAGGAAAGAATGAGGTCGCTGATAGTGAAGGCTTGAACTGGATTTATATACACTCACTAGGAAAATAGAGCCATCACACGAACTGTAGACCCGTGCCGACAGCTTCGGACACGAGAAACCCCATCCCCGATGGCCCGAGCCTCACTCCCTGTGACGTCTTGAACCGGCTGGAGGATACAAGTTGGACCGAGACCTGTGGACGAGGTACCAACATGGTCCATTCTCCACGTCATATGCCCATGGTCTAGTATACCTCCATGGGGTTGGCCAGGATATCCACTTTCTCCAGACGGAACAAGACGTCTCGGTCCCAGAATCAGTCGATAGACAAGGCGTCTGCTATATCGGCATCCGGCATCTGTCAAGGACCAAAGCAAGACCAAGCCTAATGCTTGACTGCCCACGCTAACTGTGGTCAAGGCGGCGGCATTGCTTGTACGTAATGTCTTCTCTATACACAAGATTCGGCTGAGGCGACGCGTTCTGGAGCGAGCCGACACGACTTTTTAATCCTGGAACAGACTGCGTCACCTATATATTCTTCATGCCGATGTTCCGTATAACTCTCAACGCGGAGGCTACTGACAAAAGTTCCTATGCTATCCCATAGAAGCATTAGCACCGTCTATCTAGACGCAGACAGTCGTCGCACTTGGGTCCCTCCACGGCCCTGGCTATGCCGCAGTTCCCTTCTTGACGGCCCAAAACTCGGCTTCCAAATCCAGCTGCTCGTCTTTGCCGTCGATCAACCCCAGGTAGTGGCTGAGGTCCTTCCCGTTGAATTCCCGTGTGCTGAAGCCATTGCCGAGGATCTCCATGGGGTTCGACGGGTTCATGTAGGTAATGTCATAGTCCTCGTATCTCGGCGTCTCCAAGATCTCAATGTAAGTGATTCTGCTGCCGGGGAAGATTGAGACCGGCCCCTCGGTTTTGCCTTGCTTGAACCAACTACTACAGCCCTGGGTCCACGCCGTTCTCTGCAACAAGAGGTCCGCGTGCTCCTTGAATGCCCTGCTGAGGGATTCCTTGGCGGTCAGAGACTTGATCCGGTCAATCTGGATCTTGTTGATACATTGGATGAAATACTTCATCCAGGTCTCAATGAGTGGGAGGATTGATCCATGACCGAGCGGCCCGTACGGTCCTCCCGCCACCCAGAAGTTGGGGATGGCTGGGGCTGCGACTGACAGGTAGCAGAGGAGCTCTTTGCGCCACATGTCTTGGATGTTGACCCCGTTAGCGACGACAGAGAACCGGGGCACGAAAGAGGTATCGAAACTGGAAGTATAGAGCTCGATTAGTACGGGTCTCGTTTCGTATGACCTTTCTGCTTCCACCCTCCCATGGTCAGGGTGTCAACGTGCACAGAGTCACACTCACCCGGTAGCACAGATTATCACATCCACTTCATGTTCGACACCTTCGTGATCGATGAATCCCTTCTCCGTAATGCTACCAATGCTCTTAACGAACACGGTAACATGAGGCTCTCTGAGGGCCTCCAGAAATCCAGGTCCGGGCTAGCAGTTGACACGTATATGTCAGTACAGAACCCGTCAGCCAGCATCTTCATGAGAGACACTCACCGTCGGCCGTCTGCATCCGACCCCGAAGTCCTTGGGGACAATTGCGTCAATCAGTTTGGCATCACCGCCGAGCTTTTGGCACATTTCTTTCCGAGAGAACTGGAAAGCCCACATGTTTAGTTCACTGCACGAACAAGACGGGGGGACAGAAAAAAATACCTCGATCGACGACACGGCCTCGGGTGTGCCCTTGAGAATATACTTGAAGCGCTGGTTGAGCTCGGTCTCAATCAATTTGGAATATCGCAGGAACTTGTCAGGATTCTTCCTGAACTGCTCTTTTTCTTCCTCGGTGTCTGATGAGATCTTGTCAGGAACAGGTTGGCATTCTCACCCGTGACAGGTCAAGCCTCAGGGCTGCCTCGGGCAGATTTTGCACCGTTGACTTACATTCAAAATTTCCTCCATCAGGGCCAGCAAACTTTTGGCCAAAGCCCGCGGTGATCCAAGTAGGGGACCGAACCCAGCAATAAAGCTCCTTGACCTGGCTTGTGATGGCAGCTATGATCTGGATGCCGCTGCTCCCGGCGCCGATAACGGCCACTCGCCTGTTTGTCAGATCGAAATCCTCGGTGTAGTGGGCACTGTGCATCAACGTCCCCTTGAATGAATTGAGACCTTGGATATCAGGCCATTTCCACTTACTAAACTCTGGAATTAGAGTGGACTGACTGCTTCTCGTCACATGGAAAACTCACTTGAGGATACCAGTTCCATTCAACAGCACGTTACAGGTGTCTTCAAAGACTTGTCCATTCGCATCTCTGACGCTGACGTGCCAGAGGCCTTCTTCCTCATTCCACTCGGCTCCAATCACCTCATGATCGAGCTTGATGTACTTGGCCAGGTGATGTTTCTCAACAACATCCTTAAAGTACCTCCAGATCTCCGGGGACGTGGAATAATAGTGTGTCCAGTCGGGATTCGGAGCCCAGGTGAACTGGTAGGTCGCCGAGGGGATATCACATGCACAGCCTGGGTATCTGGCAAAAAGGTCAACACCATAACGGGAAGGGGCCTCAAACTCCCTTGCTGAGACTCGTGGAAGTGTGGGCTGCGTACCTATTTTCCAACCATGTCCCTCCAATATCCGAGTTCTTCTCGTAAAGCTGGATCGTCACATTCTCCGTCATGGTCTCGTGGAACTTTGCAAAACAGATCCCCGAAGCGCCAGCTCCGATGTGTATGACCCGAACAGGCCGCTTCGTGTTGAAGGGCTGCTCTAGGATCCTGTACCCACGCTCGTTCTGAGTAGGCCAGCCGTAAAGCTCGGGACGAAACTTTGAGGTCTCGTTCGTGAGGCCATGGCCTCCGTTTGGCACGGCGCTGCCGCTTAGTGAGCCTATGTCGGGAGCCATGGTGACTGGTCCGGTTGCTTTGTCACTCCAAGAGCGTCGCAGGAAGTCAGTCGATGGAAATCGAAGCGAATTGCCTGGTTGCAAGGTGCGCCAGCAATGCGAAAGGACTAACCTCTATAGGTCTTCTGAGCAAGAATTTGCAACAACACACTAGGCGTCTCAGACTAGGACCAATTCCACTCGCGATTCCAGACACTGGGTCAGAGCGAAGTACCTAAAAAAAGGTTGAAAGAATACATGTATGTATGTTTGTATATCTCACTCCTTGATAAATGGTTCCGGTGGATTTCAAAACGTGCTTGGAGACACACACCACTCTATTCGACTCACTGAACCTTCGAGCAGGTGAGTGTCCATAACACAACCGATGCCGAGCGAGAACACCACACATGTCTCGAGCCCCGGGTCCAGAGCTCTTGACTTGTCGCCGGGCATGTGGCCGAAAGTCGAGGGACGTTGGAATTTTGGAGGGCCGCCCACCGGATTCCCACAACCGCTACCTATTCTATACCATCCCGAGCACCATCCCGAGCATCATTCCGAACGCCATCACAGCAGCAACCTGCCGAGCCGAAGGTCGCTCTTCGAGCCGGCAGTCCTGCCATGCTAACTAACAAGGAATGGGGTGAACTTGCGATAAGGTGCCATTTTGTTATCGATGCATCGCAAACATCTTCATTTCTCACTCTTTCCTGGCTTGGCGCTTCAACTGAGGGACAAGTCATGGGGGTCTGTTACAAGACTTTTCGTCACACTAGAGTAGCAGACAAGATATGTACATAGGTGACTCTAGTGTTCTATAGCTGGAGCCTTGTCCAGTACGAGGCCGAGGCTGTTGCTAAACATGCGTAATTCCCGAGGGCACATCTACTCTACCTTTTCCACCAAAAACCGCTGCCGGGCCATGATAGTGTCCATGTGTTGGATTCCGCTCGACTTCCTGACTCCCTACAGCTTTGAAGCCATGTACTTGGTGTTGGGCTTACTGTACCCGATGTCCGTCTGTGGCCACCACGGCCAGCTGTCCGGCGCGTCCTCCTGCAAGGTCCCCTTGAAACTCGGAGCTCTCTTGTCGAAAAAGCTCTTGACCCCTTCGAGATTGTCCCTGCTCCCGAACAACTGGTGCAGAATGCGCGAGTCGAGGAGATGCGTCTCCTCCGCGCTGCCCGGCCCGCGGTTGAGCATGTCCCGCATCAGTTTCAGCGACACGGTCGACGAATTGTCCGCAATCTCCTGCGCGAGCTCGAGCGCTCGCTGGACCGTCTGCTCCGGCGTCGGGAGGATCTCGGAGAAGAGGCTCTGTAGGAGTGGATGGTCCGCGCGGTAATTCGCACCGGTGGCAGTCAGGTGAAGGGCGCGCGACAGACCGATTAGGCGAGGCAGGAAATAGGACGAGCAGGCGTCGAGGACGATGCCTCGACGGGAGAAGACGAAGCCGATCTTTGCGCTGGCGCACGCGACCCTGATGGTCGCGGGCAGGCACATGGTGATGCCCACGCCGACAGCGCTGCCTTGTATCGCTGCGATGGTTGGTTTGGAGCACTGGTGGATAGCCAGCGCGACTCTCCCACCCCTGCATCCCGGCTGTCGTGTCAGCAAGCGCCTCCTTCTTGCTCGGATCTTGACAGACAAGAGATGTATTATGGCGGTACCTACCGGTCTCGATGATCCACGTCTCGCTCACTCTTCCCCACCGTCTCCGTCGCATCCTTGTTGGTGCTCCCCGGCCATCCGATTTCCAGATCAGCCCCGGCACAATACATCCTTCCCGCGCCCGTCAGGACCACCACCTTGACCCTCGAGTCGACGTTGACCATGCGGAACACACTCTCGAGGCTGTTACGCATCGGTCCCGTAAAGGCATTGTTCTTGTGCGGTCTGTTGAGCGTAACCAGCAAGACTGGAGTCGGGACTGGAGATGATTCCGGGACATGAGACAGTTTGATATCTGGTAGATCGAGAGAGGCATAAGAGGTGGGTAATTCGACCGGCGCTGAAGGAGGATACATGGCGGGACCTAGGACACTGGGTAGACAGTTGAAGCATTACAGATGACTCTTCATGCAGCGTGTGGTGTTTACCATGTAGCACTTATTTGAGACGAGCCCGTAAGCCTCCCTCTCCTCATTCGGCTCCGAAGAAACCCTGCTCGTCCAATCGGGCGTCAGGACTTTCATCGAAGCGTGTAGGGGTTAACCATAGATGGGAACCCCACATCCTCCTCGGCTGGGAAGAGGTCAAAGGAAGGAAAGTCGGGGGACCGTTGGACAGGAGACACTACTCCAATGTCGTGTCGGCCCTCTACCTATCCTGAGGTGGACTGCCACCTTCCAAGACATTTCAATTACTGTTCCCAGATTTATCTGGATGTACGGAGACATATTTACGCAGCACGCAGCAACAACAGTGAAAGGGGCATCCCGAAAAGAAGGCGCGGGAAAAAAAAGAATGGCCAACCTCTTGTTCCTTCTCATTCGTTCGCCATTGAAATCCTTGCTGTTTACTTATACCTTTCTCACACAATGTCTGTTCGCGGTGGCCAGGCGGATCCTGCTGCCGCAGCTTCCGGCATTTCAATCGCTGCGCATCCTCTTCCACCGTGCCTACTTGTCGTCTTGCAGCATGCATTACCCTGAGCTGGTCCATCGCCTGCCGATTTTGGCATCCCCGACGCGGGCGCAGAGGGTGGAGGGAAAGACCTGGATGGGATATGTTATCCCGGGAACGAGCGACCTCGAATCTATTGCCAACGGTGAAAGTCACGGCCAAAGCGAGGCCGCATCCAGGACATGCGTAGTGCTCTTCGCCCACGGTGGCGGTTATGCCCGTGGAGAAGCAAGGATGTATCTGCGCTACATGGAGCGTTGGATCAGGTTCGCCCGGGAGAAAAAGGGGATGGACTTGGTCTTCGTCACCATCGAATACCGTATGTTGCGAGCTGCCATCTCTCTATTGGGACACGGCAGGAAAGCTGAGATATGCAAACAGCGCTGACGACCGAGGCTGCACATCCGGCCCAACTCGAATCAATGCTCGGAGCGTATCGATATCTGCTGGACTTGGGGATATCCCCGTCTAGGATTGTGTTCATGGGTGACTCCGCCGGAGGTGCGTGTGTCTGTTGTCTGCATCTATGTCCTCGCTGGGGTCCGAGAGCTTCCCTTCGTCCCTATAACTCACCAAAGACTGTATATATAGGTGGCCTGATGGTGTTGACTGGTCTGAAACTTCTCGAACTCGGCCTACCTCAGCCCGCGGGCTCGGTGCTCGTGTCGCCGTGGCTGGACCTCGCCCTCGACGCATTCAGGGGCGGGAACGCCTCGGTCGAAACCGACTACGTCGTCACAGGGAACACGATCCTCCCCTTATTCACCGACATGTTTCTCCGAGGCACGGGCCTGAAGGGATCTGACGCCGAGATCAATCCGCTGCGCAGGAAACCCAGCGAGCTCAAGGGTCTCCACCGACAATTGATATTCGTGGGTTCTGCCGAAGTGGTGACCCAGGAGGGGAAACGGTGGGCGGACGTCTGTGAGGCTGCGGATATCGAGCACAAACTCGTGATCGAGCCGGGCCAGTTACATGTCTATGCCATGGGATCATCTTGGATCGATCCGGGTGTACGAAACAAGACGGACGACATCATCGTTGATTGGATATGGGATTGCTGTTTTCGGGGCGTATCAAACTCTGCAAGAACCGTTGGCACTGTCGGCTTGAATGCATAATCCGTGGCCACGGCCTTTGACCACACGACAGGAAGACGGTATCTGGAAGAGTTGTCGAAAGTAGTTGCAAAGGGGGGAACAGAGAATAGGATGCACGATCGAGGAACACATGCTTGTAGAAAGGAGTCTCTGCTACATACGTAGCTAGATCTGAATGAATAAAGGGAATGGCCTTGCATGGGATCGTTACAGGCCGGCACTGGTGGCCTTGTGGCCCCTGCTTCGTTCAGCCTCGTCTGTGTCGGCTCGGCAAGTGCAAGGCTGCGGCTCCCGGCTGATCGGCATCTACCATATCCACAGACTCACTAGGCCAGCAGACGCGGTCTGCAAGGGACAGAAAACGGCCTAGAAACAATAGTAGTGCTCTTTTGACTTGGCTACATTCTCTCCATGTTCTTCTCCCCCCCCCCCAAGAGAATCCTGACCTCTGAGACTTCATGTGGAACCCTCCCCCACTCTTGCAGGTCCACCGCGTCCAGACACTCCCCTGAGGCTAGCAAGCTCGACTACACGCGGAGCTGTGCTCATGTTTCAATTCTTCCCATCTTTTGTGAAGATCATATTCTCGTGGGTCTCAGCCCTCGCCATTCCCTTTTCCTTCTCCACGTCTGCTGCCTCGGCCGCCTCCTCTTCCAACACCGCTTCCTCAAAGCTCAAGTTGATCTCGTCGCCGAAAAGGATACCCATGTCTTCCAGTGTCTTCCCTTTTGTCTCGGGGAGGTAGAAGTATACGAGAAGCCAGTACACGACACTGAGTGCGATCAAGATGATGTAGAACTTGTAGCCGATGTTGGAAAACGCTGTGGGGGCGACCTCGAGGAGGATGACGGTGGCGAGGAACTGACCCATGACGCTAAACGAGATGCCGAAGCTTCGGACCACCATGGGAAAGATCTCAGAGGGAATGATATACTGCGGGGAGGACGAGTTTCAGCGTGAATGCCAAAGCAAAATGTTCAAAGGACCAATCGCTTACCATGGTGGCGTCACAGAATCCCGAGTAAAATAGGACAAAAAGGAAGATGAAGAAGACGCCGAATCCCAGGCCGACCTTGTTAGTAGATCCGGTCTCGACGAAACGGGCTGTCATGGCAGCCTCTCCCGCCAGACAAACAATGAGACCCACGATTCCGATCACTAGACCCATGGAGTCAACAATGACATGCTTCGGGGCAGTATAACAAGGATCACCTACACATATATCTTCGACGGCCAACCCTATCGACGAGAATTGAACAGGACAAATTTCCAAAGATGCAGAGCAGGTTCATCAGACCTATAGCACCCTGGTCAGTCCACTGAATGAAGAGTCACCCCCGGGAGGCAATCTGCTTGTACTTACTGAGCATTAGCAGCGGCATATGGTCCTTGAGACCCAGGGTGGCAAATATGCGAGCACTGTAGTTGCTGATAACCAGCGACCCGGTGCACATGTTCCCGAATTGTACTAGAAAGCCCAATCCCAGGCGTCGCATAAGACTCTTGGTGCGGAAAGTCAATCTGGCTTGGCCCCAAGGGCCTACTACATTATGCCGGCGCTCGAAGTTGATCTGCTCCCGGATCTGCCTGAACTCGGCGTGGGCGTAAGTGTCATGAGTGTCGGATTTGGAGGCGTGGAGGCGGCGAAGCGTGTCCCAAGCTTTGTCGTCCTGACCTTGACTCATCACTTTTAGAGAACAGTCAGCAAGGGGTGCTCAGCAGGGTGAGGTCATCAGAACAAGCGTACGCCACCGTGGAGAGTATGGAAGGGCAAAGGAGCCGAAAAAGAGGATGGCAGTCGGCGCAATCTGGACACCCAGAGGAAATCGCCACTGGAACTGTCCATATTTCGCAAACGAACACCCGTACGTGACGAAACCTGGCTTCGGGTCAGTCGTCTAACCCTGGTCAAAGTGAGTCCAGCCATCTTACAGGACAAACAATACGCCGTGCCTGTCAAACCGTCAGAAGCGGTTCCTCAAGTTGAACCAGATGTCTCGAGGAAAGGACGGACCTATAAGCACTCCGTGCATTCCAACCATGAACCCACGTGAATCTGCAGGTGCAATCTCGGCTTGATATAGTGGAACCAATGTCACCAGCTCTCCTATGGGGTATGTGAGCTGAAATCTATGGTGTTCATGCTGGCACGGCTCTCCTACCGATACCGAAGCCCTAGTGATATAAATCAGGCCGTTGCGCGAGAGAAAGGTACCGGGGTCTACTGAAACACATACCATGATGAAACGGCTCACGACGAACATGGGGATATTGACCGATGCAGTGGATATGATGGCTCCGATGGTCGCGATCAGACTGCCAATCTGCAGGCCTCTTTTACGACCATAGTATTCCGAGGACCATATATTGAATCCGCAGCCGAGTGCACCTGTATCAAAGTCCTCAGTAGAAGATCCCTGGAGAGAGCCCAGGCACCAGAATCACCTCCTGCCGAGTAAACTCCATTGACCGTGCCGATGATCTTGTACTCGGTCAGTAGATGCATGGAGAAGGCGGGTCTGTAGACGTACAGCGTTTGTGTAGCTGCCTTGGATGTCGAGCCCCATATAGTCGTACCATGAGGGCACCCCTAGAGACGGACATCCATGAGTACCAATGCTCTACCCGCGTATCGAGTTCTCTTACCAAGAAGTGCCCCGAACACTGAGGATACATATCCGTAGCCTGGGGTTGATGGTCAACTTTTTGTCATCGTTCACCAATACCCGACAAAAGACTTACTCAAGCTGCCAAAAGCGACAAAGAGGGCTATCAGAGGCACGTAGGCGTTGCGTGGCCGGGGAATCAACCTTGTCTTTGTACTGATGCCGATCGTCATGGTGGCTGCTGTCTGTACGAATTGGACAGATGAAAGCTTGCCGAGAATTCTGGGGAATTTGAACTACAACGGGGATTCTGGGGTAGAAAACGTGTTTCTTTAAATACCAATCCGCCATATCTTTGTATTTCCGAATCATGCGGCCGGTGCTCGGCAGCTAGTTGTTGTGATAGAAGCCGACCAAGGAGAACAAAGTCCGACAAAGTCTGTTTAGGACCCGAGAAGTTCGTTAACAGCCCTTTTTTTTTTGCCTTCAGGGAGACCACGAGTTTAGCTCATGGTGGTGAAACTCAGTTGTTGAGCCGGACTTGGGGTCTGGGCCGGTATAGATCAGAGCCGCGTATACCCCGATCAAGGTTCGAAGGACACCGGCAGAGGTACAACAGATGGGTTGATAATGAAGCCACAATTATGCTCGATACTATGAAAGGCACAAGGTCTCAACAAAAGATACTATTTGTGTAGATGTATATGCACTTCTACGTCCGCAGGATGTGCTCGACTATGGCACTTGCCTCAGCACGCAATGCCTCCGTCAACAGAGTAGACCGCCCCAGTAATAAAGCTGGCATCGTCGCTGAGAAGAAAGGCAATGAGGTTGGCCGGCTCCTCAGGCTGGCCCAACCGCCTGAGAGCCATGCCCTGATATGTCTTGGTGACAGGATGTTCACTGTCGGTACCTCCGGCCTCTTTCAACAGCCTCTCAAACAGTGGAGTCTGAATCGGGCCACTATCGTTGTCGTCGCTCAGGTTAGTATAAAGTCCCGTATACCCCTTTACGATGAAATTGGAGGGAGAAAGAAGAGGCTCGGAAATGCTTCCACTCACGGCGCAATGGCGTTCACTCTGATGCCCTTTGGTCCGACGTCTTTGGCCACCGTCCTGGTCAGGCCTACCACTCCGTGTTTGCTCGTCGAATAAGCCGAGATGCCATTCCTGCCCATGACTCCGGCGAGGCTGGATACATTGACGATCGAGGCACCCGCCTTCATTACTCGCAGCTGGGCCCGGACGCAGTACATGAGCCCCGTCAAGTTTATGGACAGGACGTAATCCCATTCCTCGTCGGTCGTGTCGGTAAGGTCAGCGAAGAGACGAGTCTTGCCGTCTACCGCGGCCAGATTTGCTGCTCCATCCAGACGGCCAAATTTCTGGCTAGTCGATGTGATCCAGTCGTCGACAGCTTTGCTCGAGGCGACATCTACCTTGGTTCCGACGACTTTGGCCCCAGTCCTGCTGATTTCGGACACGACTTGCTTCAGGTCTTCATCCTGGATGTCGGCTAGAGCCAAAGTGGCGCCACGAGAGGCGCAAATCTTGGACAGAGCCTTTCCAATCCCGGAGGCTGCCCCGGTGATTGCAATGACCTTGCCCTGGAGACCTGCCATGTCCGACGAGATAGTTCAAGAGTCTTGCCTTGGGACGTCTCGTGTCGAATAGTTTGCCAAAGCGTTCCTGGACTGTACAAAATATCGAGGAAAGGAGAAGTTCTTAGAGCAATTGCGTTGGTTTTTTGCTGACCTCCCCACAACTCAAGAACTTATATCGCTCTCTACCGTCTGCATACAAGGCCATTGTACAAAATAGCTCAACCGACTGGTTCGGAGAGTCACAACTACAGAGGGCGGAGGGTCTCCCTACGCTGGATCTCCCACGCCTGTGCCCTCCAGCACTGTCTATCATTCTCGAGTACGATTTCCACGAGCCGAAGCTTCGGCGCCGAGTGTCTTTATCGGACACTACGACCACAGAACTTTACTTGGCTCCGGTTCCACTTGGTTCTCAAGAACCTCGTTCTACTGACGCACTTGAGAATGGGAGTGGAGGAGGTCCTTGCCGCCATCGCCCAATCTCCCAGTGAGCCAAGTGACCAGCTGGGCGCCATGATATCGCCATCATCACTAAACCCCCTCGGTTACCTCCCCTCGCGCCCCACGGGGGCTCAGGTGCTGAGTTATTTGGTGCGGGGGTTTTGATTTTCTGGGTTCCGATTGTGAGAGAATTGCGAAGCTCGTGGTAAGTCGTCAAGGTCAAGCTCCCAAGTTGCGACTCTGCTCTGTAGCGACCCCGACTATCTTCAATTTCCCGCACATGTAATCCACCATGGCGACAGAATTTCCGACAGAAGACGCACAGAGAGTAGAGAATGGAGATACACAAGGCTCTGCGACCACGTCCGAGGGCAACAGACCTCGCAAGAAGGGCAGGGCCTGCATTCCGTGCCACGAACGCAAGCTCAAGTGCAACGCCTCGGGACTAGGAAGTCCCTGCACTCGATGTATCACCAGTGGCCGAGCAGATATCTGTATACCTTTCCCAGAGAGACCACGATGGTACGATCAGGCACTTCCTGCAGACCTATACATTTCAGATCTAACACGTGAAAAAACCAGCGTCAAACGAAGAAAGACAGCGAATGCGTCGTACACGAGTGTGCCAGATATTTTGGGTGAAACCCAACTTCCGGGCTCTGATCACATGGGCGTGAGAGCTGATTCAGTGGGATGAACCTGGTTGAGTAGACACATTGCATGTTGCTGACAAAAGTCTAGACGTCGCTGGTCGAAATCAATCCCTTGTTGGATGACCCTCGTAATATATCAAACTTGGATGACAATCCTCCAGCGAACGAGCACAACTCTGGAACAAAAGCCTCTGATGGTGAGTTGTCTGCCCGCACCTCCACTTGCTGGCTCGTCAGTCCCCTGGGCTCCAAAGCGACTGATCATGAAACTGTGGCAAAAGGGACGGACGAGTCTTGCGTAGCAGTCGAGGAGGAAGACGCACACCTGCAAATGTACTTGGAGATGTCCAAGTGGCCGTTCGACGGGGCATCGCCCACGAAATTGTCGCACCCGGAAAGCGGCAGGGAAGTCATCGAGCTGTTGGAAGGCGAAGATTCGATTGCGATATTGGGCGAGGCCCTCGGACGCAAGCAGCGCGGGAGACTCGTGCGCATCGTCCTCAAAGATCCCCATCGCCCGGGGGATCCGTCTCGAAGTCACCCTCAGATGGACGCGGTCGACTACGAATATTTACAACGCAAAGGCGCCTTTAGGATGCCGCCCCGTGAGGCACGGTAAGGCAATTCGTCGCTCGTCTTCTCCGGGACCACTTGTGACGGCGAATGCTAACGGGGAAACAGTGATAAAATGATTCGTTTGTATTTCGAGCGCGTCTATCCCTATACACCCGTACTGGACCGAGAAGAGTTCATACAGGAATACAGAGCGGATCAGTGCTCGCCCTTTGTGCTCTCGGCGATGCTGGCCAATGTGGTTCCCTATATGTCGCTGGAGCTCTTGCTTGAAGCTGGCTTCTCAGACCGCCTGGCTGCGCAAAAGTCATTCTATTCCAAGGCGCAATTGCTCTACGACTTTTGCGCCGAGAGGAGGCCGCTCCGGCTCCTCCAGGGTTCCCTGATCCTGAGCTCCTTGAGTCCGTCCTTCTCGCCAGACCGGGACTTTCGCTACTGGCTGACAAACTCGGTGCGGCTGGCGATCCAGATGGGATTTCACCGGGAACACGTCTTCAAGAATTTGGGCCCGGGCACGGCGAAGCTGTTTCGTCGAATCTGGTGGGCGCTGTACAACCGAGACGTCCTCTTGAATGTGTCGGGCCACTATACCGTCAGGAGGATTCGCGACTGCGACTTTGACACAAAGAGTCTCACCGAAGACGACTGGGAACCACCGACGGCGGAGCCCCGGGACGATCTGATCCCCCCGATTCCTCGTATACAAAAGCTCTATTTCCTCGAGGCGTGCAAATTGTCAATCATATGTATGTATTGTTGCCTCGTCGTCACTTTGACAATCCCCTCCCTGACTCTCATGACTAAGTTGTACGGGGCTAGGCGGACAATTTATCCAGACATTCCGCACAGCAGGAGTGACGCCGTCAGAAGAGGACTGTCTGAGGGTGGGAAATGCGCTCACAAGCTGGCGGTGTGCACTGCCAGTCGAGTTTCACCTGCAGGGCGTTGGCCAATGGACGGCTCAAAACATATGGATCCTATTGATCATTGCGTTGAGCTATCGACTGGAATGCATTCTTTGCCGTGCTCTTCGGCAGCGGTATCAATCGTTCAACGACCACGAGAAGGCCCAAGAAGCCGCGCAGAAGCAGGAGAATGCCTTGTTCGAGGTGGACACGGTCATTGAACGGGTTCTCCAGAACGGAATCGCGCACCTGTTTCCCCTGTCGCTGTATGTCCCTGCATGACCCCCTGTGTGTACCCTCGTAACTTTTCCCCCAAATCCCGAGCGTGCCCACTAACGAGTGTGACTCTGGGTTTCCAGAACGACCTGTGTCTCTGCGGTGCTGGCATTGCACATTGAAAGCGCCCTCCAGCCAAACATCTCCCCCGGCCAGAAGTTTGTGACCCGGGCTCGGATCCACACGGGACTGACATACATGCGGGAGACGTGCGAGTACTGGGGTGCGCTGAAGTGGACGCTGCGCATGTTGGAAGTCATCGTCGAGCAAACCGGGCTGTCTGCGACCCCGACCGCGAAACCCGTCGCCGATGCCGACGGTTCCAACACGACCGATCCTCCCCGAAGTCCACAGTTCCCCATCTCGTTCAGCGAGGTGGACGACACGCTGAACCTGGGCGTGGATGACCTGTGGGGTCCGCTGATGCGCCGGGACGATGACTGGGTCCAGGATTTCCTGGGCTCGAACCTCCTGAGGCCGGACACGGATTTCGACCTGTGACCAGCCGCTCCAGGTCGTCGAGTCGAGGAGGCATTTTCTTATTCCCGACGTATATTTCACCTGTATCGCGGACTCGGTGTTCGATGGGCAGAGGAAGACTTGCGTTACGCCTGTACTGCGACATGGTCCTGGTGCTTTCTTGTACTTGTAGATAGATTAGCTTAAGCCGTATACTCAGGTCTATGGGGTTGGACATTTGCAGCCGACGGCATCAATGGACGCTTGCTTCCAGAGTCCATATCTACGTGCAAACAGCTCCGCAGCATTCTGGAGATTAGTCCAGCGAATCCTCAACTCCCAGTAGACGTTAGTCGGGTAATTATAACTCGCAGTCTGGCTTGTCATGCATGAGCCTTAGAGGGACAGAGCAGATTCTCGACGGAAGGCACCGTAACCGCACCGTACCGTGTCGTGTCTATGTCCGATCCCCGGACCTTGCCTCGGGAGTTTGTCTGGGGTCTGGGGTCATGCGAGCTCCAAGCCATTGGTACAAAATCATCGGCCCAGATGGTCGTCGTTCGGCTGAACTCAGTTGCTCGATCGGCTCGACTCGGCCACAGGCAGCACCAGATCCCATGTACCTCGTACAGAGAGTGCTACGACTGATGGGTTCGGGTTGTCCATGTATGGATGGATGTTGTCGTTTAGCTTTTTGCCTTTTACTGATACTACTGCTTTTTCTCCCTGCAACGCCGCGCCCCGCGCCAGGTCAGACATTGTGTCCGAATATTTCCTCCCATCTACCTGCTCGTAGTGTTTATATCCGTATGCCCAAGAGCTCGAGGTCGAGATCAGATCAAGTTATATAGATTCCCAGTCATATTACTGCGGTACCGCGCCCTATTTGATAACTTGTTCTCTGTATCTCTCCATCCACGTTCGAGGACACCCAAGCCTCAGAACAATGGCATATGCAAAAGGAGTGGTAGACTGTACCCGAGAGCCCGATACGTCGCGGCTCAAGGGGAAGAGCGTCGTCATCACAGGAGGTGAGTTGAACACACCTATAGAAGCTATGGTACTATAGTCAACAATGTTCTAACGCAGTCCCGTGCCATGTGTGATTAGGTGCGAATGGAATGGGTTTGGAAGCTGTCAAGCTGTTTGCTCAGGCTGAGTTGGTTTTCCCTCCCCTTTCTCTCCTGGTTCTGCTCGCTGGCTTGGTCTTCACTAACACACAACAGCGCCTTTGTGACATTCTGCGACGTGAATGAGGCCGAGGGCAAAAAGGTAGAGGCGCAACTTGGACTGTGAGTTTGACGACCGACGTTTCCCCCCCAAGCAGATCACTGGATAACATATATGTGCGGCGCCGCTGACTCGGGGTAGAACCAACGTCAACTTCGTCAAGGCCGATGTGACCAAGTGGGAAGACCAGGTGCAAGTGTTCAACGCCGCCAAAGCAAAGTCGCCGCACAACAGCGTCGATGTCGTCATTGCCAATGCGGGAATCAGCGGCGCAGATATTCTTCACAAGGTGGACGGTATGGTTATCCCCTTTCCTATCTCTGTCGGTGATTTAAGCTGTCGCTCACAACGAGTCAACCACCTCAATAGACAGCGATGAAGCGGTCAAGCCAGAACTGAGTATCGTCAACATCGATCTCATCGGCGTCATGTACACGCTGAAGCTGGCGCGCCATTACTTTGCCCGGCAGCCCGACACTGAGGAGAGAGATCGATGCTTTATGATCACGGCCAGCCTGGCCGGGTTTATGGACTTGCCTGAGTCGCCACAGTACACGGCGGCGAAATGGGGATGCCGTGGTCTGATGCGTTGCCTTCGTCGGACCAGTGTTCTGGACAAGACGAGATACAACAATATCTGTCCGTGGTATGTTTTGTCTCTCTTTTGATGAGAAACCAGGAGGGGGCAAGGGTTTAATGTATTGCGTATTAACCACCCGACAACAAGGTTCATATCGTCCGCCATCCGCCCTCCCCAAGTCGAAGCCTACTACTTGAGCAAAGGTATCTCATTCTGTCAAGGCTCCGACGCCGCCCGGGCCATGGTATACGTCGCCAGCGATAAATCCATCAATGGTTAGCTACGCCTCCTAATCTCTTGAGGAAAACTCAATAACTAATGTTTCCAGGCCGATCTTTGGCCATTCTCCCGCGAGAAATCGCCGCCGCAGGGTTCAGGGACGTGGACCTGGATGACTACGAGTACGGGGATTTGCTAGATACGTTTCAGAACCAGTTGATTGCCATCAATCGGAATTTGAACGATGCGGCGGCAGCCACTGCAAGATAGAAAAAAGGTATATATCTCGCGGGATCAGGGATGAATTGTCCATCACAATAGAAATTCCGGGAATGGGAAGGGCCACTCAACTGAAGGGGCCATATATTCATATGCATATGCTTGTACAAGGCAACATTTAAGACTATTTCCCTCCCCCCTCGTTTTGTTGCCTGGTTTCCTCCCATCACACGGTCAGACATTGATCGGGTATCGAGACACCACCCCCATACAACTAAGTATATGCTGCCAGCTGGTAGCTAGTAGGTAGTAGCTAGCACTGGCTAGGTTAGTCCCGATACATCCTGAGAAGGAAGCTGTCCGGCTCGCAGATCGGCTCTTTGTCAACCAACCTACGGCCCTTCCTGTCCACCCACTCACTCACCGGCAACATCCCTCTCATTTGACTAAGTGGATATCCTCTGAACTTTCTGGACCGAGCACTTGCGGCCGCGCTCCTGAATCATGACACACGCCGATAGGCCATCTGTGCCTGCCCTCCGGCTCACGGCCTCTGCTCGAAAGTGGGTATCAGGGATACCAGGGTGATCTATCTATCTATCTGTACCTCGCTGGTCAGATACAGCTACAGTGACAGTGCTCGTGCTAGTTCCTTGTAGGAGCTTGCCATTTATCTACCTTCCTAGTGATCTACGTATATCTGCCTTTTATATCCTTTAGCCCTTGCTTGGTCTTGTCCTGTGTGCGACTCTGTGCCGCTTGGGATATATAGATACTATACGATACACGATATTTCGCCCAGGTTCAACAGAATCGGTGATCCTGTGCGGACTTAGCTTGCCAGTGCCAACAAACATGCCGTTCGAAACAGAACTTACACGTCGGCTGGGGATTCGAGGTATTTTACCATTTACTATACCTTTCAGAAACGATTCATTTAAACTTGCACACTGCTAACTCGGACCCCCAGTCCCTGTCGTCCAGGGTGGAATGCAATGGGTCGGCTACGCAGAGCTGGCCTCTGCCGTGTCCAACGCCGGCGGCCTAGGGATTGTAGGTAAAACGGCACGATGTCGGATTTGCCATTGACAAACTGTTGTGAAGAGAGGAACCAAAAAAAAAAAAAAAAAACTGACCCTTTCCTCACCAGCTTACCGCCCTGACGCAACCGACGCCTGAAGATCTGAGGAGCGAGATCCGGAAGTGCAGGACCATGACCGACAAGCCGTTCGGCGTCAACATCACCCTCCTGCCCACGCTGAACGCCCCGCCGTACCTGGAATACGCGCAGGTGGCCATTGACGAGGGCGTGCGTATCATTGAGACGGCAGGAAACTCTCCAGGCCCGGTGATCGCCCGACTCAAAGACGCAGGCTGCACCGTCCTGCACAAATGCACCACCATCAGACACGCCGCGTCGGCCGTCAAGCTCGGGGTGGATTTCCTGAGCATCGACGGGTTCGAGTGCGCGGGACACGTGGGCGAGTCGGACATCACCAACCTGATCCTCCTGTCCCGCGCGAGACAGTCTCTCGGTATCCCGTTCATCGCCTCGGGCGGCTTCGCAGACGGGTACGGCCTCGCGGCAGCCCTCAGCCTCGGCGCCGAGGGCATCAACATGGGCACGCGGTTCATGTGCACGATCGAAGCCCCCATCCACCAGCACATCAAACAGGCCATCGTCGACGCGCAGGAGACCGACACCCAGCTCGTCCTCCGCCGCTGGCGGAATACCTCGCGCCTGTTCAAGAACAAGGTGACGGCCGAAGCGACGCGGATCGAGCGCGAAAGCACGACGGGCAACTTCGACGAGGTCGCGCCGTACGTCTCCGGCAAGCGCGGCCGGCAGGTCTTTCTCAACGGCGACAAGGACTTTGGCGTCTGGACCGCCGGCCAGGTCATCGGCCTGATCCACGACATTCCCTCGTGTAAAGACCTGATCGATCGGATTGAGCGGGAAGCCGTCGACGTGTTGGACAGGAGCCGGAGGTTGTACAAGCCACATGCCAAACAGCGGGGGAGATTGTAGAGGGCGCTCGGGGTATAGACCTATCTCCATGCTACCGATACTATCTCTGGTTCAGGGACGGAGTTCTGTCTTCGGGCCTCGTTAGAAATCCACAGATGATCCATTCGACCGCTCTTGAAACCATATATGCGTCAAGCTCTGCCTCTCCCAAATCTCCATGCTGATGTACATGATCCGAAATGATGGGTATCAATATAGCGCATTGGTACTAACACCTTTATATTCCGGCATAATCAACAAATCAAGTCATCAAGTCGACCGGAGAAAAGGAGGAAATACAGCGGGCAGGAGTAGTAAAATGAAACCTTGGGGTAAAACCAAGTATGATCACATTTGCCTTGTGATGGGATATCATGGGATATCTCTATTTTTTGTGGAGGACTATATTCTATATTTTTCACTCTCGCAGTCTAGGTGCTGTAGCTCACAACCTCGCTCTCGTCTCTCCGACCGTCCGCTCGTCTGCCTCCCCCAGAGCGAGATGGCGGATCCGTCTCCTCGCCGCCTCGGGACCCTCGCCCTTGATGATCTCGTCGGTCGTCCAGTCGGGGTTGAACGTCGTGCGGTTGAGCGGGTTGACCACGTGCGCGCGCCGGAACAGGTCGTTGTACACGTCCCCGTCGTACCGGCCCAGCGAGCTGGCGAGCAGGTAGTCAGGGATAGACCAGGCGTCGACGAGCCGGACGGCGTGGGGCCGGACCTGCACCATGAGCGCCTCGATGCGGCGCGTCGTGTGTCGGAGCTGGGAGACCTGGGCGGCGTTGGAGGTCAGGAATTCCAGCGCCGAGGCGTCGAGCGTGAACAGCGCAAAGAGTCGGAATAGCACGCCGAGGAGCGATGCCGTGTCTCGGTCTAGTGCACCGTCCGGGCTGGAGCTGGTGCTGGACGCCGCAGTCACCGCGTTGTAAAAGTTCGAAACGAGCAGGCTTTCCGAGTGCGCCTTGCTGGCTCTGTGGAGGGAGATCATCAGGCTGGTCCACGGCCGGCATTCGACCACGCGGGCTTGATAGAGCTGATAAGACAGGTACGCGGCGCGATGTTGGAACGCCTTGACCAAGTCCTCATCGCACTCGAAAATGTCAAATGTAACGGGGACCACGTCCCGGGCACGGAGGAACTCTTTAAACTGGACATCTATTGGCTCCTGCGCCGGAGTACCCGGGTACTTGATGGCTTCGGACATTCGTTTGATCAGGTAAGTCGCCGTCTGTTGCGTGATCATCCAATTGTCCCCCTCAACGGTCGGTTTGGACAGGTACTCATTGTTCAGGGCGACCATGCCGCTGTCGCCCCCGAACCCGTGCCCGCCCATCGCTCGTCTGCAGGTTTCGATCCCGTCGGCCACGAGGGTCGTGCACAGCGACTTCAAGCCCGAGGAGCTTGCGTGCATCTCGCCTAGCCGCGAAAAATCGCCTTTTTGTTCAATCGACGCCCGAGTCTGCCAGTAGAGACTCTCCATCGCGGCCCCAGTGTAGTGAAGGGCAAAGACTGTGGCAAGCAGGGGTAGAATCCTGATCTGCACCGTGGGGTAGTTCAACACGGCCTGCTCAGGTGCGTCGCCTTTCGCATCTCGATCCGGAAACTGGTGTCTGATCGAGAGGTAGCGCACGGCGACGGTGCACGCCCTCGCCAGCACCAGTCGGGCGTGCATGACGATCTGCGCGCGGACATACGTCAACGAGCCGTACACCATCGCCGGCTTCTCTGACGCGGTATTCGGGATCCCAAGCTCGGCGTTGAACCTCGCGTACCTCGACAAAAGCGCCGACGAGGGCACCCTTAGGTGGTCGAAGAGCATGTAGCCATTGTCCATGGCGGCGTATCCGTACTTGGGCCCAATATCGCCAATGGTGATCTTCGGCAAGGGTTCGAAAGTCTTCATATCGCGCACCTGCACGATAAACTGGTGCGGCCCGTACGACTTGTAGAGGTTGGTCTTCGGGTCCGGCGCATGGAGCTGTGCCACCACCACGGCGTGGTTCGCGGTCCTGCCTAGACTTCCACACCACCACTTGCTGGCGGTCAGTGTAGGACTGTGTATTTCGAACTCTCTCGTCCGAGGGTCCCATGTGGCGACGCACTCCAGCCCCTTGACGTTACTGCCGTGTCCGAGTTCGGTCTGGCAGTAGGCGCCGATGATTTCCCAGTTGTCGACTTTTGGAAGCCAATGCTCCTTTTGCGCGTCGCTGCCTTGTTCGCGAATCGATGTTTTGAACAGGAGAAGCTGCAAGGCATAAGGACCCATCTCGTCGATGAGATAGCTCGCCATGTTGTAGTCTTGTTCGTCCCAGCCATGTTTGGTCGCGAGCCGTGTAACCGTTTTGGCTCGAGCGAGGCCGAGTTGGTATCTTTCCGGATGGCCCAGGTTGAGTTGGTTCTGCTTCGAAAAGACTGGCTCTCGCGCCAAAACTCGCAAGATTCTCTTCTGCCGCTCGAGGAACTCGTCCGTGAGCAAGTGTCTCGCAAGCTGCTCGGTGTCGATGCTGGACCGAGCGCGCTCATCCGCCAGGATCTGAGTGCATTGGGGGTCTGCTGGCTTCAGCCGCTGCGTAAAGTCGGCCATGACTACCAGAATCCTCGACGGCGATTTGGAAACAAGCAAGACAAACAGCCTTGTACCACATCATCTTCGTAGGCTCTAGGAATGTCTACTGACTTTGTGTTCCTCGAGATTCATGCAAGTGAGGCTCCATTGTCGGTAACCAGAAACCATGTCGTCCGAGCCGATCGCAGCTAGGCCGATCCTAGCCGTACATGGCCTTAGGCTTTAGGAATGAAAGCTGCGGTCGGCGGCTATAGCTGTTCTGTGATGGCGAGCGACCACTGGCCGGCGGTTGGAGGAACCGGCCGCGGTGAGAAATCTTAGCCGAATACATGTACGTCCCTGAGAAGACAAGACGCCGATCCTGACCACACGCCGAATTGCAGGCCCTGCCGAGAGAGCCTAGATCCTAACTCAATCAGGAGACTCCTCGATTCTTTGGTACATTTCACAACATCATGGAAGCGAGTTGTCGTAACATTCGAACGTTGACCGATGGCGTCGTCCAGAAGTACCGGGTACGCAAAACATGGTCCTGTATACGGTAATATCTGAGATGAGTAAGACGCATAGACGAGAATGGACATCAACAAAAAAGACAAGACCAGAACCCAATCAGCAGGGGATGTGGCCTTCATTGGACTTCTATAGGTATGTTTGTATATGGCGCGCTATTGATCAAAGAAAGAGAGTCTAGCAGGACTCGAGTTTCCCCTGACTTCAAGCCACTCGCCCATCTATTAGTGACCATTTTGGCCGTTCTGACCATTCTGACCGCTGTGGCCGTTTTGGCCGTGACCATTTGCTTGCTTGGCCCTGAGCTGCCGCTCGCGACGGCTTTCGCTTGCGGGATCGAAAAAGGCTATAGGTAGTGTGTCCCAGTCCACTCCCCTACCCTCTAGGGGAGAGGGAAGAGGACGAAATTGTCAGCGTGGAGGAACTAGGGACTAGGGGAAAAGTCCAAACTTACGCTTCTCGCCAAACACCGTCGTCCGGATGCCTCTCCTGGGACTATCGTACGTCCCTGGAATGACGCGGTGCGCGGTGCATCTGCCGTTCATAGCAAAAGGCGATCGCAGGTCAGTCGTCGGATCTGTGAGTTCATGAAGGGGCGAGGCTTGGTTCTGAATTGCATACCTGTTGTCCCACATAGCCACGCTGCCCACGGCCCATTTCCAGCGCACATAGTGGTCGTCGGCGGAATGCAGGTGGTATTCGAAGAACTCGAGCAGTTTGTCTGTTTTGAGTGGTGAAGGTCACGCCGTATGGTTAGCGATAGAGTAGACTTGAAACAACCAAACAGCCCGTGCACAAGACGAGAGGGAACAAACCAGGGTAGAAGGACGTTGCAGAAGACCACAGGGAGAGACCATTCATACCTGACTCCTTCTTATTGAGTTCCGCGAAGCCCGTCACAAAGCCGGGATTGATGTTCAGCGCTTTAAGCCCAGTGACTGGGTGGGTGCGGACGGCCGGATGGTGAGTATCGATGGGCGGACGGTTTGGGCCGACGCCCCAGAGGTCAAGGATTGTGTCGTCTGCAGAAATGTCACGGTCAGTTGTTAAGTCAATTCGACCAACTTATTCTTGAGCCCTTTCCGCATTCCCCACCAGAATGCAAACGGGACAGGAAACTGACATTGAAGCCGCGACGTGTGGACGGCGTGCAGTCCTTCGACAAACTTTTGCAAGGCTTTACTCAAGGCGTCGTATGTGCCGTACTGCGAGATCTGTGCTCTCGGTATTAGTATTCGCTCTCCTGGACGGTATATCACAGATAAGGCGTTTTGACATACCCATGCAGTGTCGCCTCCAACTTCAGGGTGCTCTTCCATCCGCAAAAGAGAGTATGAGGGAGCTGCGACAACAAGCATCAGCTCTAGCCCAGATGCTCTACCGGGTGAACTTCAACCAGCAACAAGGGAATGAATGACGCACGGTTGATCTCAAAAGACGTGTCGGCATGCCAGTCTCCCTGAGGCTGTGGACCGTCAGTTCAATCCAATACGCGAAGCAGGGCGGTGTTGCGCACCCAGGGAGTATATTTCAATATCTCACGGTGGTCCTCCTGACTCCCTTTGATCACCACATGCTAGAATCTCTTAGCTGACGACAGCCTTTGTCGACCTGCGTGAAGGGAGCTAGCTACCTTTTGAGTCTGGTTGAATCTCGATCAGCAACCCTTCTTGCGAAAGTGGTGTCTTCAAATCAGCCACAACAAGATTGGACATACCTTCTGAGCCGGATGTCGATCGAGAGTTCCTATCAACCGCGCTCCCTCAGTCCCCACGAACACTTCAGAGAATTGAACCGGGAATCACTGGAAGAGTTTACCATAATGCTCAAAAAGCTTGTACTGTCCCTCGGTCGTGAGGTCCTGGTCGCGGAAAAACACCACGCCCCTCTCCGTGACGAGCAGGGCGAGTTCGTCGAGCTGTTTCTCGTCCAACTGCGAGAGCTGGACGTTTTCCAGCAGCGTGCCGATAGATTCAGTCAGGTCCACGCGCTTCGCCACCGCGAAGAGGGCTTTCTTCTCGGGATCGGCAAACAGCGCGCGGTCCTTTTCCGGTTTGATCTCTTCGCGTAGAGGCTCTGGCGGAACCCAGTCTTTGATCTTTGCGTTGAACCCTGGGTGCAAGGTGACGGGGAAGCCCGAGTCAGGGGAAACGAATTTGCGGGCTTCGAGGTGTGCCATTGCAGCGGAGGGCGATATCTAAATGGTGCTATCTATACAGAGGGACGAGAGGTTCAAAAGTATCTTTCAAGAGAGCTCCCTGAGAGAGGGATAAAGGCAGTACTGGCAACGATTGAGATAAAACAAAGGTAACCTCTCGATAAACAGATGAATTCTCACCAGGCGCAAAGCAGCTTGTCATCTATCGCAATCAGTCACTTCGCCATGAATCCCCTCATTGCGTGATATGACTATGCCAGCAATCATTGGGGAAGCGGCACATGCCTCTGATCTCCACGTGGCCGTCCACCTTGTCCTGGAAAGGGATGTAGATTCCAATTGGAGGGAATCTTGGATGGCGCAACCACAGGAACCGATCGCGTCAATCCGAGACTGGAGTAACTTGACACTGACACTGTGTTCATGATGTGTTTTTATATTGTCATTGCAAATCGATATTGGATTTCGGGAACGAGATAAAGGCCTTGTAGTCAGCAGACGGGGTTGGTAGAATTGCTCGCGGAGGGCGCGAAGTGATAAGGCTGGAAATGACGGCCTTGTCTCCCCTAGATCGAATCCGAGGCTGACCTGGGCGAGTTGGCTTGATCATCTTCAGCATGAAGCTTTAGAACAGCTCACCTCGATTCTCCCTCCATACCCGTCAAAGGGACTTCATCAAGCCACGGAGTCAACAACCAAAGGACCCAGTCATTCTCTTTCAAGTCTGACGAAAAAGGGAATTCTGGGCATGAAATTCGGTAAACTATCCCTAATAGGAATATTAACGTAGTTTCCTGAATAGGGATAGTATATACTAAAGAGATCTAGCGAGTCATATTCTGCATAACTTCTTCAGGTGACTGCGACATATTGGAAATAGGTTGTAGGGAATGTTCTCTGATCTGCTGGCCACTGTGCACCATTAGTGTCTGCACCAAGTACTCCTAGAGAAATGATAGAATACCCAGAGAGGAATATTCGACCACCTTTGTCAAAAACGTTTCGGCATTAAACAAATGACAGACCAATCCCAGAGAAAGTCTGGATGGGCTCTATTCGTCTATGGACTCGGCAAACACGTATCCTATACACGTAGTCCGTCTCCGTCTGCTATTAAGAACGCTGGCTATCGAAGCTCGTTCGCATTCCTGGCTAACTATGTACAACCGCTCATACTGTTTCTCCCATATTAAGCCACCACACATTTGGTGCCCATGGGCCGGCCTTATGCAAAACCGCCATATCTCTACAGTCGCAACGAGCGAGCGACTTGATTAACCTAGTTCACGGGGACGAGGTCGTGCTTCTCCGACACGAGCCGTGGAATATTCGTCGGCTGTATATGGACAGACCCTCCGACGTTGACCAGCCCGAGCAACAAAGTCTATCGCTGAAATGCAAAATATCAACAAACTAATGCTTTATGGTCGCTCAGAAAAGACCAGCTTGCAATGATCCTGCCATCAATGTCAGCGATATAAATGGTTCAATAACAGAGATCGACTCACCTGAGGGAAAATGGTAGCAAAGACCTCAATATCCTCACTGATGGGAGTGGGCTCATGCTCCCAGTCCAGCAAGATGCTAGCCTTTCCAATCATCGCCATCAAGTTCAGCTGAGCGTAAGTCTGCCCCAAGCAGTAATGAGGCCCCGTGCCAAAGACCAGCCAATTCTTGACCTGCTTGTCGGCATCTCCAGTGATCCATCTCTCAGGTTCGAAGCTGTCTGGGTTGGGGTATGCTTCAGGATCATGGGTGGCAGGCCAGATTGACGGAATAATCATGGAACCTTTCTTGAGGGTATAGCCTTCAGTCACGGGGAAATCTTTCTTGGCGACATAGGGCACCAAAATGACTGGAGGACGATACCGCAACGTCTCCTTGACCACCGCCCTCGTCCAGACCATCGACTCCAGCATATCCATGTCAAAGGGCTTGTTGCGGTCGCCACCACGAAGACGGAGGTTTTCCTCTCGGACCTTGTCCAAGATCTCTGGTCGATCAGCCATAATCTGGAACAGCCAAGTGCAGGCGCTCGAGGTGGCGTCTTGCGACGCAAAGAGGAAGGTAAAGACGGTTTGTGATATTTCAAAGTCCGTAAAGTCGCGAAGTAATTGGGGTGGTTTCTCGGAATCGTCCACCTTCTCGCCTCGTTCGATGCGTTCTCGATATTTGGCTGAATCCTGTATCTGCTTGACCCATGCGTCCAGAATGCATGTAATGCTACCGCCGGCAGCCATTCGCACTTTGGATTTGGCTGCACACTTTGCAAATTCGACCAGGACCATGTCTGCAGCCTTCTTTCCGTACCAGGTCTTAGTGTAGGGGATGATGATGGGAAAATTGACGAGTTCCAACGCAGCGGTGATCAGATAGTAGTCATGGGCAATTTTCTTGACCACTTTCTCGCTCATGTAGTGTCCAACAAAGGTTCTGCACGATACGGCGCACATGAGTTCGCGGAACACGGGCATCCAGGGCGTGGCTTTCATGTTGTTTTCCTTGGACATCTCCAGGAAGGTCTTGAAATACTTGCTGTAGACCTCCTCTTGACCGGGCAAATACATCTCCAACGCTTGACGCGTGAACAGTCCGTTCAGTCCCTTGCGGTACTCGACGTGGGCTTTTCCATCCAAAAAGACCCAGTTTGTGGGGCGAAGGAGTTTTGGCGCGACATCGACGACGGTGGGTTTGACGAAGCCTGGCGAATTGAAAACCTTTCGTGCCATATCACGGGTTCCCGCAATGACAACGAATCTGGTAAGACATAACGATTAGCACCCCAGGCTAGTGTTGCGAGCAAAGCGCGAATTCTGCATACTTGTGGAAAACCGACACGCAGCTCAGCTCTGCACTTTCCCATTTCTCTTTGTACTTCCTAAAGTCCGGTCGCATCGATTCGAGAAAGGGGCCGATGAAGGGCATTTTCCACGCAGGGCCGACGATGCCATGTTTGCGCCATTGGTAGCTACCTGTACGACTGGTCAACACCCCGCCTCAAACCGCATTCACTGCAACCATGGTGCTCACATTGATCGTAGGTAGCCAGTAATAGGATAATTGTCAAGACAACAGTCCAAGAATTGAGCTGCGCCCATACTCTGCCCAAGACACCAGAGGCATGGGCCGCCTGAAGCGTCAGATCTGCATTGGCGAGAGGAGAAGCAAAGCTCGTAGCATTTGCGAGGACGTCCATGGCGTATTGGCTGGGGGGTTGGTGTGAAGGGGGCCGCGGCAAACGGATTGACTTGAGGACCCGATCGAATGGGGGCGCTGTGCCTTGCAGCTGGGCAAACGTCGTATCACGAGGGCGACGTGTCGACGGCTTGCTCGTATAAATCCTCCTCTTCTGACACACAGGTTGTTTAGAGTGTGAGAGCGGACAACGACGACAACCACAACCACGAAGACCACCAAGATAAGAGAGGACGGGGGGTTGGTTGTTTGTAGGGCTTTATTTTTACGAGGTACAACCGGAAATTCCTGAGGGGGCATTGGCCTCTTCACCGCCAAATTTGGTCCATGAATTAGAATTGGCGAATTGGCTCCTTCCATTGGATGCGGACCCGTTGTACGATTCAATCTCCCCCGTCGGTTCACGAGTTTCCCGGATGGCGACACTGTTGGTCCTATCAGCCAATCACCCGCAGCTCATATAGACACGCACAACCATCAGTCCACAGTGAGTATGAATACCTCGTACTTGGTCCCATAACAATAAATATATATCCACACTCCAAGCAATCATGTGAGATGTTCTATTCCACAACTACAATGCCACAGGGTCCAACTCTACGAACAGACCACGAATAAAAGGGGGAAGCTCAACTAGAGAGAGAAAAGAGAGAGCAGAGATGAGGGTTCCAGGACAGAAACACCTCAATACATCGTGTCCAGTATGCTCCATTCAGTATCCATGCCATCCATCGTTCCTACTCGTAATAGGTCCAGCCCAAAATGCAGAAAATAGTCATGCCATGCTTTTCTTCAGACCTCCAAACGCCCTGTCATACTCCTGTCATTTCATGCTCTCTTTTGATCTACGGAATGTCGAAAATCGGTTTGAGCTTCTTCAGCAATGCCCATTCATCTCGCGTCACCTCATCTCTGTAAAATTCCTTCAGCGTGTCGATCGACCTGCGCGAGATCAGAGAGTACAGCGTGTCCTTGTCTTCCAACTGTCGTCCGTACATAGGCTGGTTGGGTCCTTCAATCTTGACTGCTACGGACGGCTGGCCCTTCTTGCAGATCGGAATCGCCTTGTGTTCACGCTCAATCGATGCGCTGTGTGCACGTTAGTTTTCTCCATCTATGGTAGCAGGGGATGCTGGTTCACTTACACTCTGCCCAAGGTAATGATTTCCTTCACACCGGTGACCGGATTCGTCTTCACTACCGCAATGGGTGTCAACGGCCGCAGGGCACCCTCGACAACGTCCACGCCCACGACGATGGGATCCTTCTTGTTGAAGACCTGGATAGGGCTGAGCACGCATGGGAACACGGCATGCATCTTGCTCTCTTCCTTCTTCTTTTCCCGCAGCTCTTCCATGTGTTTGGTAAAGGCATCGAACAGGTGATAGATGATATCCGCGGTAAAGATCTTGATGCCGTTCTCCTCCGCGTACTGCTGCGCTTCTTTATCGACTTTGACATCGAAGCAAAGCATTACCGCGTATTCTCTCGCTTTCTCTAGCATAGTGCCCGCCATCATGACATCTCGCTTGTACACCGGTCCAATGGCGATGTTCGCCACGGGGATCTTGCTCTGCTTAAGGAACTCCAGTAAAGCCTCCAAAGAGCCCAAGGTCGAAGCTTGAACGCTGACACCTCGGTTGTCTTTGGATATCTTGCTGAGCAGACTTTGTAGATCCGCCATGACGTCGTCCATCAAGTCGTCCTCGTCGTCTTCAGGTCCAACCACCAGAAGCCGAGAACCCGCAATGGCCTTTTCCAGGTCATTGGCAGCGATCTTGACACCCAGAGCTGCCTTGCACTCTTTGTTGTGCACATATTGCGACTTGAGGCGGAGCTCCTTGAGCGGCGCAGGTGTAAGGAGCGCCCGGATATTAGTGGCAATAGGCCCGTCGGTGCCGCAGAGCACAATTCGGTCGCCCTCATGAAGAACGCCATTTGACAGTACCACATCAATCGTAGTCCCGAGGCCTTCAATCACTTTAACTTCAAGAACAGTACATTCCACCTCGGACAAATACATCAGGCTGGACGTCATCCGTTCCTGAGTCAACGACACCAGCAGCTTGAGCAGATCCGGGATGCCTTCGCCTGTATGTGCGGAGGTTGGCACCAGTGACACGTACCGGCGCATATCCTTGTTCTCATAAAACAGTTCGGAGTTGAATCCCTCTTTCGCAAAGGCAAGCTTGGTCTCAGCAAGTCGACTCTCAAACTCGGCCACCACCCCCTTGGACTGGAAAGCAAGACTGTCCTGGAAGCCATTATTATCAATTTTCTTCCAGCCGTAAAGACGGTCGATCTTGTTGAGGGCCACGATGAACGGCGTCTTGCGGTCGCGAAGCAGTTTCATGGACTCTAGAGTCTGCGGCTCCAGACCGTGCATGATGTCGACAACGAGGATGGCAATGTTGCAAAGCGAGGAACCGCGTGACCGGAGATTGGAGAAAGATTCGTGACCAGGAGTGTCGATAACCAACAAGCCCGGCACTTTGAACTCAAATTTGCCATCTTTATTGACAACAGCTGTCTTCTGTTTCAGAGCATCCACGGGGAAATAGGTTGCACCGATCTGCTGGGTGATACCACCCGCTTCACCTTCTTGCACATTTGTCTGTCGAATTTTATCCAAGAGCTTCGTCTTACCCGTGTCGACGTGGCCCAGAATACAACAGATAGGTGAACGCAGGTTATCCTTGGACCGGGCCGCAAGGGCCTCTTCGTGAGCCTTGGCTCTCCTGGCGGCTGCTTCGGCTTTCTTCTTTGCCAGCGCCCGCTGGGTGGCAGTCTTTTCCTCGTCCGAAGAGGATTCTTCTGATTCCGTGTCGGACTCGATCGGCCTCTCCTTAGGCGGACGCCCTGAATCCCGTATAGGCAGGCTTGACGATGTGGTTGGTTTGGTCACTGCTCCATTGGTTCCAGTCGTCTTTGAAGCGCTTCCATTGGCGGCTGACTTTGATGCACCTTTGGCAGATCCAGCGTCTTCGTCACTTGATTCAGCATCCCAACTCTCTTTAAGGTCTTCGTCAGCTGCCTTCTCCCAATCGTCAAGCTCCGAAGATTCTTCCTGTTTCGCAGCATCTGCTTCGGCTGCAGCAGCGGCAGCGGCGGCTTCCTCAGCCTCCTTGGCCAGACGTTGGCGTTCTGCTTCCGCAGCTTCAGCCTCCTGTCTCGCTCGTTCAGCAGCGGCTTCGAGGTCAATCTCTTCCTTCTTCGGGCCCTTCCGCTTCTTGTCGACGGCGGGTTTCTTCTTCTCTTCGACACCCTCGGACAAACCCGCAACCTTGACGCCGGATTCTAGCAGTTGTTTGAGGCGAAGTTCTTGTTGCTGTTTCCTTTTCCTGTCAGCCTCTGAGAGGAGTTTGCCTTCTTTCTTAAGTTGTTCCTTCTTCTCCTTCTCCTTCTCCTTCTTTCGCTGTCTTGCCTCGGCTTTCTTTTTCTCCTCTTCCGCCTCCTGTCGTAGGCGCTCTTCTTCTGCGGCCCTTTCGGCGGCTTCTAACTTGGCCTGCTCTTCTCGCTGTTTAGCAAGAGCCTCTTGCTGCTTTTGAATGGCAGCGAGATGTGCAGGAATTTTTCTTTTCTTGCCCGATTTGTCCTCTTTCTCTGGTGCGGCGACAGGGGCTTCGGTCTTCTCAGGTGCAGCTGGCTTCGCTTCCTCAACCTTGGGACCTGATGCCGGGGCGACAGTCTTTTTCTTTGCAGCCTATTTGCTCGTTAGTGTTGTAGCAACCAGATTAGTGACGGTCAGGTTACCTGTTCTTTCTTTCTCTGCTTCTCACGTTCCTTCTTCTCGCGTTCCTTCTCCTTCTTAGACTTCACGCCCTCGCCAGCGTCTTCGCCATCTGCATTGGCAGGTTGCTCGTCCTTTTCTTGTTGTTTCTTGCCGCCCTTGGTCTTCTTATGAGCGTTGCCCGCAAAGACATCATCATCCTCATCATCAAAAGTTGCTTCGGTGGGTGCTTTCGCATGCAGGTCGTTCTCGGGTTGGACCGGGGTAACACCGTCTGCATCTTCGCCCTCGACAAAGTCATTGACAACCGGTTTGCCTTTCTTTGCACGTCTGTCTTTGTTCTTGCGCAGGGCTGCCATCAATCCTCCACCGCCGTTTACCTCCTCAGCGGCATCGTTCTCGGTTTCTGCCCGCTTCGCATCTTCGGTAGCCTGGGCTATCGGATCCACGGTCTCACCGAGCTCGTTCTCCCAGTCGTCAGCCTGCTTTTTGCCGCCCTTCTTCTTAGGTGCCATTGCAGAGGTTGAGCTGGTGGATGGATTTTAAGGATATGAAGCGTTCACGGTTTAGAGGCGGCGACATAAAGTCGTGTGCAGTTTTTGTCAAGGTTGGTGGGGAGGCACTCGGGTGACTGGTGGCGTAGAAGCGGGTAGTGGCTATTGGGCAGAGGCTTGGATCTTTTCGTTCTTCGCCACCAATTTTTTTTAAGGGGAGAATTGTACGGGGAGTCGGACTTAAAGGTTGTGAACACTGGGGATTATAGTAGCAACTAGAAGTTGACAAACAAGCTGAACGGATGGTGGTGGGGCAACGAGAAGAAAATAAAGTGACGTTCAGTGAAAGAAACAGTGCGGGCGGAGGTTCGGCTTCGCTGCCTGTCTTGGCACTTCTTCGCTAAGAGGCAGCCTCGTCACCCGTGAGGCTCCCGCCAACTGACCTTATTCCACTGTCGCCATGGTACAGAGGTAACCCACGCTCAGGCTCACAATTGAAAACAAGGATTATCCTCTCTGGGGAGGCTAGGAAAACTATCTGGACACGGTGGTGGATCCTCAGCCTGACCATTCCCCGTCCAGCACTCGCAACATGTATTCCAGCTCCAGTTCCCCAAGGCTGCGGTAGGAAGGCTGCCCATGCGTTTGATGACATGAGAGGTCTCGCTGTCCTGTCTTCCCCAATGATCAAGATCTTGGTGGATACCTCATCAGCTTCCTTATCCAAGCAATCACGGCATCCACGGGCTCCTCCGTGTCCCCCAAAGTCTCCTTTACCAAAGCATTGAAACTGTCCAACATCTCTGACCCTCTGAGGACATTGCTAAGGTTGTATGGCCCTTGGTCGATCATCATGAGGAGTCGGTCTCCCTGGACATGCATATCTCTCGGCCGGAAAGCTGGGGGTTTCCAAAGATACGCCTTGTTGTCCGTGTCTCTTTTCTTAATGGGCACCGGTTTGATCGGTTTCCTGATCATATGGCTCATTTCTTCTATGAAGTGAAGTAGTTTCCATTCATTATGCTTTAGAAGTGCAAAATGGAAAATGGTACCATCAAGAGTGCAGCCGTAGAAGCGAGTTCGGTCTGTCTTTCGGAGTCCCTGTGATGTATCAAGTCGGAAGCGGTGGATGTGACCTGGAACCGTTGCATGAAAGGCAGGGACTGTATTTGTGGTTCCCTCGGTCAACCCGGAGAAGCCAATGATGTCCGTGCCTCCAACGTCGGCAGAGGCAAAAACGGCGGTGGAACCATCCAGGACGACAATGTCCTTGGCATATCTCAGTTTGGTGTCACACTTATGATGGTGCAGTGCATTTTCCTTCTCCACGAGCACGAATAACGAATGTTGTTGTGTGGCTACGCAGATGAGCGAGCCTTGACAGGAGATAGCGTTCGCATATGACGGGAGAGCGTGCCTTGCCAACGTCTTCCATCGGCGTGTGGACCAATCCAGGTGATGTAACACAATTTCTTTGCCGGCAGCAATCAGGAGAGACGACATCTTGTACGCACATATCGCAGTGATAGGCTCACGGCTGCTGAATGCAAGTTTAGGGGTGGCATCAGGTTTGCCCTTGCCCAGGCTTTTGGCGTTAACACAGACAACGCGCCCAGGCCCGCGCGCACTCGGTGCAGTGCTCGCTTGCTCCAAAGCAAGTACCAGCCATTCGTAGTGATTGTTGCCATCTGTCGGTGCCCAATCAATGAGATCGTGGATAATATCGCTGTCGTCTCCGGTCACGATTGTTGAAAAGGTGCTGTACTCTGAATCCTTCGATTTAGGATATTGTAAATTCGGGGTGATGAGCTGTAGTCCGACTCTCTGAACCTTATCTAAGGGAGGACTGGAAATGTCCTTTCCGCTCTGGGTCTGAGTCACCCCTGTGTGCCTTCTTGTTCGCATTTCAACAGGACTGCCTTCTTTGGAGAATGCCACGACAAACCGCTGGAGGAACCGCGAGTAGATTACACGCTTGGGGGTGCCATTGAGGTTCAAGTGCCTTGCTATTCCGTGTTCCTGAGCAATCACGGAACAGAAAAGCAAGTCCTCTGCAACAGCGCATATCAGGAAGCCTCCGGGTTGTTCGTCTCCTGATGCAAGCTTCGGGATGCGATGGACAGCATTGACCAGTGGCTGGGCCGAAGGCTGATCATTTGTTAGCATAGTACGAAGGACGGTCAAGGACAGGGTTACCTTAGTTCGATCTGTCACCCACAAAGGAGACATAGTGTAGTCGACCACGGCGGAATTAGGATGGAGTGTTATTCGATGAAGCGTGTATTCGCAAAGCACAAGTGCAGATGGATAATGCGGATTGCCGGTCTCACTCTTTTCTTCGACAATCTGGACAGAAGTTGCCCCAACGCGATACACGTCGTCACATTTCAAGGCTATGCAAGTGTTAGAAATCAGGGCATATATCAAAGATCTTCATCCCATACCTGTTTTGGAAGCATCGTCAGAATTCACAGTAAGTTCCAGACAAATGACTGTGCCGGAACGCAGACCACATAACAGCAGTGTTGGGCCAGTGGTGGGCTGCTTTAGCGCGGCCAGGGAAGACACAGCGGAATTCTCGACTTTCGCACTTAGATCCTGAACTCGGAATTCAAAAGCAAGTTCTAGTGATTCGTTATATCCCAATATCTCTCCGGTTGACGTCCCAATTAGAACCAGCTGCGAGGCCTGTGCCGGGATGCAGCAAATCACATTGGGAACGTGTCTCAGTCTCACAGAGGGACGGCATGTGAAGCAACTCAGCTCATTCTCTGAGGTCTCGATATCGATCACACAGAGTTCATGACCTGAGCTGACGCGGTTCGCGGTGACAATGGCTTGATCATCGGCGAAGAAGGCTGAGTGTGTGATGCGGGACTTGAGGTGACTCAATTCTCTGGCTTCTCCATCAGCGTCAATGAATATGGCGTGCGCGCCATGGGTGGTCACCTGTACAACGGTGTTCCTCCCAATAACCGTCGCAGCAAGCGTGGGGTGGTCGAAATCGAATCCAGGGTGGCTCTCTGTATCCGTAAGTGAGATGTCTTGAGTTTCTAACTCGAAAGCGACCATCGACGAGTTGGTTGTATGAGAAGCTAGTAGCAGTAGTTCGTTGGCATCCGGTATCTCCAAGCTGAACAGCCGCTCTACCAAAGCAGCCTCCGGAAACGACATTTCCCAACCGATTTGCGCTTCTAAGCCGTACCGAATTTCAGACACTTGACCATGCCTATCACAAGGACCTGAACACGCATAGAGCCTGCCTGGTATGCCTTGCCACATGGAAGGGTCTTGAGAATCGATGGCTATCGGAGGTCCGAGGGCAATATCATTCAGTGGTGCGAGTGTTTCAATACGCTGAATGCGTTCCGGCGATCCTCTTGCTGATACGTGGAAGACGCCTCCGTCTGTCAAGCTTCCACCCACTATGATGATATCGCCGCCTGTTCTGGGGGGGCCCGACAGCATGCAGAATGCCGTGTCAACGCTGAAACCAAGATGCCCAATGGTGTTGTTGGTGCTGAATTTGGTGCTGGATGCTTTGTCGATGAGAAAATTCTTCAAGAGTCCATCTTCTCGCAGAATGACAATATCATCGCACCGCTCGAGGTACTGGTTGTGGCGTCTAGGTCTTACCCATTGGACCCACTGCAGACTTGTGTTTATGTTATCCATGCATCGACAGTAGACTCGTTTCATTTGAGAAGATTGGACATTCTCATAGTAACTGATGCCAGATGCCATGACAACGATGTACGAGAAAGGTCGCGTCGACGGAATGAGCATCAAGGGTAACTCATCTTCTCTCAACCTGCGTCCACTACAGGTCATTGGCTGTATCGTCTGCAGGGATTGACGAGTGTCCCATCTGTAGATGTATTGATGCGTTCCCTGTTCCGCCTCTCCAGAGTAGACCAGCAGGAGCAGAATGACCTTGGTGGGATCGGCTTCTGGGCTGCGTAAAAAGGTCATCAAAAGAATCTTGCCAGCAACTTGAATGAATCGTTGCTAAGCTGGTTAGTTTTAGAACCTCTCGTGAGGATATAGACACATACCTCTTCGGAGGGACGGAAAGAGGTGGGGTTAAGGGGATCCCATATATCAATCTCGGATTTGATCTTATCCACGTCATGTAGCTTGAAGACTCCAAAGTAGCCCGATGGTGAAGCAACGGCTAGGGCACGGGATCTGAGGCATCAGTTAGCCCACAGTTCACAGGAGCTGGAAGCTGCTGGCAGGCATACTCGGGATCAACTGCGATATCTCGACATTCTCTGGAAGGCAGATCCACTCCTCCCAAAAAGGGTCTTTTTGCGAAGATGAGTTTGACGTCTCCAACGACATCTTTCCTTGCATAGACGTAGATTAACTCGTTGTCTTTGGTGATGAGAACAAGAATCTGTGGCGGCTCTGTCTCGTTTACGGGTTGACCACGAATACTGAACTGCTCTTGATCCCGCTCTTGTTTCAATATCGCATCGACAATTGGAACAGACTTCAACTCTGCCGATATGATTCTAGCATCAGTGATTGTTGTGCCAAAGTCTAGCTTTGCAGTCAAGACAACCAATTGTCCACTGTCTTTGAATTCGTGAAGCTGGACGAAAGTTGGGCCAACAAAGACCACATCGTTATTGGAAGGAGAACGAATACGGGCAGGGAGGATCCATCTGATGCTGGAGCTCGAGCTGAGAGTCCTAGACAAGATGCCTACACGGTCTTGGATGGCCAGCCGAGGCTCGTCACGCCCTTCCGCCCATTGCCTTCGCTGAAGATGATGGCTCTTGGAGGCCATGGTTGACAACGCGAGACGGCTGAGGGAAGTCGGAGAACAAGAATGAAGTAGAGCTTGAATGGAACAGAGCAGGATGATGATTGTGAGGATATGATGGAAGGGATTTTCGTATAGGTTATCGAACAAAGAGGCTGAAGAAGCGAGGCGAGGGGAAACGAGAGCGGCAGAGCTGAGGTTGATATACCCCGTAACGAGTCTGTGTCCGCGTCTCTGTGCGTAAACCGCGCCCTGGCTGGATTTTGTTACAGTATTGCGCTTCTCCCTTCTCCTCTCTCGCCCTCTCACACAACTCTAGGAACCTCCAGAGAGAGACATGCGGCGCGGACAGAGGAATACAGCGGTCAGAATACGGGGTTGGCGGTCCAAGACGCCGAGGGACAGCAGCAAATCTGGCCTTGCGCCTGACTGAATCGCCATCTGTTCATCCAACATGGGGGTCCGCATAGGATGCATCCAAACAAGTCGGTTGTCTGTGAAATCAACCTGTTGTTAGGCCTTGAGGACAATGTTGGCGAACACAAGCAAATGCAGGGGCTTTGGAAAGGACACCAGGTTCTGCAGGTGAAAAATGGTCGCTGATTTTCCTCCCCCACCTCCGCAACTTTCTTGGTGCTTGTCATTCCAAACATCTGCCTTCACCCTGAGCGAGAGTCACCATCGTCCGCGCCCTCACGGATCCATCCATCACTGCAAACCCCAGTGACCCAAAGACGACCAACGAGACCTGTGAGCCCTGACACTCTTCGATTGAACCCATCCGAACCATCCATGACACGATGATAAAACAAGGAGGGTTGCTTGGGTCTGGGTGTGGACAAAGTTGACATCTGACAGGGGTCAAACCGGCTGCTTTGTGCGACCTGTCACATTATCAACCACCGCCCGCGTCAAATTCCATCCCCACGCACGTCTTGATGGCCTGGAGGTGACACGGCTATTGTCTGCTCACGACCTGTTTCAATCTCGACCCAAAGAGCGGCGTGCACTAGGCCGTCTGCGCCCGCACCGTCGCTTAAACGTACGGTTCGCAACACACGCAGATGGCGATCGTCCGATCAAGCTAAATAAGGCACAATGCATTGCGGCGCCGACACCGTGGGTGCAGCTGTCAATCAGAAGCAACTGTCAGCTTCTATGGCTTCTGCTGAAAAGGTTCCTCTTTCAGATGTCGACGCCACTGCAAAGGCTGAATCAATACAAGAAGCCTGTCGACAACGGGATTTCGTGGCCCTGGTAACGCTTGCAACTTCGACTGGCGGTCTTTTGAGCGACGAGTTGCGCCGACAAGCTTGTATGTCCCCCCTTGTCCACCAATAGTTCGATACACTCCGTGGCACTTTGAACTGATGCATGAACTTGGAAGGGCCAATTCTATTGGGTTGCACACCTGAAAGCACAGCACCGACCCAGCCAGAGCACTCAAATCAGCACCAGTGGAGATCGCTACCCCGTCACCCGGACGAGGATCAAGTACAACTTGATGTTGATCGCGCCTTTGTATACTACCCTAAAGGTTTGCGCCCTTTTCCCCAACAGCCATGTGACACTGGCCTGACTGCAGCCAGATGAATCGGAACAGTCCCTCGGGCAAAAGAAGGCGGAGCTCTTTGAGTTGATTGTGTCGGCGTTGAGAAGCTATCCAATCCTCTCTTACTTCCAGAGCTATCACGATGTCGTACAAGTACTCCTCCTTGTGCTGGGAAAACATCAGGCTATGCCTGCCGTTCCACGAATCTCTTTGCTCCGTCTTCGCGACTACATGCTGCCGACCATTACACCTGCGACGAAACACTTTGAGCTGGTATCGGCTGTCGTGATGGCCGCCGACCCCGATCTAGCGAATCACATTGCCCAGGCCGAGAATATTTTTGCCTTATCGGCAACTCATTCCCTTTTCGCGCATGATATCTACGACTATGGCGACATTGCCAGGGTGTACGATTTCTTGCTTGCGCATGAACCAATCATGAGCATCTATTTGTTTGCGGCGGTCACAATATCGAGGCGATCGGAGTTGCTCGAGATGCCTGCGGATCAGTCCGATATCCTGACTTTTGTCATATCCAAACTACCCCAGACTTTCAACATTGACGCACGGATCCAGGATGCTGTGACTTTGTTTCGCCATCATCCGCCGCAGAGACTGCCTGGCTTTATCTGGTGGCGCCTCTCTCGCTACAGTGTCCTCAAGACATCACGTTGCATCAAGCAACCTCAGAGCCTGGAAGAAGCGGAGATTCTTTGCCGGAAGCAAATCCAGCAACTCCACAGCCACGAGCTAATGCGCAAGAGAGCACTAGTACTTTACAGATACAGAAAACCCGCCGCATCGATGACGGCCGTCATCTTGGTGGGAATCTTCTCAATCTGGTTGCGAAAGACGGGCCACGACAGGATCTTGTGGTCCATGATATCGACCGCAACTACTTTCTTTTCAACTCCGCGATAGACTGTCCCACCGGATCGAGACCCGGGAAGGAGAAGCTTAGATTTCGATCTTACACGGACCTGACTGGGTGAACGCCCGAAGATTAGAAGTCTCCATATGCAGAGGAGTAAATCTACGTGGTGCTATTGTCCTACGAGTGAATGCTTGGGACGAAAAGACCACCATACTCTGATCAAGCTACGGCCGACTCCACCGTCCACCCTTGCTGCATGTGCATCACACAACCCCACCCGAGCCAATCCTTGATGCTCTTTAACCCTGATATTTCCAATTCTTGCAATGTGCATTGTGTGCCAATGTGGACGGGGATGAGGTGCTCCAACGTGGCGTCTATTGGTGTGTCAAGGGCATCTCCTGGCAAAAAGCTGTCACCCTGGCTCACCACCGAGCAATCACGGGAAGCTATCTAGGCCAATGCCGCCAGCTTGGTATTAGAGGGCAATGCAGCGCTTTCTGGCAAGCTGTGGCACGGGAGAGCATGTTGCTGCAGTGTGATGAATGACGAGCTTCAAGTGCAGTATCCAATTGGAAAGATCTGCCTTGGAGAGCTTTGCTACGACAACATGGCAGAAGTGATAGCCACAAGAGAGGTCTTGTCTGCACATTTTGCCGATGTGCTTACCAGTGAGGGCAGAGAATGTGCACTGCATTGGGGCGGGTGTATACAGGGGATCAGGCACGTTGACATGCACCAAGTCTTTGTTTTGAATAGGTTCTGGTTCTGACCCTGGCGTTCGAGCCAAGCACCACCGACAGGCTTTTGTGAGGTCAAAGACAGGGAATTTTCAGGTAGCCAGACACATAACGATGCTTCCAGTACTTCGACAATTGAGATGCTCTACGAAAACCACAAATATCTGATGAGATCAGCATTGATAGTAGGAGAGAACCCCTGACGTCGCATGTAATGTGCCCTCGTAGATGAGACAGGGTACAGGCATCAAAACGCAGAGCATCAATCTGGAACAAAGACCTGAGGTACAAGTTGACTTACGTGATTGCTTGGATGCCATTCAACCAAGAGTCCCCCTTTTGGGATTGGCTCCAACATGTTTGTAATGACGGGACTTGTCCAGGTGAAAAATGACCGCACTGGTTTGGTAATTTCAAATATTTTCTTGTAGTATGACCTTCACTGCGCTTCACAAGGGGGCGCGGACATCCATCTCCAAATCACTTACTCCGACAGGCAAACGTGTCTGTACTTCGCTCTCAGTCAAGCACCGGCCACCCCGTTCCAAAAGCTCTCTCGCTGTCCATATTCTCTCGCCGCCAAAGATGGCCAACCGAGGCTACGATGTCGTTGTCGACGTCGACACAGAAGTATGCAAACCACCCCCGCCTTTCCCTTGTCTCTTGATCGCAACTGTGTGAGAACAGCACGGCGCGAAAACTAACCACATCGACCCAGGGTGACCTTGGACACACAGACCTGCAAGACGACGACCTAGAATTCCACCCATCCAGTACGTCTCCCCCCATCGGTCCGCCCGCCCACGGCCGTACTATAGAGGTTTGGACCACTAACGAAAGTGCGTTCACACAGACTTTGAATCGAGTTCCTCGAGCCGCAAGATCCAGCCCGACACTCCCTTCCTCTCGGGCTCGGCGAATCCGACCAGCAGCCTGCCCAACGACCCGTCCTCGATGCCGCAGAAGCACATGCTGTGGTCACTGTCCTTCTACGCGCAATTCTTCGACGTCGACACCTCGACGGTCCTGCACCGGTGTCGCTCCGCCATTCTCCCCTTCATCCCCAACACGCCCCCGTTCCTGGACATCATGGACGGGAACCCGGACCTGTACGGCCCCTTCTGGATCGCGACGACCGTCGTGGTGATTCTGTTCCTCACGGGGACCATCTCCCACAAACTCGCGACCGAGGGGAAGAAGCACTTCGAGTACGATTTCAAGTTGCTCAGCGGCGCCGCGGGTCTCGTTTATGGATACACGCTCTTCATTCCGCTGGGCCTCTGGGGCGCGCTCCGCTGGTTCGGCGCTCAGTCTCTCGAACTGGTCGAGTGCTGGGCGCTGTACGGATACAGCAACCTGTTCTGGATCGCTGTCGCGTTGGTCTCGTGGTCGCCGCTCAACGGGCTCAACTACGCCCTCGTGGGCCTGGGATATGGGGTCAGCGTGTTCTTCCTGGTCAAGAATCTGTATCCCGTCATCAGTGCGACGGAGAAGAAGATCAGCCAGGTCCTACTGTTGGCCGTGGTGCTGCTGCACGCCGGCCTGGCCATCGCCATCAAGATCTTGTTCTTCAGCCACAAGAGCCCCGCGAAGGACGATGACAGTAAGATGTTGTTCTAGTTATTGAAGAGGGGCTTTTTGGTAAACCCCTGGCATGGGAAGGGCGCCTGTTCAAGGGCTAGAGGGCATGCTACCGGACGGACACATGGGTTACATGGGTATATGTATCAATAACTCGAGGCATACAGGAAAAACGGGCGAGAGTTTTCTGCGCTTCTGGGAGTTACCGACTCTATTAACGACAAATAAACTTATTCAAGGAACTCGGATCTGCTGTGTGAACTTTTCGTTTCTGCACTCTTCATACTACTTTCTGACAGGCGTATTGGTGGTCAGCGCATGCTAAGGGCGAGCGCGAGATGAACGTGCATTGAAAATCGCCGCGTTTGACAGTCTAGCTTGCCCAGCCCGTGAGAACCTCACGGATTCACGACGCCGTTTCTGCATCTTCTACCGCGCATCACTCCGAAAGGCACACCCAGAGACTCTTGCAACGTTACTCCTGCGTAGGGTGCACCATCCATCAACACTCTCCTGCACTGCCCACAGTCCATCTCGCGCGAAACCGGCCACCCCAGCAAAAAAAATACACGACGCTGCGTACGCAGACCACTACTTGATCTTCTTCTTTGGTCGGAGTTGGTTGGTGTGCCCGCACTTCTTCTTGCGGCAGTTGGTGGCTCGGGGTGGCAGACGGGCGTAGCACTTTCGGCAGATCATCTTCTCGCAGTTGTATTTGGAGGCGAGGGCCTTGAGAGAGGGTTCGATGATACCGCCTCGGAGACGGAGGACGAGATGCAGGGTTGATTCCTAAATTTTGAACAGGCTACAGGTCAGCGGATTCCGCACGACAAGTGAGAAGGCTTGATTTCCTCCTTCTGGGTTGCCATTTGGGACAGTGCGAAAAGAATTGTGCTATGTACCTTCTGGATATTGTAGTCACTCAGGGTGCGGCCATCCTCAAGTTGCTTGCCGGCGAAGATCAATCGCTGCTGGTCGGGTGGGATGCCTTCCTTGTCTTGGATCTTGGACTTGACGTTGTCGATCGTGTCGGACGACTCGACCTCGAGGGTGATGGTCTTGCCCGTGAGGGTCTTGACAAAGCTGTTATACGCAAAGAAAAACCATCATTAGCAATTCATACTCTTCTCATGTCGTTTCTTGAAAATCCCGTAGTGTCGGAGCAATATTTCGCCAAGGTTGTTCGAGTCGGACGTGCGTTCAGGATGACTTACATCTGCACTGAAGACGAAGTCAGTAAAATGGCAAAGGCTCTCTAAATCGCACAGGTCACAACTTACTCTTGTCAAGATCTTCTGGTCACTGGCGATGTTGGTTGATGTGTAGCAGCAAGTGGGATCGAAAAGCGAGGGGTGGCAAGACACCTTTGATTGTGGACGCAGATTTGGCGCCAAGACCTAGCCCTACAGAAATAGAAGGTTGAGCGAATGAGGTCTTCAGCCTTGCCACCTCCAGCCAATGTCCGTCATCGCGTTGATCTCTGGTATTTCTTCCAAGATTAGAAATAGTCGGACGTCTGGAGTGAAGTTACTCGGTACAGATTCTGATTCTATGTAATCCGCTCCCTATACTTTCTCCCCGTGTCCTTTACACAGTCCCTGTTCCTGCCCTTAGTCCACAGGTTCTTCTTCTAACAACAATGAGAAGCTGAAAGGCTCAAATGTCACGCCCTCCCCAACGAAATGTTTACTCATCGCCTCTACCCAGTGCAACCTGAGACTGTGCAACATCGCACTTGTCCCTTCCATGACACACAAGACGGCGATAGTCAACACAAACCAGAAGTAAAAGGTCACAACGATCATAATGACTTGTGCCGCGCCGGACGCCCCAAAAGCGTTTCCTAGCGTCATGTTCCACAAGACGACGGAGAGCTGTTGATGGGCAAGCGAGAGCGCCCACAGACGAAGGTACGAAGCGGTATGGGAAACGCAGTTGAGACAGAACTCGATCGTATCTTATCACCAGCAGGTTAGACAGTGTACCAAAAGGGGGAGGAGCTGAAGAGTCCATAGTACTTACGAATAGTTTGATGAATCATGACTTCCGAGAATTCGAATTCCTCTTCCTCCTCGTCTCCGATGTTCTCGGTGATCATTGCACCCTCGTCATCATCCTCACTAGGTCGGCCATTCATACGGCGTTCATTTGTGTTGGTATTCTCATCGTCGTCGTCTTCTAGATCTGTGGCATGCGTAACACGGCTAGTGTCGCCAATGCCGCGGTATCCTTGAGCAGCAGTCTTCTGATGTTGCCAGCGAAGGTACAGAGGCTTCAAAAGCAGGAGGATGGGCACGTTGATGACGGCAATCAAGAGCAAGAATACTTGAACCCCCGCTTGACCCGAGTAAAGTTGCTCACTTTCTTCAACGTTCCCTGGAGACAGAAACATCTGAATCAACATGTTGAGCAAGGACGGTGGGTTGCGACCTTCGGCTGCCCAGTCGATGGACCATTTGTAAAGGATACAGAACGAAAGATACCCGAAGATGGCTTGGAAGAATATCATGCCAGGCACAAAGTTGCCCCAGACGTCGATAGGAGATTTGAAGTGTCTGGCGTTGACATAGGAGAAGCATAGAGCATAGGTCATGTGGGCCCAACCCATGAGAATAGACAGCTTCATCTTCAAACTGTTGCTGAAGAGCAAGTCATTTTCGGAGCCGTGCCATGCCCAGTCCAGACCAAATGGATATCTGTAGCTTCCTTTGAGGTGAGCGGTGACTTCTGGGCGACCCTCTTCAGGGAACTCCCAGGTAGAGGCGAAAGGAGTAAATCCCTTTGAGAAGACATCATTGTAGATGAGGCCGGTGTACATGGAGAAGATACCCATCATCAGCATGATGTAGCGACCATAGAATGCCATTGCGAACAGTTCGTCCTGCTTGGACCGTGACAATGGCTTTTCCCAGTAGATCATGGCTGCTGCAGCCATGGCCATCAAGCAGCCGTGCCCAAAGTCACCGAACATGACGGCGAATAGAAACGGGAACGTGACGATGGTGTAAAGACCAGGGTTGACCTCTTGATATTTGGCGGTCCCGTAAGCATTGATGATGGTTTGAAAGCCCTCAGTGAACTTGTTGGTCTTGTTATAGGTAGGCGGAGTCCTATTGGTCTTGATTTGATTGACAATTGTCGGCACCGACAACCCGGCTCGGTCGTTGACATCTTGTAGAGTACGCCGAATCTGTGGAAGAGTATTGGTGGGACACCAAGCTTCCGCAATCAAGGTCTTTCTGGCGTGGTCATAGGAGCACATGTTTAATGCATTGAAGACAGCTTTCTCTTTCTTGATGACGATCATCCAAGCAGCCAGAGATCGAGCAATGGCACTCAATTCCGCATCGAGGGTATTCTTGGTGTTCCGGAGGACACTTGCGAGGTCGCCGAGGCGGGTGTTGACTTCGTGAATCTGGTCTCTGCGGATATCACTGCTCTCATCAACATTGTAAAGGTCTGCACCCAGAGACTCGGAGATTTTCCTGATCTTCGCAATGATTTCCTTGCCGTGTGCGAAAATCACGAAAACATTCTTCTGAATCTCTTCGTTGTTCTCGGGGTTGATGATCGGCTCCGGGATTTCCGACTGGTTCATGTACAGGTTGCCACGCAGAGTTCTCCACAAGATTCGTTCAAACGCAGGTAGTCGCTCACGGGGAATGACACCAGCGACAAACCCAATGTTCATCACAGCGAAGCTCTGTTGCTGTTGAGACGCATCCCCATTAGCTCTGCCTTCCTCGGCCTCAGTGTTTCGCAGCAAGGGCGCGTCATCTTCATCGATACTCGCGCGAATATCCTCTGTTTGTCCATGAGCTCTGTCGAAGAAACCTCCGGCCTCCTTAAGAACCCATCGCCACTCGGTCAGCTCAACCTCCCTCTTCTTCAGTGTTTCATAGCTCTCATTCAAGCTGCTGATGCGTTGTTCCAAGCTCTCCGCGCGTTCCACAAGGGCATCGATCTCATTGGCTTGAGGGACCGCGAGCATATTCTCATCGAAATCCCAGTGACTCCTCATCTCAATGTGAGATTTGTCCATTTGACTCTTGAAATAACGGAACTGGCGTTCGACATTGTCTAATCGACGTATTTCCTTGGTGAAGGTGCGTTGGAAAGCAGTTGTCTCAGCATTGAGATCTCGGAACTGGACAACGCCAATTTCACCCAGGGCAGAGACAACTTCACGACCGATTTCGTTGGAGATGTAGAGCTGGGTCAAGGACATGCTCGCCGACCGAAAGAGGGTATCTTTATGGGCCATGCTGGGCGGTTATTGTAGGAAGGAACCAGGCCGCCCAGGCCACGACGTAGAGGAGTTTGAGAAAAAGGCCTCACCAGAGAGCTGTGGCGGCTCACTATAAGAAGTGTGAGAGCTTTGAAAGATGAAAGTCGCAGCCTGGGTCCCTGCTGGAGGTGTTGCTCGATGATTGCATCGTACCTCAGTTGCTGGCTTGGCACGCTAGCCGCTTAAAGGTTCTTCCAAGTTATACGGTCGCGCATTGAGCAGCTACTGCAGACAAGGCTGAGGGCATCACATTTCGATCCTCCATTAGCGGCTCTTGAAGGCGTGAGTATAAGTTGAACTGCAGTCTTGAATTGGATTTCATACGGGGCATCAAGGGATTTTCCTTATCACCTGATACAACCCATAAAGGTCAATCTTCACCCTTTCTTCGCCACCTCGACCCCCAAATAATACTTGACCAATTCTATGCCTCGACCATTCACGTGGTTCTGACCGAAAAGATGCATCTTCTCGCTCATCTCCCGCCTGTCCAATCAATTCTTGTCTCAACAAGGAGGATGGTACTAAGCCATCATAAGCCCGTGTCCTTAGAGAGCTGCAATCGTTATCCCTGAGGTGTAATTACACATCGGAAGAAGGTACCGAGAGTCCACCAGAAAAGAATCGCTCAAAGAAACGAACAACACCACTGTGACCCGTTTAATTTGGACTTTAGCCAGACGCCGACGCTATGCCCAAACACAAAGTTATGCATTTCCATTCTACAAGTAAGTGCAGAGCTAAGCAAAATAGCTCTTCCATAGAACCCCGGAGAGGTCTTCAATCTGTTCTGGTTTGAATGCCTGCCAACGGTCAGTTTCGGTTTACAAGGTCAGTTCATCACAAAACGTACCTTGACATCGATATGCCAAGTATCCTGCCGCGTCTTCTTGAAGTCGCTAATGATACTCTTGACGCTGTTGCCCACTGTCGCCGGGTCATTCGCCGCTTTACTACTTAGCGTGACCAAAACATCAGGCATCCAAGCTGGTGGTGGACTTGAATAAGGGAATGCCTGGATTAGAGACCCTAGCCCAAGCACCGCGGCATGGCGAACGATGACCAAACGCTGTGCTTCAGGAGTAGGTGTGTTAGTTCCCGAAGTTCGCGCTGATGACAGCCCGGCTAGTTGGCCCTTGGGTTTCTTTGGCAGGGGATTGTCAATGAGCATTTGTGTGAATCGATCCCGTAGCTGAATGATCATCCTCTCTCGCAGCTCTAGCGGTGAGCATCGGATCATTCCAGACAGAGTTGTGGCAGCACCCGCCCGCACCTCATGCTGTGTATCTTCGAGCATATCAGCCACACAATTGAAAAGCTTCTGTTTACTTTCCTCCGACAGCAAGAACAAGCGTCTGAAAAAAATGATCTGGATGTTGATCATGACACGGAGACGTTGATGCCATGATGGGGATGTCCTGCCTATGCGAATCAAGGACTCGATCAACGCTTGATCTTCCCCTATTCGATGGGGAATATTCGGCAGATGTCGAAAGACATGGTATGCCAAAGACTGCAACTCGGGATCCTCCTTGACATCCATCATGTGCAGGAATTGCTCCGTGAACAAGTTGGGAAAGTACTTCAAGAGCTGGGTGCACTCATATGACGAGAGCATGGAATCAAGCCACAGTAATATTGTTTTGCTCCCAGACGTATAGGCGGAGGGGGTCTGTTGACCGGGTGTGCGTTCATGCCGCCACTTTTCCAAGCGCGCAAAAATCTCACTCATGGTGGCATCGAACTCCTTGGTTGGCAGATACGGCTGGGTCCCAATAGGACCTGCTTTCCTCTGGGCTTCGAGGAGTTCCCTGACGTCCTTATACGACTCATGGTATCGAGTACGGGTAATCGCAGCAAGAGTTTGAGCCATCGCCTCTCGGACGCCCTTGTATGGATGGTCAATATGGCCTAAAAAGTCTTCCATGATAGGCTTTTCGAGCTGGAAATGCCACCCTGCATCCAGGATCACTTGATGGAGCAGATGAATCTTTGAACTTTCCTTGAAAGCGGCGTTGGATCCCATATCGAGGCGGAAGCTTGTGATCCAATCCACCAGTGGCCATGCTCTCCGAGGGTCCCGACTCTGAAGAATCATATGAAGGAAAGTTGTCCAGTAGCCAGAATTCTCTGGAGTAAGGCCATCTGAGAAGACTCTTTGAATGATTGGGAACGCGAATTCCCATACCATCGTCCTCCGCTCAATGGAATTATCCATGACCGACGTTACCAGACCACCTAGAATCTCTGCCGTGGCACGGTGTTGATGCTTGTCGCTGCCGTCCTCAAAAACTGCCAGTGTTTCTTCTTTGATGTCTTCGAATGTTGCAACGGCTAGACCGTCCCTTATGATCAGTTCGAAGGCATAAGTCAACATCGCCGCGCTCGCCATCCGGAACTTATCTGCGGATTGGTCTCGAGGCTCTTGCTTCAGGTACTTGAAAAAGGTGACAAACCATTCTCGATTGAGGTGTTTGCCGATTACAGCTCTTTTTTTCCACTCAACTTCATCATAGATAATGTCGTTCTGCACGTTAGCCTTGTAGCCGGGCATGTCTTTCGACCACACAAGCCAACCAGGATAATCGTGATCGATGTAAACATCGGCCTCCGGTTGAGAGAAGGCCTTCAGGAATGTCTCGGTCCACGATTCCTCTCCAGCTCTCGTCTCGACTTTGACTTTTGCAGGGAACTCTTGGATTGCCTGGATGTAATTTGCATAGTCGTGGTTGCACACTGCTCGCACATCGGTCATGGTGAAGAGAGCAACTAACCCCTGAGAATACAGGCCGCGCAAACCCGGGTGAGGGTCTATCGTGCCCAGAGTTATCAAATCAATCATGCTGTCTGAAGCAATTGTGTCGAACCTCATTCCCAAAGACATGACAAGCGTGGCCACGCGGGTGGCTTTCTTCCAATGTGAGACGCGAATAAGCTCGATGAGCTCTTCCGCAAGTTCTGCCTTCTTGCGCTCGATGTTGCCACGCTTGGTCAGGATAAATGCCTTTTTCTTTGCGATCTTATCATCGACATCTTCAGCGGGAGCAAATGGGTCGACAACTGTACGGTCGATTATAGCCATTCGATCTCCAGGCCGGCCATAGTCCATGATCTGGAACAAGCCGCCACTGCAAAGCTTTTGGATGGAGGGCTTGTCAGCAGTGCTGGCCTCGATAAATGTTCTTATGACGGCTGGTGTGTATTTCCAATGTCTGCCCACTGTCTTTGCGAGACTGCCAAACAACAAGGCGAATAGTCCGCCTTTAATTCGGGGGAAGTCGTTCTTTTCTACGGCTTTCTGGAAGGCCGCTAAAAGTGGCGGGATGACGAACAATCGAGCTCCAAAAATGACCTTGAGGGCCGATTCGCCTGCACTTTGCGCATTTCGGCGGACTTCCGTGTATAAAGAGACGGCGGACTCTGCAAGGTCTAGTAGAAGCTGCTCGTCAAGCTCTGATCGTGGTCTAGGTGCAGCATTATGCCGGAGCCTCTGGGTATGGTAAACATTGGCTCGTCGGACGAGTATTGAGCGAGGGTAGTCCTTGCGTATGCCGCTCACTTTGTACGGTTGCTCATCAGCATGAAGTAGCCGAGTGACTCTGTCAAGAACGTGGGCAGAGCGCTCGATACCGACATCAACAAACCATGATCGATAGGCAGTGTACAAAGGAGCGAAAGACGACACATCATCCTCCCCCTCTCGAGTCAGAAAGACGTGGACCTCATGAAGAACACGGCCGATCTTCTGCCTGAGTTGATGAAGAAGTTTGTAGTTAGCATCATCAGGCTTTAACAACTCGCCAGCAGGATACTGAAAAGAGGGCTTGATCGATGTTTCGTCTGTGCCATCAAGGGAAGAGTCATTGTCCAAGACGTCACTGGGTTGTTCCGGAGCATGGCCATTTGCCTGAGATATTGAGGTGTCGGTATCGGCATCAACACCTGCCGCAGTCGTGGTCAAACCCTCGTTGACACCCTTGGAATCAAAGAGAACTGATACTCCAGCGAGGAGCAGGCGTAGGAGAACCAGATTCCTTGAGACTTCATCCGACCACTCCTTGCCGCTGCCGTCGCGTTTAATACTGGATGAGCCGTCGATGAGGCGTTGCAGATGTTGCACCGCGCTTTCGGCTTGATTCTCAAACAATTCCACGGCGAAATCAATCTCTTCTTTGCAGGGAACGTGCCATTTTGGTTTGACGGTTGCCGGTGGTTCTGCCGCGCCCCAGAGATCTGCATTGATCCCATTCTTGACTCTGTCCGGTTCATACAAGGCGTAATCCGCGGTGTAGGTTACTGTGAGGTTTAGCAGCAGATGATGCACATAGTTGGAGACGTGCACGGTCGGCATGCCCTTGCATTTCTGCTGCATGTACACAGCGATATCGAACAGTTCCTGCTTGTATTTTAGGACTGCGGAGCCGACATGAACCACGCACATACTCAGCATGCTGATATTCCAAACCAAGCCTCTATCTCGAGGCAGGACATCGGAAGCAGCATTCCTGGTTGAGCCGGCACCGTTCTCATCGATTTCAGTGCGAATGGCACTGATCAAGACAGGGACGAGTTTCGCCAGGGCCTTCTCAGGGTCGACCTTGCACAAGCAGTTGCAAATAAAGGCCATTGCATCTCTCGATTGATGGATGACGTGGTTCGCAACAAAGTCAACAATTTTGTTCAATGCCAGGTCGTACAATTCTGGCGAGAGAGATGCTAGCAAAGGCATAAAAGCTGCTGGCAATGTATTGACGATGTTTTCTTCGGGAGATCCACTTCTGACACGCGCTGCATCTGGCAAATTTTCCAGCAGAGTGAAGACTCGGCCCAGGAACGATGTGACGAATTCTCCAAACCCAGCAGTGGACGAGGCAAGTATCAACTCTTCATCCCTTTCGTTCAAGGCGGCGTAATTCAACTCGACTTGGGAGCCTTCCTGCTCCATACGTTCCATCTCCCCTGTGATCCAGTCTATAGCCAGCATGTTACCTTGAACATCTTCTCGGCCCTTGGAAAGATCCTCAAACGGTATATTGTAGCACACATTCGCGAAGAACGACAAAGTACAGAGCGTTTTGTCCAGATCATTGGCGTCGATACCAGGCAAGGCAAGACCAAGGAGAGCCGTGATATGACAACGGTAGCCTTTAGTCCTGATCATTGTCCTCGCCAAGATTTGCAACGATCGTATAGAGGAGATTGTTCGGTGCACCTCAACAAGCCCCTGCATTGAAGGGTAGATTCGTTGGAGGGCACCGGGGAGGATCAAGTCTGGCTCCAAAAATGCTAGGGCTTGAAGGGTTGACAGCGAATAGCTCATGGCTGTTCCGCTCTTGGCATAAATGCCCATGAATATAACTTCTCGCAAACAGAGGACAAAACGTCTCCGTAATGCTTCATTGAGTTTTCGCTCTTCAGGGACCTCCATTTCACCGTTGCGCTCTCTGTTCCACCGCATAACGAAGAAATCTGCCAGGTAGAACACAAGCTGGGCTAGGGTGCGGGTCCAGGAGCCAGAGTTCGAAGGGTGGAAAAAAGTCTCAATGGCCTGTATCAGGGTCTCGAGAAGAGAAAGGACCGATGTCTTCTTTTCCAGGCAGACCGGTGATAATGACATGACAAACCAGCGGGCAATGTGATGTGAAACGGGGTGCTTGCGTGAATCGCGATCCAGCAGAAACCCCATGCCAGCTGTGATGTCCACGAGAGCACTATAGGGAGAGGTGGATTGCCCTACAGGAATCTCCAATAACCTCAGAACCGCAGTTGTGATTAGCGTTGACTGCTCAGCGGTGAATATCCCGAACTCGGAAAACTCGACCTGTTTACTAGGCAGCGAGTCTCGAGCCAGGCGAGAGAGAAGATCGACCAGGGCGACATCGACGGTTCGGGAGCGATTGACCAACGACCACAAGTGGAAAAAGGTGGGAAGAAAATGTTGAGGATTCAGGTCGTATCGATTGAGCGGAGGGGGTGCTGTTGGCAGCAGCATATTCAGCAGCCCTATCACCACAAATGCGCCCTCAGTCGATGACATTGTGAAATAGGGGAGAATTTCTTCCAACATCGCAGGGATGTCCTCTGGATCAAAATACAGCTGGGCGAAGGAACTGATTTTGATCAGTGTCTTGATATTGCGCTTGAGGTTGGTGGTCTGCATCAAGCCCGACTCGCTTGGTAGCACGAATACTTTGATCTCTCGGAAGAGCGGCCGCCAGTCAAGGGTTAGGTCGAGCAAAGGACGCAAGTAGTGTTTTCGTCTGCGGGCATGTCAGTTGGGAGACCCTTCAAGGCCGTGGACTGGGAAACAACAGACTTTGTGAGTAGCATGAACATGCTAGCGAAGCGTTCGGCCACACTTGGATCAATGCCAGGAGCCAGGGCGAGTTCATAGTAAAGCCTAACGAGCTTTACGCGCTGTTCTTTGGTGGGATCGAACTTGAGAGAAAGCCAGCTGCGCAGTTCCCTAGTCCAATGCACCGCACCTGGAGTGAAGTCGCTGGCCTGGATCGCAATGTAAAGATGTTTGAGTATCTCTGCCAGATCTTCCTGTCTCTTCGCCTCATCTTCCACAGTATATGGCAAGGTAGAAAAGTAAGGGTACGTTCGAGGTCTGTTGCGCTTGCACTGGCTGCCGGACTCGTTCGTTTGACCATCTTGCATGGCTATGGTACCGCCCGGAGAGGTCGCTCTTGAGATTTCAGAGCCTTGTTTGGTAAGGCTGCCGTTGAGGAGCTCTTCCATGTGCTGCTTTGGGATTTCCATGGCCTGTTATTTGTTCGCCTGCTGGATCGCTGGGGTCATTCGAGTCGAAGGAGTGAGGATTTACCGATTGTCCTGGATCATACCGACGCTGACAGAAGCAAGAACCACGACTTGGATGACACACTCTCTTGTCGAGTTAATGGTCGTACAAGGACTGGCAGGCGACGTGGTTGTATACGACCCCAGGCGCTTAGCAAGCTGCGGTGCAGCCTTGCGACGTCGTACGTCACGTTTATGCCTGCGAACAGATGCTCGACGATGCGGAGGAGGAAGGCTCAGGAGATAGACAATGTCACGTCATCCGAGGGGGGCAACAATGTATTCAGAAATAGGATAATCAGTTGCTAAATATGAGGATTTTGCTCAACTGCACGCGACACTTGAGTATGAACATGTCTGTCCCAAAATCTCCGCAAGGCACGAGGCATCAACACAGCAGCAGCGCCGCCCAGGCGAGGGAAAGGCTTGGCACTGCCAACTGTCACCATGTATTATCAATGTGCACCTGCGCTTCATCACTTTTTCTGTTCCATAGTCTCTGCCCCTTTAGCAGCCATCTCCAGTTCCTTTCAATTCCCCAGCTCGTGCTTCCTTGGTCTCGTCAGGCTGCCTTCTTATCTTGAGGACACGATGTCAGTCTTCTTGAACGAGGTGCCGAAGTCATCCGGGAAACATGTACCCTAGATCAGAGCTGCGACCAACAAATCTTCACCCCCAGAGTAGGTGGTCCTGTCCTGTCCTGTTGAAACGATCTTCCCGGGCTAGGACTGGCGAAAGGCTTCTTCTCTCGTCTCAAGAACAGTACCATCCTGAGTCGTTTCTCGGCTGCAAGCAATCGCGCAAATCGATTGTGCATATGCTTCATGTCTCTTCGAAACGGCCTTGCAGAATGTACCTTCAATCTGACCATAATTGACCAATATTGACATCCCCAGAGCACGAGAAGGTAAATTTTCGAGCTGGTGCCTTGGATGTCGAAAGGGCAAGGTGATATGGAGAGAATACTCCCATGGAGTGTTTTCCTTGTTACCCTGCCTGGCGTTTCCGGATCTTTTGGCACGATGGCTAGCTAGGTGTACCTAGGACTCGGAATTCCGAATTGCACCCTCTGCAACAAGTCTTAATGACGGAACAAGACTGCATCTTGCTCTGTATACTCTTGGTCAACCTTTTTCCAAGTCATTTTGGAAGGTTGAACCTCGAATTTGGGTTTCTCTGTCGAACCCAGTCCAAGCTGATCGAGCGACCTTATCTCCGAACTACCTTACTCTAAACACTCCTCAGTCTCCTGTCGGAATCCAGGAAACCAGATTGAAGAGCAGTATGTGCTTTTTGCAGGGTCTTATGCATGTTAAACTCGAATCCTACGAAAAAGAACCAGACTTGCCTCAAACCCGTCCACTGGTCGTGGAGCACAGCAGAGATGGTACCAGAGATTATCGGCGTCCCTTGACTTGGCTCAAAAGAGGCTGAACGTCCTGCAAAGAAACCATTAGGAACCAAGAAGTTGGTCGGTGTTAAGCCATGGGTAAGAAATTGTTCCTCCAGCCAGTTTTCATTACTATCCGCCCACAACTACTGGGTCATGGAAACAAGATCCGGAATCGCCCGCGAACGGGCCATTATCGACGATAGCGCATTGCAACTGCACAGTGACAGTTTTCATCGCCCAGGCCCACAACGTTGCATATGCATCTCGGCATTAATTTTTATCTCCGCCCTGTAACATATAGCAAATACCACTTCGACCTGGATCACTCTGGATTTGGATCACGACTCCTGCGTAACAGGTGTGCGATTTCGCTCGCTAACCTCATCTCATATGCTTTCTTGCCCGCCATTTCCTTCATGTTGACCATGGCAAACGCAGTCTTCACACCTGGCGACCTGTCATCGCCACTGTCAATCTCACCTCATGAAACTGCGGTGTTGCTCATGGACTATCAAAACATGACTCTTGCGGGGATTGGGGACGTTGCCGCAACCAGTGTCCTCAATATTGCATCACAGATGCGCGACTGGGCACTCGACAAAGAGATGACCGTCTTTCACTGCCTCATCGACGCTTCGCCCGGCTCAAAGCCTCCCAATCACTCGAGGATCGCCGCAAGATGGAAGATGTATGAAACCAAACTGGATGGAAAGCCATGGTACGGCCGTGAAGCGGAGACACTGGCAGTTAAACGACATCCCGACCGCGAGCTCAGCTTCGTGAGAACACCGGGATTCATCTCCGCCCTTGAGTCCCATGGGCTGTCGAGCCTGTTAAAGGAAAAGGGAGTCAAGTCGCTCATCATCGGCGGCATCAGCACTTCTGGCTGTGTCCTGAGTACCACTCGTGCTGCGACAGATCGTGGGTATATCGTGACGGTGATGGAAGATGCATGTTTTGATCCAGTTCCAGGCGTGCATGGCATGTTGGTTACACATGTCTTGCCCATAAGTGCTCATGTGGCCACGTCATGGGAAATCCAGAATGCATGGAAGATTCTATAATGTTTTGTTCTGGTCATGTCTTGGGGATTAAGAACTGGGCTCCTCCGCTGCGGCGCACTTGCATTTCCCAAGAGGCTATTGAATTTGCAGGTGCGAGGCAGGCGATTCTCACATATATCGGTTGTGCCAAGTCCGTCTTTTCTTGTACTTGGCACGCATAATCCGAAATCGACCTAACCGCCACAGTAATTTTTCTTCGTATATCCCTGTCATGCAACGATAATTTCGTCAAAGACAGAGCCAAAAATCCCCCACTCGTCGAAGTTGAAATCGCTTGGACTTGGGAAGTTGTCATTCTGTACAGGGCGAGTCAGCTTCGTCTCTCACGGCCAGATGGGGCCACTTACCATGTCGGGGAATTGGAATTCTTGACGGCCGAGCGCCACATTGTCGTCAGAATCCGGCCCTGAGCGAATGTCTCTCTTCTCCGCCTCTGCTGCTTTTTGGGCGGTCCGCCTTGCAAGGTTGGCTACATCACGGGCAAATGGATAGCTCATATCGCCCTCGGTGACGAATTGCATGTTCGCAAAGTACCCGACCATGATGTCTAGCAACGCAAGGTCGGAAGAAGTGGAAGCTCCATGCGGGTGCTTGAGCACGTAGATGAAGACATTGATCAGGCCTAGCATCGGAAAGTAGAACGCAGCCCTAAAGATCTGTCAGCAGGAGAACATGCGAGGAGACCCCACGATTCACCCACCATTGCGAAGCGTCTGGCTTGATCTCAACCCCTTTGGCTATGACCAGCATGTTCCTCGCTGCCCCGTGGACGATTTCGGAGCTTGCCATGATTTGCTCGCGGATGCCCTCACCCATCCGGCCATGGCCAAAGAGAGTCGAGCTGATCCAGGGGTAAGCAAATGCGGCATGAATCGAAGTCAGACCACCGTAGTATCCATAGTAGATCAGGACCAGCCGGCACAGGCGCCTCCTATCGACGATCGAGAATGAACCAAGGGTGTCTGGTGGTTTCAAATCGTCAGGGAGAGAGTTTCTCCAGCCCCGTAGTTGGGCGTCCAGATCACGCACCGCCTCTAGCAGAACCGGGGAGGACCGCTGGAGGGCTTGGAAAGAGAACAACCTCTTCGCCACTTGAGACAGAATACGAGCTTGCTGGATCACAGCGACAAGCGCGGGAACATCGATTGTGCTTCCGGGGCATGCGTCCTTCGGGACCTGACAGCTAATCTCGTCGTCATCGATCAACTACAATCGAGATTGTCATTATCCTGGAGAAACAAAGGATTGGGTGGGGGATGTTACTCACCGAAGGCCGTCCAGAGCGCAGGGCTATATGCTTCTCGCAGCAATAAACTGCCCAGAAGAGCCAATTGCATTGCTTGGCTTCGTCTGCAGACAAACTCCATCCCGACCCAGACTGTCGATGTATCCCTTTGGCATGTGCCAGTCGCACCGCCATTGAGCAAAGCTGATATTCAAGTGATGGTGAGCCCAGCCCACCAGCAAAGAATGTCTACCTCTGTCAGTTCTCCGCTGCCCGGTGTATGGAGCGGAACGTACCATGGCCAATATGCAGCGTATGGAGAGAATTCCATTCGGCGTGAAAAGAATCTGGACGAGGGATGATAGAGCCTGCTGGAAATAACCCCAGGCCTGTGATTGAATCTCTTTGTAACTCAAGGTAGAGTGTTTGGGCAGGTATATGGTGCACCCGGCTGCGTAGATGGTCTTGCGCAGTGCGTGCCAGACTACGTCCACGTTGCGTTTCGACTCGCCACGAAGCCAAGCACTGAGTGTGGCCTCGAACTCGGGTCTGTGCACAACACCGTAGATAGATTCAAAGGATTCGTCAAAATATGCTATCAACAATAATGTCAGTATTCTAGCTGGGAGGAGGCGGAACATAGAACAGCCAGAAACCATTGACAAATGCCCATGCCATTTCCGGCTCCGGCTCCGAGTTTGGATGAGGAGCCAAGGCACTCATGTCCATAGTCAGACGCCGTGTCCACGTGGAGACCAGGTCTCTTGCACTCTCGCCAAAGTCGCTGGAACCAACCGCTTGAGATACCCAAGCAAGCCCTGGTTTTGAGCAGATGGAGAGCCAGGATCCGGGCCCTGGCTTCAGGTCAACAAAGGTCCTTCTGACGGCTGGTAGGCGAAAATACCATGATGTTCCCAATTGCCCTGCTGTCACGTAAGCCTGTAGTCTTCCACGAACAATTCTTGGCCTTCTTACACTGTGAGGGGTGAGGGCGCAGTTTTCACGCTCCGACGCCGGCGGTAGCCGTGGAGGCTGCAAAGCCTCTGAGCTGAAAGGCTCAATGGTTGATTCGTCGACGTCCTGGTGCAATGTTCCTATCCCATCGGCGCTTGCCAATGCTTCTTCTAAGCGGGTGTCCATGTCGAAGGACTCTGGCTCTAGTGGGAAAGATGTTGTACTCGGACACATGCCCATTTCCGTGCGGCCAGATTGAACAGTGTAATTGCACGACACAGTCTCGTCGCTGTGACCGATCGGCCGTTCCCCGCATGACGAGTAGGACGTAGCTGTCGGAGGAGGCGAGTAACGCCCCTGAGAGCCACTTGAGTGAATCTGACCCGACGGTGATCTGTGAGCGTGGTGCGCGCAGGCTTTTATATTCGCCCCCCGAGACCCATTGGGGTGCTGCTTCGCCAACGTCGTTGGCCTTCTCCCTCTCCGTGAGGGCACATAGGTGCAAAAACTCCCGGTGCGCTGAGATGGTCATCAGACATGGGAGCTTGAAAGAGTTTTGAGCGGACACTCGCGGCCATACTTGACACTTGTCACATGGTTCTCGACCATTACCTGAAACACAGTACAAGAAATACATTAGTCGGCCGAGACCACAGGTGCAGGCTCGCTCGACCTACATTTCACTTTCTTTGCGCGACAGCGACAACAGGTGTTGGACAACTTCGAGGGCTCGATCGGGTGAACCATGGTAGGAAACGAATCTAGTGCTTGAGCGAATTGGGCTCGATGTGACTGACATTCGAGGCACACGGTGAAGTTTACCAGGGAGAGGAAGATGTGCAGGACTCGCTGTCTCAAGACGACCACCAACATCCCGGCCTCCACGCCACTCCCCGCTGCGGTGTGGAGAGATACACTTGGCTTCCGGCTACTTAAGCGGGTCCGGATTTCCCCAGGTGAGGTATGGACGGGGTTACTGTGAGAACCCGAGAAGGTCGTGTCGAGGGTAGCCAAGACCCCGCAATCTGTACCAGGTACAGTAAAAGATGATTTCGTTCTCGGGGTCTTGGGATTTTGCCCACAGCCCGGATTTAATCCTTAGCGCAATACCCAGATATTATACGATCTAGGCTACTGTTAGGGACGGCGGCCAACGAAACGAGAAAAAGGAGTCGTGCACAGGTAAATGGCTATCTAGCTATCGATAATGAACTCGAAGTATATAGAATGTAATGATTACGAACCGACCTTGTACGCGGTCACCGACTGAGAGGGAGTAGTGCCGCTAGACGACATATTACCTCGGGTATACCAGTCTCCCTGTTGCGCACAACTGAGCCTCGCCCGAGAAGGGAGGATCTGCTAGCATTTACTGAAGAGTATCTCAAAGCGCAGAACGGGTTCCACACCTACAAAACCCTTTACTGGCGTCAATGGCTCAACAACACGCCGTCAAGCTGATCCTGTTCTTCAAAAGAAAGCCGGGAATCAGCCCCGTCGAATTCGAAGACTACTACGAAAAGAACCATGTTCCCCTCATCGAACAACTGTTCCCGTCCTGCATTCAACGATATACACGCAACTACATTCAGCAGGAGAGCGCGATCGAAGGACGTGCAGGAGGGTCAGACGAGGCATTCTCCGACGTGATGACCGAAGTGTGGTTCGAGACCGAGGCCGATTTTGCAGATTTCCAGCACCGCCTCGCAGACCCTGCGATTCAGGGACCTCTGTTTGCCGATGAGGCAAATTTCATCGACCGTTCAACCATAAAATTCTACGTCGTCAGGGAAAAGTCATCGCAATATAAGGGGTGAAACGGTCACAGACAGGGCTGTCCATAGAAACCTCTAGCTCCTCGTGTGCTCCAGCGTACCCCAGTTACACAATCAGAAGGATGCAGCAGAGATAGGAAACGCTTCTTCTCATAGTCTTCTCGAGCTCGAATCTATGTACTGCTGAGTAACGACAACCGTTTCTCGCTGCGGACTTTCAAGGTAAAGTCGAAAGGTTTTGGCCCTGTGTTATTCCCCGGTTTGTAGTCGTACCATGGGACCGGAATGACATTGCCTGACGAGTCGAGCTTCTTGTCGACACTGCATGCCCACATGAGCATTGTCACCTCGATGAAAAGTGAGCGCTCGGCAGCCAAAAGACCAGGACAGATGCGTCGCCCAAAGCCAAACGCCGCGTACCGTTTCAGATTGGGGAACTGGGTGAGTGGCTCTTGATACGTCGGAAACTCGGGTCTTAGCCATCGATCAGGATTGTAGGATTCCGGGTCCGGATAAACTGATTCATCTTTAAACATGGCGTATTGGTTCGCATGGATGATCGCGCCTTTGGGGATGTAGTACCCCTTGTAGTTGTCTGCCGCCGTTGACAAGTGAGGAATGCCTGTGTGGAGTCGGTCAGTTTTCTGCCTTGCTCACACAAGGTTTCTTGGAGAAGAGATTTACCTCCCGGAACAACAGGCCTCCACCTTAAGGTCTCCTTGATGGCGGCCCGCACAGTAGGAAGGTAGGGCCAGTCTTGGAAAGAAGGTAACCGATCTCCGACCACCTCATCGATCTCTTGTTGAACCTTTGCTTGCCAGTCAGGATAGTGCCACATGGCGAGGCAGTAGGACTGCATTGATGAAGACGTCGTGCCAGAACCGCCCTCGAAGAGGGTCCCCATGCAGTATATCGCCTCGAACTCCGAAAGTTCGTAGGTATCCTGCTTCTCTAGAAAGGCGTCGACCATTGCCTGAGGTCCATCCTTGGGTCGTCCACTTGCTTGATGATAACGCCTCAAGGCTTCGCGGAAGAGACCTAGGAAGTACGTATACTCATAGTTATGGAGTACCCTAGCTTCAGCCTTGAAGGGAGCAAGAAACTCTGGGAGGTACTTCAACTGAGGGATAAAATCGACCAAATATGTCCCTGGTGCGCCAGTCCGCTCGAGTGTTCGTACGATATTGGTAATCGTCTTCACATGATCAGCTTCCTCAACAGAAGGAACTTTCTTGTCGTAGAGTATCCGCAGCATGACCAGTGATGAGTACCTTTCGAAGAGGTATTCATAGCTGCTGCAGTCGTTAATGAGGTCCCTGACGAGGCGCTTGGCTTCGTCGACTTGCACGCCATCCCAAACTTCAAGGGAAGTACTGGATAACCGCGCTGCCGCCAGTTTACGCGCGTTTCGCCAGTACTTATTGAGAGGGCTGGTGCCGAGATTACCATTGCCCGAGACGAGCTCGTGAAGCATCACAATAGGCGGGCGATCCGAGTATTGGGCGCCTTTGAGGGCGAGAAGGTCGTTTGCGATTTCGACATCCGAGATGACAATATGGGTGGTGCCTAGAATATTGACTTGGAAAATCGGCCCGTATATGTCTGACCACTCTTTGAACTTGTGGTAAGAGAACGTCTTGGGGAACTCCAGGACACTGCCGAGGAATGGATAGCCCTTGGGCCCTGGGAGCGGTTTCAAACCATCCGGAGCGGTGGACGTGGTCGAGGTGGATAGCCGGTAAAGTGCCCAGATGATGGTGCCCACCACCACAATAGACAGAAGTTGAACGGCAAACATGGTGAAATGGACTGTCGTGGCACTCGAACGCCGCAGAAAAAGCAGTCCTCGAGGATAAATATGATGGTGAACCTCCAACTGAGATCACAACCCGTTCTGGTAAGGATGAATCGCTCGCGAGATGCTCATCCTCACCTGACTTTGCGAGACCGGCAGGACCATGGCCTAGAGCCCGGAGGCCCAACAGCATCAAAGGAAATCTGTAACTGAGATTTCGTGACCGGTGAATAGGTGCTGCACATGGGTGCACAGCTGACCGATCGCCCGAACATAGACCCAGGAGTTCGGCTACCTCCCACACATGGCCGAGTCGTTACCCAATACGATGGGGCCCCAACCATAACATTCTCCAATCGCCTCTTCCAAGGACAATGATGGGTACTTCTAGACGCGACCAATGTACGGTCCAGTCTCTTACACATCCGGCGAGAGAGTATAGGGTTGCCGTCAGGAAGTCAGGCTTTCTCCCGTACTCGGTCAACAGTGAAGGCCAGCGTTGCCAGCTAACAGTCCTGACCTACATGTAAATCCACGCTAGCTAATTGGTGAAGTTACTAGCCTATCATCTACGTCTTCTTGTAGGCTAATCTATAAACGGACTAGTTTCTACCACGACCGCTAAAATCCCCTTGCCTAGTTGGCAACGCTGGGGTCGGGATCTTGGCCTTCAGTGATGAATGATGGCCAAGATCCCGACTCTCCGCCCCTCGCGCAGCGGACCCCGACCACACGAGCCAAGGTACGTGGGCGAGCCCAGTGGTAACCCTGAGCATCTGATGAACTTCATGGAGCGACCGTGGAAACAGCGTCGTGGGGACGCTTCAGATGATCTCGCTGTAGATAGTACTCTCAAGAATTCTGGAGATACGGCTTTGCCCTAAAAGATTCCATACTCTTGTGCAATAATATTCTGTTCTGACACGCTGTACGGCCGAAGCTATCTGAAGATCCCTGGGTCGCCACATCCTCCGCGCAATGGTCAGGCCTTTGCCTGCATACAAGTGGTCTTTGACGTCTAGAAGGAACTGGGGCCTTCGTGCTCAACAAACTTGTTGTCGTTGATCTGCACGTAGTCCACACCGACATTGAACACGATCTTGTCAATGTCGACGAATTTGGCTTCATCAGGACGGATCTTGACCATGTATTCTGGGTCGCTGAAGAAATCGGACATATCCTCGTATCTGGAAGCGAATGCATTTAGTCCCACGGCAAGCTGATGAACTTGAGCATTCAAGCCACTTACTTGTTCACCAGGAACTCTGCGATGCCGTCGTAAGGCGATGGCATGCCAATGGCCGCGCCCTTGGCTTTGTATTCGGGCGTCATGTGGTACTGGGGAATATGGCTTAAGCCAGGGCGCACAGAGAGGCGTCTGTTGTGCAAATGTGGGAGGTGGGCAGACATACTTGTGTGTACTTGAGAATGCCATACTTGATGAGCATCGGTGCGACGAGGGGCCCATGGCCATTTGCCCAATAACTATGAAATTCTTTGTCGGTGATGTCGGTTCGCTTCGTGACAAGCACAGATATGCGACAGACCTTTTGCAGCGACATTTTGTTTTAGGCGTGTTGCCAGTGTTGGGACGTGGGTTTCTTGTTTGCTGATGTTGGTCTTTTCGAAACAGGTTCCAACACAGTGTTACCGGGCATACGTTTATCTACGTGCACCGCTTAGCCAGGTTGGATATCTCAAGAGGCCATGAGGTGCCAATCCCGCTAAGTATTGCCCGAGGTAGCTGAAGGCATACCAAACTCGCGGTATTTGCCAATCCTTCGCCGGCCCGGGATCTCCACCATCCCTTGCGTCGGGGTCTCGGCACGAGTCGAACAGCATGTTCGTGGGGAGGAGGCTGGAGGCTCTGCGGTCGGGGACTGAACTGCGCTTTCGGCGGTGTGAGGAGAAGTTTCCAATATTTGCATGGAGGGTCACTGAAAGAGAGTCTGCTTGGTTCAATATCAGGCTGGAATTGTATGAAGAAATACAAAACTATCATAGCCTCATACTGTCTAGCCAGCGCGTCCAGTTCGGTCACTCTTCTACCCACAGCTAGGTCATGCTGTGACCTGCAGCTCCTTGATGGCATCGAATATTTCGTGAGAGTCGAGGAAGATCTCGTAAAGATCGGATTGCCACTTCCCGCCAGCCGACTGAACCAGGCTCATATACGTTACAAATCCTGCGTCAACCCTCCGTCCATTTCTCAGTTTGTACCAAATGAGTCCTTTGACGAGGAATTGCTTTGATTTCGAATCGGACTGTCCGGTCAGAGCGTAAAACTGTCGCAGTGTGTGGCCACAGTCAACGACCGGCCCATTTTCTGGATGGATCAAGCCTCTCCTCAGATCGCCGAGAGCTTCGCGAGAGTTTGTCGTGATATGGGAGAAGATGAATTTCGCGTCGAGGGCAAAGAATTCGAGCAACTCCTCAGTCCTTGCTGTGGGATTGTCCCATTCGCGAAAAAAGGCCGGGATGGTCTCGTTGAACGGCGCTGGGATGGAGGACTGATTGTCGAACTCGTAGTGCTTTGGGAAAGCCATATTTCGCAGAGATTGTGCAGAACCCCGTCTGGCCAACTGCCTTTGGGACTATATGCGTACCACAAGCGATTGTTTGTCTTATTTCCTTTGCTGGTGTCTACCGAAAACTTCATCTGGACGGGGTCTTGGCCTTCTTACCGCAACTTCGGCATCTTCCTTTAGACGAAGTATACCTTGCATTTGCGGGGGTTTTTAGCCGAACATCTGGGTGTTCAAAGGTGTCTTGACTATTTACCCATGTGAAGCCGTTGAATCACACTTCAAAATAACAAGGGTTGTCTTCAATCGCCGTCCAGACCACCACTATCTTCAACAATGGCGACGTCCACTCAGAAAGTTGTCATAGTTACCGGTGCGATTGTTAGTACAACTACCTGTTCCCCAAAGTTGAAAAGAATAAAGGGGAGAACCTTTGAAATCTTCTCTGACCTCGCAATAGTCTGGCATCGGGGCGGTATTGACAACATACCTCCTACAAGACGGATGGACTGTTGTCGGCGTCGACGTGGCCGACTCTTGTGATCCAAAGATCGCCGAAGAGTTTGGAAAGTCCTTCTCCTATCGCACATGCGACGTTTCCAACTACGATGCGCTGGCAGAGACCTTTGCACAGGTGTTTGCACAGTTTGGACAGATCAATGCGTTCTGCTCCAATGCTGGTATAATCGATAGAAGCTCGGTCTACATCTACAGCCACCGTGGAAAAACTAGGTACGCCAGAAGCCCATTACCAAAGTCTCCCCTTAAAGGAGCACCACGACTAACAATATACATATTTGACTGAATCGAAGCATTCCCCCCAAGCCTGACCTCGCCTGCACAGCGGTTTGCTACCATGCTTTGATCTATGGAACTCAGCTTTCAATCCACTTCATGCGACAGAACCCGACCCCGGGAGGTTTCATCGTCTGCACTTCAAGCATGGTGGGATATCATCCCATTGCTACTTTCCCCGAATATTGTGGAGCCAAGTCTGCCGTGAGTCAGTCCTGCCCTGGTCCGCGCCTTGCTCAACTCTTCAATAGATGAACGCATTTGTGATTTCAACGGCCCCTGTCCTCAAGCTGGTTTGTTCAACCTTAGTCACCCCCGCTAGGGTGCGTCGAGCCATGCTGTCTCTAACATCTATAGCAGAAGGAAAACATAACGATTAACGCTGTGCTGCCGGGGATCGTCCCAAGCCAGTTCATTTCTCAAGAGATGCGTGACACCTTTGGTGCCGATGGGTCAGTCTCTGCCCTTTCTTGCACTTTCGATGCTGATGGGGAGCGTATAGGTTGACCCCGAAGGAGACTATTGCTGCGGCGTACATGAAGTGCCTGCATGATCGCAGTCTGAATGGAGAACTGATCGAGTGTTCGAGGGACAAGCATTTTGTGCTCCCACGACCGGGCTACGCAGACGGAGAGACTTCCAAGCGCACCTGCACTGTATATGACCCATATTTCGTACAAGTTCACGGGGAATCTTCCCAGCTTGAGGATATAGTTAGACGACGTAACTGAGATTGTGTAGCTGTGTGAGCTGGTCCCTTTACTGTGGTTTTGGATTTCTCAATCTAGCATAGTTCCCTGCTTCAGGAACCACACACTCCGATCCGTCACTTGAATGCTCTGTCCATCCCCTTCCTACTTAGGGACAAACACCGAAGCGTCTAGGAGATACTTGATATTTGAATCGGCAATGTTCATATGGATTTGTCGAGTCTAGAACCTGGCCGCTACAAAGACCGAGCACGAGAACTCTAAAAACGTTGGGGTCTGGCACGTTCAGTCACTGATAACCGGAGACTAAATTGGAGCGGCCTCTTGGCCAGATTCGCAAGAGTTTGCAGATATCAGGATCGTGGCTTGCATGGCTCGAGGTTCTCCGGCCTCTTGGCTTCCCCGTGGGGACCTCTCGCCTTGCCCCTGCATTGTGCAAGGATGCCTCCCAACTCAGAGAACGGCCTTGTGGATGTATATATTCGACCTGGGAACATGTAATCAGCCGCGGTGTCGAATTCTCTTCAGTCATATCAAACGTTTGGTGCCTCTGGCCTTGAAGAGGTTACTCCCTTCTGTCTACCACAGAAGGAGCAGCGCCCAACGACGCCGAAGCTGTCCAAGTATCATGGAAGCACCAGCAAACCCTCACTCTGTGGAGAAAATGGGCCATGTCGAAGAAAATGAGACCGTGGTGACAGATGTTCCAGTGGGCAAGGCCATTGATCCTCAAGATATCACCCACCAGGGCGCCGAGGCCGTTTTACTCTATGTCGATAACACAGATGGCGATCCAGCAGCCAATGGCTTGAAATTGGCCGCCGACGGACATGTAAGTTTTGAGAACATCTCAGTCACACGGACGCACAAGCTTATGAATTCTGGTGCCCAGACGGTTCTGATACCGCAGCCGAGCGACGACCCCAATGATCCGCTCAACTGGTCATGGTTCAAGAAGCACGCCTTCCTCGTGGCTGCGTCTATCTGCACCTTCTCCAGTGATTTCGGTATCACTGTTGGTGTCCCTGCTGTCGTCAGACAGGCCGAATACTGGGGCGTTACTCCCGACAAAATGAACTATACGAACAGTTTGTGTGTTGCTTTGAGGTAAGGCGTCTCCATACTCCATGTTATATACCACTATAACCAGTCTTCTAGCGGTATCGGTGGCCTTCTGGTGATCCCTCCGTGCTACTTCTGGGGTCGAGCGCCCGTTCTCTTTTGGACCACCTTGATTGCGACCCTCCTGACTCTCGGTTTGGCCCTCACCGATGACTTCGCCACCTTCTACGCCCTGCGCGGAATCCAGGGTCTCTTTATCACCACCTGCAACGTGACGGTCTTGTGCTACATCAAGGACATGTTCTTCTTCCACGAGCACGCCAGGAAGATCGGCATTTGGATCTCGCTCTATTTCATTTCCCCTTATATCGGACCGATGTGCGGAAGCTTTGTCGTGGCCTACACCAACGGTTGGCGCAATCCCTTCTGGCTATCTTTCGGATTCAACGTCTTCTGCTGCATCCTGATCCTCGCTTTTACGGACGAGTCATGGTACCGACGTGATATTCCGCGGGAGGAGCAACCACCACGGGGCAGTCGTCTTTCTCGACTACTTGGGTGGTGGCAGATCAAGCACCACAAAGGTTACTTCATTGACGTGTTGCCGGCATGTAGCAGAATGACGCTTGTTGTTGTGAAGCCCATCGTTCTGCCCATCATTGTCTACTAGTAAGTTATCGAGATCACCCACTCCGCAGCCCTGGTGGCATTCCAGACTGACATGTTTATCCAGCGGTCTAACATTCATGTGGGCTGTCGGCATCAACATCTGCTCTGCTGTTCTTTTGGCAACCCCTCCGGAGCAAGGAGGCTACGGATTCAACACTGACGCAGTTGGCTTCATCTATTTGTACGTCGTACACCTTCACCCCCTTTAAAAATGCAATCGAACCACTGACCTACCGAACAGCGCGCCTTCCATTGGCATCACACTGGGTGAATTGGCTGGTCACTGGTGCAACGATTGGCTTGCAGCCAGATACACCCACAAGCACCGCGGTATCTTCAAGCCTGAAGGTCGTTTGCCAATGAACTTCGTCGCAGGGTTATTTATGATTCCAGGGCTTGTGCTCGTTGGTCAGACGCTACAGTATCGACTGCACTGGGCTGGAATTGCCTTTGGTTGGGGCATCTACATCTTTGGGGCCATGTTGGCTAGCGTGGCTATCACTGCGTACGCGCTGGACTGTTATCCCAACGGCTCCGGCGAGGTCTCGGCTTGGCTGAATCTCTTCAGAACCGGCTGTGGTTTTGCCGTCCCCTACTTCCAACTTCCTTGGGGCGCCAAAGTCGGATACGGCGCTGCTTTTGGGACACAGGCCGCCGTCATCATCCTTGCTTGCCTCATCCTCCTGCCACTGGTCTTCTTCGGCGAGAGACTCAGGATCAAAGGAGGACCTCTCCGTTTCCCAGGTTCTTCCTGATGAACGTGACCACTCAGGATCCTGGTGGATGACTCTTGTGACGTCGGTGAATCTCTAGAGTGGGAGCCCTACGGCCATTGTGGAAGCTACTGTAAGGTACAATAGACCATCGATCCTCTGGATCTCAGGTAGCAATAAGGAGAAACTGTTTGACCAGAAATATATTAATATTCCCCAGCTAGTAGGACCGACCAAGAGCTGTGTTAAACCATACCACATGGCCCTTGATAACCTATGGGCCAATCAGACGAGAGTGGGAGATGTGTTAATAAAGAGCCTCTTGCGCTGCTGCATTCACCGTCTTTCCTTTCTCTCATTCGGGTTCTTCCAAAGCAAATCGAGAGGTATTGAGAGAGACATTTGAATAGAGAGGACATATAAACTGGGCACATTGATATTATCGTTGCGGCGAGGTATTTCTGCATCTGTCTTACATACATCAGCCTCCAAAAAGTTCCAGCGCAAAAAGGTTAAATCTCGATCTATCCAAGTTTGTCCCTGCACCCACCACCCCCCAAACTATGCTGCATGCAAAGCTCCAGTCACCGGTCACCTCTCACGCACCCATGAGTCTTCGGCCTTCTTCTTGCCACCAACAGTCTCACATTACTTAGTAGAAGCCGAGCAAGGCCGTGTCGTACCTCACCAGCTGGCCCTGGGCGGGATGCGCGCCGCCATAGGTGAACGGACCACCGTTCGTGGCGACGTACAACGATCCCCTCTTGAGGTCCTCGGCGCTCGTGCCGAACTTGGCAGACGTCAAGCCGACAGGACCGGTCGTGTTTCCCGCCACGGCCACGATGTCGGGTTGGAATGTGCCGGCGCCCACGCCCGAGAGGTAGGCAATGTGGCCGTACTCGCACGCAAACCAGAGACCGCCGGCGAAATCGAGCGTGAAGTCGTCAGGGAAGATGTTGGCAAACTCTTGGTCAGCGAGGACTTCTGCGGGGCCGGTGGCGTGGCCGGTGGTGGAGTTGACGGGGATGCGGTTGAAGGTGACCGAGTTGGAGTTGTCGTAGTAGAGATAGCCGTTGGAGAAGCTGACGGCGTTGATGCCCAGGGCCAGTCCGCCTGAGAGGGTCGCGTTGGGCGCCATGGACGGGTCGTTGACCGCAATGGCAGTGTGTCCCGTGAAGACGTTGACGGACCAGACGAGGCCCTTGGCCGAGTCGGCGACCAAGAGGATGCCCGTGTTGGGATTCAGCACGGTCAGTCCATTCGGGAGACCCGCGTTGGGTAGATCCGCGACCTTTGCGACCTTGACGCCCTTGGCCAGTTGCTTCGAAAGCTTCCCGTGACCAGCCGTGCGGGCACCAGCGGTGTGGCCGTTCAGGTCGATCTTGAAGATGCCATAGCTCCCGGGCGTGGACGTGAACGTTTTCACCGAGAAGTTGCCGACCACGGCGTAAAAGATGTCGTGGCCCAGCTCCACGACACCGAGAACACCTGTATGTGCAGGGAACTGGGCAAGGAGGAGTGGCGGGAAGGCGTTGGTAGACGACAGGAGGTATACCTCTGGTGCTGAAAGAAGAGTGGCCACAAAGTTGCCGTCCTCGGAGCGGGGAACGAGGTTCTCGACCCAGGTGCCGTTGGGGAAGGTTGATATAACGTGCGGTGCTAGTATCGGCTCCGAGAAGGTAATCGTCGAGACGGAAGCCGCTTGTCTGGACTCCAAGGTGTTGGTTTGAGGCAATGCTGATGCGGTGGCGACCGACGTGAGCGTGAGCAAAAGCCCAGCAATGGTAGAGTAAATCATCTTTTCTTTTCGACGTGTTGATACTTCTCTTTGATGTGATGAGCGAGTGAATGTGAGAAGTGCGGATGAGGGATTGGAAGATGAAGACCTGCTCTGGCAGCCTTATATATACATGTCCCCGACCCATACTGTACGCTGCCATATTATACATGACCGAGAATGCAGGTGCCCAGTACCGGCAGCTTCTCAGCCGCGACTCAAACGAGATTGGTCTGCATCCGTAATCGTAGCTGTAAAAGGAATTATGAAGCGTACATCGCCCAGGTCTGGGTTAGGGGCCCTCTGATAATCACTTCAACTCCTCGAGAAATGAGCGACGATGTGGAAGGATGCTGCGAGGTTGGCGTGAAATGTGACAGCTGAAGCGTCCGCAATCTTCCAGATGTAGGGCCGAAGCCTTAGGCTCGCCTTATGCATCCGAACTGGTCGTAGTATAGGATATTAGCCACTTGGCCGCTTGTGTACAAGTGATTTGCACGCCGCGGAATGTAACCATTCTGGGGATAATGTCAGAACCTGAAGACGGCTGTGTAAGCGAATCTCCACCAGGCTGTCACCCAGCTGTGGCTTTAGCTGGAAAGCTGTGTCACGCACTAAGCTTCATTCGTTCGGGTGAGATTACGATATATAGCGATGATGCCCCCTCGTTATATATAGTTAGGCAACCAAGACCTCTTGCGCCGCTACAATCACAAAACAGTAAGTATGGCGCGAGAGTCTTTGGTTTCGCTCTTCCATACGGGCAGACTATGCGAACTTGACACAGGAGAGAGCAAGCAAAAATAGAATTTCGGTCAAGGGAAATCAAATTGCGCTTATGACTCGGTTCAGCAGCGCAGTCGAGATCATACTTACCTCCCCGACACGTGGGTTCCAGCGGGCGATACACTTTAAGTCGTGCAACTTACCAGAGCCACAGAAAAAACTATCCAGCCCAAAATGTACGGAATGGTAAACAGTGGGACCCATATGAAGATCAAAATCGGATCGAACAGCAAGCTCAATGCCGCGAACGGGACAATAATCTCTGCCAACTGAGGGATGACGCGCGTGTGAGCCTCGATGGCCACCAGGATCAGAATGATTCTCCACAACATTCGCATGAAAGAGATGTTTGAACACATGGTTTTGTCTTTGTTCGAGACGATGTTCGAAAGTTCAGAGCTGTGCTGTTGATGCAAGTCGTCTCGAACGGCGAGAATATGTGCTTATCTACCCCTGCGGTCGCCCTGCTCTCGATATCTGCCTTGTTCTCGAACAACGAGGCTCTCCGACTTCCCTCAAAATTTCTCTTGTTGCGAGACAAAGGCGTACACGCACGAGAAATCGTCTCGGGCCGGCTTTCACACTGGCTTTGTGGCCGGGGCTGTCTTTGTGCCTCAGCATTGTCAACGAGTCAAAAGGCAACTTTTTATGTTCCAGTTGTTCTTTGTTGTCGTTGAAGGCGACGCTGACGTTCCTCAAGATACAGAGTGTTTTCGGAGTCGATCGTTGGGAAAAGCAAGGGTGCATCTGATGCCATGTGGCTATTCTCCTTCAGCTTTCCTGCGTGTTTTGCAAGCACCCTCGGTGAGTGACCGTCGACTTGCATGTAAACACCTGCCATCAGTCTTCGCGGTCCTCTTTCATCGATTTGAACATTTCCGAATCGAAGAGTCGCTTGTGAGCTTGTGATTGTGAAGCGTGCAGCGGTTCAGGTCGGCGAAGAACGGTAGATGATGGTACCGAGCTGCAGAAGATCTCAATGTATCAGTGAAATTGAAGAACAAGATAAGGTGCTTCAGGACAAACGGATCTCATCGGCGAATTGTCACCAAAGTCAGAAGAGGGAAAGACCAAATGCTTGGGCATGCCCCGGGAGCGCTCGGTAAGCGTAGCTGATCATATCCATCATGAGTGGGTATCTGCTATTCATGCCTCATCCATGACACCATGAGACTATGAGTTAGGTCTTTTATTCTATTGTATCTGAGGTCGCAGAAGTGCCAATTTTAGACACAGAAGTGAAGTATCTTTACCTCTTATATGCCTTCTCACTTTGGTTTAGCTAAATTTTAGATTTAATTAACCAGTCCATGAGTACCGAGTTCTCGGTTGCTGGTCACTCTAGTAAAGTGTCTTGTATCTGACCAACGAACCCGGTATTCTCATGACTGTCACCATACTCCGTGCGAATTGTTGCCCTCGATCTTCGCCTGATCCCTTATACCATTGCTCTACTACGTGCAATGCCTTAATCTCATGCTGTGCGGCTTGCAAAGTCTCAGTCTTCTTCGGAAGAGCGGTGGTTGACACAGGCTTCTCGTATTTGTTGACATCAATTTTAGCAAAACCCTGTTCTTTTCTTCTGGTAGCTCCTATTTATCTGCATGCAATATCACTGATAAGCTACAAGCGCTCTAGCTGTGCCAAGGCTGGAGACAAATTTCATGCCACGTGTTGTGCAACAGGGAGGTACTGACTCGGACATATTTCCAAGATAAATCCATTGAATCTTTTACAGGAAGGAGGTTATCGAGCAAAGAGGAGAGAAATTTGACAATGACCGGCTTGCCACTAGCCAATAGCAATGTAAAGGAACACAATCTTTCGCTTTTCATTCACATGCAGATATCCGTCTGCTATTCACATATTCCAGAGAACCCTCTCGCGCGTGGTCTCTTTCCGCCGCTGACACATCACGCACGATATATCTGTCTCGGCCAGAAAGATGCCGGGCACTGACGCATTCAGAGTCCTCGCCAGCCTCGCGTTCTCCAATCACCCTCAAGTCCCTTTGTAGATTGAGGACTGCACCTCCTCTAGGGAGCAAATCACACCCATGCACAGACCTTCCGTCGCGTCCACCAGAATCTGCATGTGCTTTTCACAATGTAGTCCCATGGCATCGCTGTTCAAACGCCGCGAAGCAGCCACAACCAGCTTTTCAAGTGACGACGTTCATGGATTGAATAGACCAACAATGCAAGAGAGATTCTTTGGTGCAACGCATCAGCATCGCTCAGTCCTAGAAACTTACAACGCTATCCTCTCATGTAACCAAATATATTGAAATCTAATATTTGGTGTTTGTTTGAGGGACCCGACACTCTCGGGAATTTTCAATAATGGCGGGGTGGTAGGGTTACAAGAACACAAGTGACCTAGTCAGCATGACTCCGGCAGCGGTCAATGATTGTCGGATACCGAGCTCGGGTCTTTCATATGGTTTGCGGCCTGCGAAAGCGGTACACAGAGTTCGTATCCTGACGTGCCTGGCCAGATGTGAAATCCATACAAGCACGACTGTTTGTTAGGGCCACAGTTATTGGTTGGACGGCAAGTGGCCAGGCACAAATGCATATCTCCACCTCAATCGACGTTACATCCTTCATTGCTAATGGTGGGCTGACAGGAGGCAGGATCCACCATCTCCCCTCTTGACAATGCCTTTGGTTGTCGGGCCAAACGGCCAAACGGTCAAACGTGATGACTTATCCTAGTTGAATGAAAATCAGATGATGCTCCAGCAAAAAGTTGCTGCTCGCGTGGTGCGAATGTTGTTGCAACGACTCGGATGGGTAGCATGCAGAGGCTTTGGTGTCGTACAAGTACCACTACTGTGTACTATAACTAGATATGGTGATTACTGTGTACAAGCAGGCAGGCTTAATGACGCATTACTGACGCCGACAAATGTGTGACAAGCATCAGAAAAATTATGGTTCGATGTCTTGTGCACAAGCCATACTGAAACGGGCTAAGCATCTTTGGATTAGGCCTTCACAAGGCAGACCTGGGATGGGGGGTTTCACAACCCTGCAACGCTGGGCCTAATGGCTCAAAAGAAGAAGAGGCGTTGGTTGGAAGGGGCCAGCCAAGTGGCTGACTCCATCTCGGCAATTGCAAATTGGCCATTCGCCGAAGATGGGCTTTTTGATAATCACCTGATTCTGGCTAAGCTCTGGATGAAATGGCCGAGGCGGCGCGGTGGATGCTTGTTTACGCCGCCGACATCATTTTCCCTCAGATTTTGGTGGCTCTAGTGATCCAAATGCGCCACCGCGCCCTCCGGGATCCGACAAATCTAAGCATTTTCTCACGAGGCTTCATTGCAGCCTCCTGTCGATCTTGGTGTGTCCAACCTACACAACACCTCGTATACCTCAACCCTGGCAACTTGCGTTGTGGAAATACTCAGTTTCTGTCAACATGCGAGCAACTGCCTGATTTGTGGGTTTCTGCGCGTGCTGAGTCCTCGCGCGTGCCGTAGTCAAAGTCCCCTCCTTGCTTGCTCAGCGTGATCAGCTTACATGGCCAGTTGGTCTTTGCCGAGGCCTTGTCCCCCACGGGGCAAACACGAGATTCGATTACATGGAGTCCAGGCATTGTTTGAAACCGCCTCCGATCTGTGGTAGCATCTCGTCATCGGTCAAGTGATCAACTGCTAGCTGCTCGCAAAAAGCAAGAGTTGCATAACCTACGTCCGGGCCTTCCGGGAGACTCTTGGCTGTCGCCGTGTCTAGTGCCTCGATGGTGTCGGAGAGCGGAATTCCGAAGAGCCTCGTAGGAGCCCAGCATAAGGAAATACTGGGCCTCTGAGGTTCCTTGTAGGTTGCACGACCCAATATCTGCTTGCCAGGGAAGAGCTTGGAGCACCTTCGGGTCCAGCATCGCCCGTGAACAAAAGCATAGACCCTCGCCCACTAGCGACAAGCAGGGTAGTGTCAGGGAGGTGTGCGGTCTAGCACAACTACCTTGAAGCCTTGTTGTCGTGCCTAACAATGAAAGAGGAGGTGGGCCTGTGCTTACAGAACCCTTCCAGAAATCGCTCATCATGATACATCATTGGATATGCTACTGGTGCCACCACACATCTCCATATTCGATCCTCAGGCCATCCGCACTCCTCCGCTTTTGTTCGAAGTAACGTTGGAAGACAGCCCATCATCCACGTGCCGCGATGGGAATTTTACTTGGGAGGGGGGGACCCTCGCGGTGTCTATAAGAAAGGCCGCACCGTCCATCCATCTTTAGCAGATTTCCCATACTTTCCACACAAAAAGTGTTGATTAAACAAGCATAAGCGAAACATGGGATACCTCAAGTTTCGAAGGCCCGAGCTGACTCGCGAGTCGCTCGGCCTCACCAACTGGGTACAGTACGACAAGTACAATCCAAATGCTGCCGGCGCTACCGAGGCCAGGAAGTCGTTGGCTGGCCTGGACTATTCACCTCTGCGACGAGTAACATGGGCCTCACTGTGGATGGGCATTCTCATCTCTATGGGTGGATTCATCTTTGGCTATGATACCGGTCAGATTTCTGGTTTCCTTGCCATGCCAGACTTCCTGGAAAGATTCGGCCTGCGTCACAGCGATGGGACATTCTATTTCAGCAACGTGCGTTCAGGTCTTATTGTCGCAATGGTAAGTTGACTACCCCTCGGCCCCTTGGTACGAGGCTGGGACTAAGTGATATAGCTGTCGATCGGTACATTGATTGGAGCACTTGTTGCTGCTCCTATTGCCGACTTCATTGGCAGAAGGCTGAGCGTGACCGTCTGGTGCGCCGTCTTTTGCGTGGGCAACATTGTCATGATCTCCTCAGACCATCACTGGTACCAGATTATGATGGGCCGATGGGTTGCTGGTCTCGGTGTCGGCGCATTATCATTGCTCGTGCCAATGTATATGGGTAAGCGATTTTGTCAAGATTGCTCGTCGAGTCCAGTCACTGACCCTTTATAAGCTGAAACCGCCCCTCGATACATCCGTGGCGCCCTGATCAGTACATACCAGCTCTTCGTATGTCATCCCTTGAACCCCACTGGTCTCTTCTAACAAACCATATAGATCACGTTCGGTATCTTCTTGGCTGCCTGCATCAACTTTGGCACCTACGAGCACCAAAGGGGAAACTCTGGATCATGGCGAATCCCCATGGGAATCGCTTTCGTCTGGGCATTCATTCTCGGTGGTGGCATCCTTGCCTTCCCCGACACCCCGCGATATCTATACCGCAAAGGACATAAAGAAGAAGCGAAGAGAATCATGGAAAAAGTATATGGCGCCCCACCGAACCACTACAGCGTCCACGTCGAGCTGGAAGAAATCGAGGCCAAGCTCCGGGCAGAAGCGAAGCAGGACGGCCCCATCACTGAATGGTTCAACATGTTCCGCGCTCCCAAGATGGCGTATCGTGTCGTGCTCGGCATGACGCTGCAGATGTTCCAGCAGTTGACCGGTGCCAACTACTTCTTTTACTATGGCACGGTGATATTGTGAGTTTCCCACACCCTCCCGGCTACGCCTTGTGTTTTTTTGGGGAAAGATTCCTATCATGAAATCTGTCGAATATTATCTAATAGTCTCTACCAGCCAAGCAACGGGTATCAACAATAGCTTTGTGGTAAGTGCCAAGTCTTTGTTCAGCTTCCACCCCTTTCCGGCTCTTTCCCGTCTTACTCCCTCTTCCCACCCCTCGCTACCACCAGCCACACTCGGCTGTTGTGGTGGACTCAGTACATGTCAGAAGAGGCTAACACTCACTTGCAGACCCAAAGTAAGCCCTTCCCGGACCTGCTCCAGCTCTGCCGAAATATCCCGGACCCCCAGATTTCCCGATTTGTAAGTATGCAGGTGCTGACGGGACATCAGTGATTTTGAACGGTATCAACTTCGGAACGACCTTCTACGGCCTGTATGTCGTCGAGCACTATGGCCGTCGCAAGTCCCTCATGTGGGGATCGGCCTGGATGTTCCTGATGTTCCTGATTTTCGCCAATGTCGGCCACTTCTCGCTCGACAAGAGCGACCCCCAAAAGACCGAATCTAGCGGCACCGCCATGATTGTGATGGCCTCGTTCTTCATCTTTGGCTTTGCTGTGACATGGGGACCTATCATCTGGACAATTGTGAGTCTTTTTCTTCTGATGCTTCTGATGTTCTTTTGGCCAGGAAAAAAGTGGTATGGTGGTAGAGAAAATGGCGTGCGGCGGGAAGGGGATACTTCCTGGCACATTCACACCACCACTACTTTTCCCGGCATTTTTTTAGATGGCATAGAACACGTTCTAACATTCTCACAGTGCGGCGAAATGTACCCTTCGAGATACCGGGCTAAGAGTATGGCACTGTCGACCGCCTCAAACTGGCTGTGGAACTTCCTCATCGCGTTCTTCACACCATTCATCACCGGAGACATCGACTTCCTCTACGGCTACGTCTTTGCAGGCTGCAACCTCGTCGCCATCCCCCTGGTCTACTTCTTCGTCGTCGAAGGCCAAGGCCGGACCCTGGAGGAGATCGATACCATGTACATCCTCGGTGTGAAGCCGTGGAAGAGCAGTGAGTGGATCGCTCCACCTCCAGAGGAGATGGCCAGGATCAGACGCGAGGCCGGAACCGGCGATCATGTCGAAGACGCGGAAATCACCCCTGCTGCCGCCGACCGCAACAGCGACGAGTCAAATGCTGAGAAGGAGGCCGAAAAGGAGGCCGAGCACCAAGCATAACTCACCACGTCTCAGTGCCACCCATAAACTCCAGCCGGCTTCAACCGCCGCGAAGCAGAGACAAGAGAACAACAGCAAAAAGAGAAAGAGTAGAAACAGAAACAAGACCAGAGCGTGTTTGTATTGGTATATGTTGTGAATGAACTAATGAATTGGGCAGATGGAGGGGGAGGACCAATCCCGGGGGATCAGGTGGGAGAAGCAACGGAAAAGTTGGATACCCCGCAGCATTGCACTGGAAGAGGGGGGGAAACCCAAGTGCGTGCTTGCTCTTTGACGCACTCGTTACGATTGTTATGTTGTATGCACAAGTCCTAATGCCCTCCATACCACAGGCAGTTATGACTGTCTCGTACATTTAATATATATATATATATATATATACATCTTGATTTTGACACTTCCGCTGAGCTGACTATTTCTCGTAAAGTGTTCCTCGAACAGAAGAAGGCCTTTGTGGATAAATGACGGGGTCTCCGGATTTGAAGAGCTCTGCGTCGAAAAGAGCATTCTGTACCAACGAGAGTTGCCTGTTTGTTGCTCGCACTATCGAAAAGCCAAGACCCCACCACTCTCACAGGCAAGCCCCGGCAACCATATACTGAGCATCAGCAATTAGCATTCTCGTGAATAGATTTCTGGTTCAGAAGGGTAAATAAAAGCTTGCATGCTCCGGGAAGTATGCATTTGTATGTCCAGACCCTCGGCGGCCCTCTGGCACCATATGGGACCGTGAATGCTCATCTCATTGGTTCCGTGAAAACTGCACTACACTACTTTCGGCACAAGTTCTCTAATATGATTGGTCGCCCTGGCATGCTCCCAATCAGGTCATTCCCTCTTCTGCGTGTGCACAGTCCCCCACTCGTACAGTGCAGTGCACTCTTGGTGAACGCGCCTTTTGTCGTTAGAGCCATGGGTGACAGCTCTGAGCAGCTTTGTGAGCCGAGCGTTCGAAGCTGGATTTTCACCGCTGCACCGCCCGTCGCAGATAGTATCGCTTCGGAGTATCCTTTCGCGCCCGCTCTTACTCGTACTTACAAAAATGTCACCGATACAAAGCTATCCAGGCCGCTGAACATGAGTTGGCACTTGCTGACATATTCCATCATCTCCATGAAGTATCAAGAAAAGCTTCCACAACAACTTTCGAGCTACAAAGATATGTCCTAGCAATTTCCGTAGCGCCTGTTACCTACCTGTGACCTGAGAGAGAGAGTTCGTCATCACGCCACAGGCCTCAGAACCGGTCACCCGCTTTGATCGCGTATGATATTCCAGGAGAACGGACGTGTTTGCCGTCGGACAAGAACATGACCCTTTTGTCAAAGTACCCGAGCATCTAAGGCATGCCTTTCTGCGAGTGGGAGAAAGGAATAACAAGCCTGAAAGCATGCCAGATACCAAAAACCGCTCCCCTCGGACCGATCAGGGTCTGTAATCGGTAGTTGAGAATATGTAGCAAAGGACGGCGGTAGTGTGTGCTGGTGCTGAGAGGACCCCTAATCTAGCGTCCCACAAGCGGCATGTGGTGTTGTACCGAGTATCGTGCATCTCGCACCCTCGAAAGGGGTCGGGAGTACACATTCTACGTTCCTTGCATGAAGCAGTTTTGCAGTAGCGAAGGCCGATCGTAGATATTCCTGAACCTTGCTTGATACGTTAGACTTATCACTGTCTAGGACCTTCTCCAGCCTATCCATGCTCACTCTCACTCACTCCCCCCACGGTGGCGGCTTACCTTACCACACGAAAGTCCGTGAAGCGCAAATTCGGCAACAATCAAGGCATGAACCATAGACTCCATGCTCTCTGTGTATTCAAGCTCGCAAAAAAAACAAGAAATCTTCCCGATTTGCTCGTGACCTTTCTCCCCTTGAGCGCAGGAACAAATAATCTTGCCCATGATTCGGTTCTTGTCGATCTACTCGTGCTGGGATAGGTGGGTAGATACGAGAGAGATGCGAGAGATACCACCACTCGTATAAATACGTGCCGGTCGAGACATGTGAAACACATGCGAGGTACCTACCGTTGGCCGCACCCCCTGATTTTGGGGTTGAGATGCAGGGTCCAGAACCCAATTGCATGCCTGCCTAAATATTTCCCCATGCTCCATTTGCCATCACAGCCCTAATCGAGCCCCCTTGCGTATCTAGTACTTGCATACTTAGGTGCCAGTTACTACGAGTACCCTGCCAGCCTGCAATAGTCACCGGCATGTCTTTCGCCGACGACCTCACCCGGCCGCGACGGCCTGGGGGCGGTACTTACCGAGAACGAATAACAGCAAATAGAAGTGTGCTCGTCTCGGGCTACTGTACATATCACTAGGACGGGGGCTGGTTTGCGCACTTGTCCCTGCACTTCACTGCAAGGCAGGGAGGGCGTGCGATAGGGCGTGCAGATCACTGCAATCGCACTGCTGTGCGTTACTTTCACTTCTGTGCCGTTCACCAACCCAATTCCAGCTCTTCGGTGTCCTTGTGGTAATTCGAGCGGTCGTTTGTGTCTTGAGACATGCTCATAAAGTTCCGCGGGATAGGATGATCCGTGCAACCCTTTTGAAGGAGCTACTAGAACGAGGCACCTTGGTAAGTCTGGGTTGTACCTCGCACAAGGTAGACATGAATGACACGTTTCTTCACGATGGTTCTGCTCGCGCATGTATCTCTTATATCCCCGGAGTCTAGCCGTACAGAATCCCTTAGCATCTGTGTTCCCCAGCCATGTGTGGCCCCCCCTATCCATGCTCACCTGGCTTGAAGTCCCCGTGTCCTTCCACAACCCAGCGACAGTATGTCAATATACATATATATACCCAACCACAGTGCTCTTCCAAGGCACCCAAGAAACGAGGCAGACGGCGAAAAAAAAGAGGTAGGAGGCTCAGTTCGAGATCAGCACCGCTCAAACGTCCTGATAACTCACGCTCCATTCCTTTGTTGTCTTGATAATCATGGGCTTGCTCCCATCACTGCCGTGGCTCCTGCCTCCCTCCGAGGTAATACTCTCGCTGCGATGTCTCTCGGGGCTAAAGTCCCTTACCGGCCTCCCCACGGAGACTTTATTCATCACGACACGCCTGGTACTCGTCAGAGCTTGTCCAATTCCATGGCCTGCCGAGTCGCTCGTCTGTCCGATAGTGGCTCCCTGGCGTGGGAGGTCGAGACTCTCGACCCGCACCTCGCTTTTCAGGGCGTAACTGTGAGTGACTGAACCGGTTTTACTTTGCGACATCTTGCCCATCAGATAGCTGTCATTGCTATAGCCGAATCGTCCGTCGCCTTCCTGGATCACGCCGGAAAGATAGCCTGCTTGGATGGATTCCATAAATGGACGCAAGTGCGGGACGCACGCGGAGAAGACGCTGAAGAAAACCTCCAGCAAACTTACGATCGTCGGTAGCCAGCTCTCGAAGGTGACATCAGCGCCGCGATCGAAGAAGTGATGTATCTCACATAGTCGCCAGATCGTGCAAGCGATAGCAAGCGTGCGGAAGGAAAAGGCAAAGCACACGGCGGTTTTCTTCTCCCATGGCAGTTGGACGTTGTACACGAGCCATATGGGGGTTGCCATGAGTGTCGCGTCGATTAGGATATCGATAACTCCCACGGCATCCCAGAAGCCCTCCTGACTGAAGCATTTGTTCGTGGTAATCAGATATGGATGGGGAAGCGAGCATCGAAATGCACTGGCGAGGATCGATGCAACCGCCCACGCTGCCGTCACGCCGCCCGTAACCAGCCTTGGGATACGGTAAAGAATTGTTCGGCGAGAGGGCCAACAGCAAGGTCAACGTCGAGATTTTGCCTCAACGGTGGTGCCTCAATCCTTGGTGGCGTCCATTGGTCTCAACGGACTGATGGGTTTTGCCATGCTGATGGCGATCCTGTTCTGTATCGGCGACATCGACAATGCACTTTCAACCCACACAGGATTCCCATTTATCGAAATCTTCAAGCAGGCTGTTAAGTCGAATGGTGGAGCCACTGCACTGACATCTATAGTCCTCTCGTTGATGATCTTTGCTACCATAGCGGTTTTAGCAGCGGCATCCCGAATGCCGTGGGCTTTTGCCCGTGACAATGGTCTTCCCGGATCCCAATTCATCTCGCAGGTCAATCCCCGGACGAAGCTCCCGTTGTATTCGGTCGCACTCTCTGTTCCCACCACCTTCCTGTTGGGATTGATCAACATTGGATCATCCGCGGCCTTTAACGCCGTTGCCTCTTTGGTCGTGTCTGGCTATCTCGGCAGTTATACTCTACCAATTAGTAAGTGTTCCGGTGGCCGTTCCGTAGTCTTTGATCTCGGCTGCTCGATACTAACGACGAACTAGTCCTTATCCTGCACAAGAAAATATACCATCCCTCGTCCATACACTATGGCCCCTGGACATTGGGACGGCGCTTGGGCATCTTTTGCAACATTTTTGGGCTGTTTTGGATTGCTATCGTCATGACCTTTAGTTTCTTCCCATCTGCAAGGACCGATTTGACCCTCGAAACCATGAACTGGTCCTGCTTGCTATGGGGCGGAACCATGGTCGTTGGTGTTGTTAGCTATTTCGGCTACCTTAGAGGGAGATACAACGGCCCAATCGTTGAGACCGACATCATCGAGCAGGTCGGACACAGGGTTTGACGGTGAACGAAACTTGAAGTGTAGAGCGGAGCGAGTCCTTCCATTGTCCGCCGGGCTTGCACTTCCTTGAACGGAAACACATGTGCATTATGAGTCTCGGGGAAACTGGTGTACGCATTTCGGGGTGGACGCGACATCCTGCAAGATAGCTGTATGTGTACTCGAAACAGTACAGAGATGTCAAGCAATGGACTTGTACATAGGGAGACACGATAGGGAAAGTTTGGCGTCTGTCAAGGGGACTTTTGCTGATTCTATTTTGGGCGATTCGGGAAACCTGCCCAAATCAAGGCGCAGGCAGAAAGCCTCGTCAGGGCAAACGAGACCTCAGGGTTCATTCACCAATCCATTCATGTACTTTGTAAAATCCTTGTTAGTGAACAGCTATCGCATGTTCCTTTTCAGTCCTCGGCTCAAAGCTCTAGGCAGGGCCCAGACCTAGCAGAATCCACCCATAATCTGGCACAAGCGACCCCAGAAACGCCACCTCCTTTTTTTTGCCCAGCGCCACGCCGTTCATCCTTTTGCCCTTTCGTTTCGTGTCGGGACTTCGGAGAAGATATGGGCAAAGACAATTAAAAACCCTCGAACCCCAACACTTCATTCTGCGTACTCCATTCATACTGATGATACTACGCACCATGTCTGATTCCTATCTCCTTGTACCAAACACGTTGCCCGGTGTTCGCGCAGTGGGAGGATCATGTCTCAGAAGACGGTGCAGAAGCTAAAGGGGGATTGGCCTCATACGCGTGATTTTTGTGGGCAATTTGTGGAGAAGGATGATCCGCCAAGCGAAACACAGACAGTTGTACAGGAGTGATTTGATGGATTGACAGAGGCTCTCTGATGGACCTGGTGGACTGATGGGGTGATGGACTGGCCCCCATCCCTGAAAAAAAATCAAAAATAGTGTCGATGTTGAGCGACTCCCCCGTGTTTGGCGTTTGCGGGTGATTTTTGGGCTGTAAAGCGCCTCGTTGACGTTTCTGTTTTCCTTTCCCTTCTTGTTACTCCATACCCTCCCTCACCCCGTAATTCACCTTGCAACGGGATCTTGTTCACAGTGAACGCGTCACTGCTTGAGGTGTCCCCTCTTGCATTCTCTTTGCTTGATGTAGCTACCCACTCCGCCGGCAAATCATGAGCTCGTCGAGGACTGGCTCCTCGCGAACCAGTTCGGATGGATCTGAGGTTGAACTCCTGAAGGAAAAGCACGACTTCGACCACAATGCACAGAACACCAACGCGAGCCCTTGGATGGGCATCGGTCCTTCTCGCCAAATACCCAAAGTCACCTTGTGCTTGTCGGTCAAATTCCTTGTCAAACTCGCTGGTCAACTATTCAACCTCTTGATCCCGAGTTTTCTCCAGCGCCGCATCCTTAATGACCAGGCGAAACCAGACAAAGTTGCTCCAACGGCGTTTCTCGATGGCATGCGCGGGCTTGCTGCGTTTGTGGTCTTCATCTGCCACCTCACATATGGTACCTTTGACATCGCTCATGCATGGGGCGCCGTTACGGACCCCGAACACCAGCCAATATCTGTCTACCGGGAATATCTGCGCTTACCTATTGTCCGTCTTCTCTATTCTGGCCCTCCGATGGTGGCCATCTTCTTCGTCATTTCAGGCTACGCGCTCAGCTACAAGCCCTTGAAACAGATGCGGTCTCAGCAGCAAGATCAGTTGATGACGACCATGACATCGTCCATCTTTCGACGCGGGTTGCGGTTGTTTATTCCCTGCTTCGCTTCGACATTCCTCGTCATCTGTCTCGCCCAGCTCAATCTGTACAAACTCACCGAAGGGTTTGCCAACCAAATGCGCATGATCCGGGAGAGCCACTGCTATACTCAACCTACCCCGTGGCTGCAGTTCACCGATTACTTGGTGCAGCTGCTCATCTTTGTGGATGTCTTCAACTGGGGCATATTCGCTGGCTCCATTGAGCTTGATCGGCATCTCTGGACCATTCCTGTCGAGTTCCGATGCAGCATGGCCTTATTTCTGACACAAATGATGGTGGCTAGGATGTCCTCGCGGCTGAGGCTGTCGACGCTTGCGGCGCTGCTTGTGTGGGGTACCTCCTGGGACCGATGGGATATGTGTCCATTTTGGGCGGGAATGGTGATTGCCGAGCTGGATATCATTTGGACGGTTCCCAAGGCGTCTGAGCTGCCGTCAGTCGCAAACAGCCCACCGCCTGCGAAAACGAGATTATCATCCAAGATCCTATATTGGTCGACCTTCTGCGTCTCGCTTTTCCTGCTCTCCTTTCCGGACATCGACGCTCACGTCACCCCGGGGTACCTCACCCTGACCAGCCTCATCCCCGTCAACTTTACGCAAAAGCATCGATTTTGGCCAAACATCGGCGCAGTCATGATCGTCTGGTCGTCATCCCGCCTGGGGTTTTGGCGCAACAAGGCTTTTTGCTGGAGTCCTATTCAGTATCTCGGAAAGATCAGCTTTCCCCTCTATCTCATGCACGGTCCTGTCATCCACACGCTGGGCTACATGGTACGGAAATATTCATCCCTCCCTCCCCCTTCCCAAAGTGCAACGGACTTTATTCCTCAATGTGGAATGATTCCTGAACTAATCTTTTGATAAACTCACCAGATCCTCCCTCGAACCCCGGAAGTCGAAACCCCAGAAATAATGAGACGGTTCGAATTCGAGTTCCTCAAGTCTTCGATCGTCATTGTCTTGGCCGTCATTTGGGCTGCGGATGTTTTCCTTCGAGCAGTCGACACGCCCTGCGTCAACTTTGCCAGGAAACTGGAGAAAGTCTTCTTTACAGGCTGATCTGTCCCCCCTGCTACGACTCGATTCGCCTCTCTGTCTGTCGGTATGTCATTTAGTGATGCGCGCGGACAAAGTGGGTTAGCCGCAGTCTCCATGATCAAAACTCGAATTCCCTAAACTGGACCATTGTCGCACAGTCCGACGGTGACTAGAATATTCACGTTCGACCGAGACACACTCGATTCGTTGCTGTAATTCTAGCGAATCCGAAATCCCGCCCCGAAGTCCCTGGGTCTAGCACTCGGATATGCGGCGTAGGACACGCATCAGCCATTTGTCGAGAGTAGCTCCTGCAATATGCATTGTGCCCAATCGCAGTTTCGGAAGAGGACCATTTCACGGGCACCGTCCTTTCCTTGGTCCACCCACAGGAGCCCAACAGAAGTATTCCTGTTCTGAAGGACACAACTTCGCAGGCTTCGACAGACAGGGTTGTCCTGAAGAATGGATGATTGGCAGCGGTGAGAGGCGGACGACTGAGAAAACAAGTGTGTTCGGGCAAAACATATGCGACCAGATGGTTTTGGATAGACTGGGCCTCGTCACAGAATGCCGACTCGAAATCACCTCGATCCCGTCCCTATTGGATATCAAGTGGCACATACGGCAGACGAGTCAGGAAAGATTGTGTCCAACGACCCGTGTTTGCGATGGATGGATGGTATCATGAAAACATCAACATGCGTCAAGAATTGGATATGGACGCCTTCTACTTGCGCCCAAGAGGGCATTCAGAAGATAGACAGAAGCAAACGACGATGGACAGGGTACTCTTGCCTTAAAAGGGCTATAGCGGACCAGAGCAACTTTTGATATCCCTCATCCACCTCCGCGACTACCTTGCCTCATCCAGGACTGTTTGTTCACCGTTTACTTTTGTCGCATTTACTTTACACAAAATTCTATCCGTCTGGTGTTTTGGGACGAATCGATGTATAATAACCCATGCTCTCGTTTTCGTTATGTGTGAGGAGTATCGCGCACCATCGGTTAACTTCTCCATCCACGAGGTACACAATGCCATCTTGAGAAGCCATCGATCAGATTTCTACGCACATGGTCGATGATATGGCGGGCTCTTCTGCCATCACTCGCGTCTTGGTGGGTTGATTTTGTCCTCGTGATTGCTCATAGCTTCGTCTTTGCACAAAGGGATTTAAGAGACACGAACCACCCCGACGTCCCATGGAAGATAGTCCCCAATGTCCAGATATCAGAGGTCGCTGAAAGGAAATGCCGCTGCTCCCCACAAGAACCCGTCTAGAACCCGTCTCTTCCAGACGAAATACTTACCTCCACTGGCCGACAAGCTTCACGGCTCAGCCGGCAAGAGATGGGCCTTTGGTGTCAATCGACAGATCAAATTCGACTGTTTGACCACGGTGGTGGTGTGCGTGGTCCATCCTATCTCGGGGTCTGCCAGCGCGACGCGGAAATTGCGTATCAGATGGAGGAATACCTTGTTCATCTCCATGAGGGCGACGTTTTTGCCGATGCACGTTCTCGACCCTGAGCCAAACTGGAGTTTGGGTTGGGCGTCAGTAACAAGCAAACAGAGCCATGTCCGGATGTCGCTTTCCAAGGGCAGGGGGGAGGAGAGGGGGGGAAACATACCGTGAACCAGAATTTTTCCATCCGCTTTCTCTGCTCAGTCGATGCTTCCAACCACCTCTCCGGACGGAAGTCCTCTGCATCAGCGCCAAAAATGTCTTTGTCATAGTGAATCACCCACGCACTGATCCCCACGATCGTCCCGGCAGGCAGATGGATCCGGCCTCCGTCCAAGTCCAACCCAGCGGCGGGCACGCGACGTTCCAGGATGATGCCGGTGGGTGGGAAGCAACGCATGACTTCCTTGAGAAAGGCTTGGAAGTAAGGCAGCCGTTGGGTTTCGGCAAAGGTGGCGATCCGGCTCAGCTCGCCGTTGGATTCGGCGGTTTGGACCTCCTTCTCTAGTTTTTCATAAACGGCAGGGTTCCGGCAGAGGTAATATACTAGGGCACGGAGGGCGATGGCTGTCGTGTCGCTTCCGGCGAAACTGGCACATCTCACTTTTAGACCTGAATCGATCAGGCGAGGAAAAGGGGGAAGGAAGGATCAAGAGACTCTCAAGTCTGACTTACACGTTCGTCGTTGTATGAGACAGAATGTGCTCCAGGGGCATCTTCGAGGGGTCTTGATGTTGCACC